CCCCCTCCCCCCTCTCCTCCTTCATCTATATCCCCCTCACCCCTTCCACACCGGCACAACCTCCAACGCGTCCCGAAAAACCCTCTCCAGGTCCTCCCTCTCCTCCAACCCCACACTAAACCTCACGAGACTAACCTCACAGCCAAACCCCTTCGCCCACTCCAACTCGCCATAATGCGCCAACAAAACAAACGGACACGTCAACGTAAAATTCGTGCCCAAACTCGGTCCCTTGTGTGTATTCAAATGATCGAAAAACACCGCCGCGTCGTGCACGGAATGGAAGGTAGCGGAGAGTAGACCGCCGTAGCCTCCGGTGGGTAAGCGACAGGTGTCGTAGAGGTGTTTGGAAGGGGAGAATTTAGGATAGTGGAGAGATTTGATTTTGGAGGGGACGGATTGGAGGAGAATGTTGGCGATGGCTTCGGCGTTGTGGTTGATGCGGCGGATGCGAGGGATGAAATCTCGACTGTTGCGTTCGAGATAGACGGCGTCTTCTTCGAATTGGTTGTCTTCGTATTCGCTTCCCAAGACGGTTTTGAGAGTGTGGTACCATCGGGATCGCGGGTTGAGGAGCATCGTGCCGCCCATGACGTTGCTGTCTCCTGAGAAGACTTTGGTGAGGGAGGAGACGACAATGTCGGCGAAGGGGAGGACGTGCACGTTGAGCCAGTTGCCGACGGTTTCGTCGACGACGATGGCGAAGTCGTATTTGTCGGCCAGAGCGCGGAGACGGGTGAGGTCCGGGGATGTGAGGAGGGGGTTGCCCGGGAATTCGCAGAAGAGGGAGAGGAAGCGTTCTCCCTTCTCGAGACGAGATTCGAGATCGTCTAATTCGGAAGCGTTGGCGTGGCCGTAGAAGAGTGCGCCTGGGCCAAACTTTTCGAGCACTTTGAGGGTGTCGACGTAGGGGAAGCCATACATGATGCTTTTGGAGGGCCCGCGGGCGAGGAGGAGAGAGCGATGTGCGGTGAAGATGGCGTTCATGCCGGTGGAGAAGAGATACACGTCTTCGACGGAGAAGCCGGGCACATCGCGGGTCTGATCGGGAGCATCTCCCGAAGAGTGTTCGCTGAGGTTGATGTCTGCGGTGAGCGAACCAGCAATGCGCTTTCGAATGGCAAGCTTGGCTTGGGCTGCGAACTCGGTGCTCAGATTTCGACCGAATCGTGTCTCGACGAATTCGGCAGAAGTGGAAATGTCTTCGCCATTGGATCTCGGAGGAGTCTTGGGCGGAGTAGTATGATCGTTGGTGTGGCTTCCCAGATCTACGGACGTGTTCTTCTGGTATCGTCGAGGACCCTTACAGAGGCGTGGAAGTGGTTGCGTCTGGGAAGTCTGGTCGACGAGATACCCTTCATCGAACGCTCGTTGGCAGAACTCGGCCCGCCTGCTGGAGATGCCCTCCCCGGTGTGTTGCCAAAAAGCTTTTGCTGCTGGCCATAGAGTTTGGGGATATATAACAGCAGACACCCGAGGAAGAATCTTGGTCGTTTGCGATGCGATATGCTCGGGAGTGGGCACAAAGTCCAGCGTACGAATCGTGGAGCAATCTGCGCCGCCGCTCTCGCGTTTGATGAAGTCCTTGCAACGAAGGGCACATCGTGTTGATGGCATCAGCATAGCATACTCTGTGTCGATGTTGCCGTGGACGGCGACTATGCTTCGAGCGAGCTTTTGGATAGACTTGTGGATGAAGAACCTGTGCAAGTTGTGAGTGGGGATTCGATTCTGAGTACTCATCGTGCTCGTCTGCATACCGTGGGTAGCCAGTTTGCATCTTATCAACGACCCATGCCTCCCCTTCTTCGTAGCCGACATTAGATTTCCATGTTGGGAGTGATACGCTGACGGCCTAGATGACAACGAGTCAGCTCATGGGTGATGGTACCCGGTATGGCTATGGAACTCACGTGAGGAGTGTCTGGAGGAATGGCGTTGCCCAAATTATCGTTGAAGGGCAACGCCACTGCTGCTCCAATGGCTGCAGCCATAATCTCGTCGCTACTGGGTGAATCTTCGTCGTTGTTATCCTCAACAAAGAATGCAATAGGTCTTGCGATATGAAGGATTAGGCAGTCCAGATATGTGCAGTGATGCCAGAGTGAAGGTGAGTGAGAGTGAGAGTGAGGTCTGTTTGTCAAGCGAGTGAAGTATTTGTGAAGCGAGCGATGCCGGACCCTGGTCTGAGGGAGTCATTTATTTAGTTAAGGTCTTTTGTGCCCGTGCGTCAATGCTAAGGCTAGTAAGGCACACGCGGGATCCCTGCCGCAGATCGAGGGTTCAGAAAGTTATGCGAGCTCGACTTTGACACCGTCAAAACTACCCACCTACCCAATACACCAAAAAAAAAAAACAACCACAACACTCGCACTCGATGGAGGATTTCCACGCCCTCGAGGCCAACATCAAATCTGCACTTACATCGGCCACACGAAGCGCTGTCTCTCTCGCCAACGAAGACATCCAGTTCCACCGATCTCTTGACTCTTCCGTCGGACCTGCGCTCGATCAGCAAAATGGCCGATTGCTGAGCCTTGCAGAGCGATTGATTGGCGCTGCGACGGCGAATACGGAGATTGTGCGGCCGCCTCGATTGGTGGACTTGGAGTCTGTGGAAGGCAACTGGAAGGCGGTGGTGGATGTGGTCGACAGTCTGCTCGAACGTGCCGACACTGCGCTGGACGAGTTCACTGGAGCCGTCAAGAGACTGAGCCCTGGAGTGGAACAGACGAAGTCGAATAAGGCGGGACGCTCAGCGCCACAGCGTGATCAACGCATTGCTAAGCCGCAGTTGCTCTTCGACCATGTGCCGACCAACAACGATGTGCCACCCTTCAAGCCGCTGCTCGAGACCAAGCCTCATGCTACGACGCCTCTGGAAACTGCGCCTACGCTGGCACCAGGCGCGACCCACCCTGCTTATGCGCAACCCTATCAACACGAGATCGAGAACTACCAATACCCACCGTCGATATACCAGTGGAGCCAGCCTGTCATGTACCATCCATTTGATCAGACGACAGCAACATTGGTGGACACAGAAGAGGCATTGTCGGAAATGCTGGAAGAGCTGAAGCAGGCCAAGGAGATTGCTATCGACTTAGAACACCATGATAGCAGATCATATATTGGGATAGTCTCGTTGATGCAAATCAGTACGCGAGACAAGGACTGGATAGTGGACACCTTGAAACCCTGGAGGCGAAAATTGCAGTGTCTGAACGAAGTGTTTGCAGATCCCGGCATCATCAAAGTTCTGCATGGAGCTTTCATGGATATCATGTGGCTGCAGCGAGATCTGGGGTTGTACATTGTTGGGCTCTTTGATACCTTTCACGCCGCGAGTGTGCTAGGATATACAGGCAGGAGTCTGGCTTTCCTATTGAAGAAGTTCGCCAACGTCGACGCTCAAAAGCAGTATCAGACTGCTGACTGGCGAGTGCGGCCCTTACCCACAGAGCTCTTCGACTATGCCAGGAGCGACACGCACTTCTTGCTGTACATCTTCGATAATATGCGCAACGAGCTTATCCACCGATCGAATCTTGAACTTCCCAATCACGAAGGGGATAAGATCTACGATGTCCTACAGCGTAGCTCAGAAGAAGCACTGCAACGATACGAGTATCCCGTCTATGACGCCGAGCTTGGTCAAGGCGCCGGGTGGTATAGGCTGCTGTCGCGAACGTCTGCCATGCTAACTAAGGAACAATTCTCTGTGTTCCGAGCTGTACATCAGTGGCGCGACGAAGTGGCGAGAGAACAAGACGACAGCGTGAATTATATCATGCCCAATCATCAGATCTTCAGTATCGCTCGAGCCATGCCGCCCAGCAGATTAGCGCTTTTAGGCGTTGCAACTCCAGCATCACAGACCGTGCGACTTCGAGCAGACGAATTACTCAGCCGCATCGTCAAAGCCAAGGAAGCTGGCAAGAATGGGCCGGACATGATGGAGCTGCTGAGTATGGTTGAACCGCAAAAACCGCAAAGAACACCGAAAGAGTCGGCTCCAACTTCGTCGTCCCAGGTCCAGCATCTCGTCGAGACCAAGTCAAAGATTGACGTACCCGCTATTACCTCCGATGTGCCGATTCGCACCACTACCTCGTCTTTCTGGGGACCGGCGTTCGAGAGTAGTGCCTGGAAGCACAAGCAAGCCGCTGCTTCTGTGCCAGGTATCTCACTCGCTGTGCCTTTGCCTCCACTAACTGCCGAGATCTTTGCTGACCCGTCAGAGATGGAGCCGCCCAAATCAGAGGAGGAACCCGAAGTAGAAGCTGTGTCGCCGCAGCGAGAGAACGACGAAGATGTTTTCGTGCTGAAAACTTTGGGCAAGAAGCGCAAGCGTCACACTGAACCCGTGGATGTGATGGCGGCCAACTCAGACGAGATTGCTTTACCAGATGAGAGCGCCACTCGAGCGCAAGAGAAGGCCGAGAGAAAGGCTGCGAAGCGCGCAGCCAAACAAGCAGCCAAAGCGGCTAGCGGGAACGAGACTGCGGCAGTACGAGACGAAATGCAGAATGGAGACGACGAAGTTGCGTTCGATTATGCGAGTGCGCCCAGCATACTGAATCCACCAAGAGAACGTATGAGCGCCAAGGAAAGAAAGAAGAGAGAGAAACAGGTGAATCCGTACGCGAAGAGCATGGATGCGCCAAAGGGGTTGGCCCGCTCGCAGAAAGAAAAGACGGGAAAGAGTATGACTTATAAAGGCTGATGTAGCCTCCTTGTAGACCGTTCGCCCTGGACGATTAGCTTGCAGCAGCCCAAGTGAGATGTGTATATCATCGCTGCAGTAGACTTCACTTCATGTGCCGAGCAAAGGGCTAGACCCCGAGCTATGCATTACTGCCGCTCAGCGCGATCTAACAGCTTTTCTTCACCAGTCTCATCTGAACTCTTCCTATCGAGCCCGAACCAATCCAGCGCTCTGTTGGGATTGGATACGCGCGTATTACACCCTACCAGCCTAAGGTCAACCTTGCTAAGGAAGTCGCACTCGATACTGGGGATCTAACCATGCGTCCGGAGCTGATACCATGGGCCCAGACTAGGTAAGTACCTAGGTACTTGTATACCAACAACATCTTCACTTTCTTACAGACACTTTCCTGCCCCATTCCACTCTCAATCAGAGAGGAGGCAAGAAGCCATGCCGTCTCATGACCTGAGGACAACGACAAGCGCGTCCGCCTCGCACGTTACGTTGACAGAATTCGCATGGAAAGTACTGCCAGCCATGCCGATCATCATCATCACCCTGTGGGTCATTATCAATCTCCTCAAAACTGTCAGGGTAAACCAGAAGCTCGTATTCGGCATCGAGAGAAGACTCTGCAACTGACAAGCTACGCGGAGCGTCGAGAGGAAGTTTTGGTGTTGAGTTATGGATACGAGGGTTCTCTTCTTCCTTCTTGCTATGTTGCGCCTGCTCAACAGCAGTGCGGGCTGCGATGGCGAGGCTGGCGTCTTTTTCGGGGGGAATGTTTGTTGGGAAGAGAGCCCTGTTTTCATCGAATCCGCTCGTCGATAATGCGTGTGGTGTCTGCTGCATGTAGTCCAGTTGACGAAAAGTACCTCCTGGAACGAAATTGCCCGCCGACGCTGGATGGGCGTCAGACTTCGCAGGTAGAACGAGAGAGGATGGTGTATCTGCCGTAGCGAGAGCAGTCGAAGACAAGGCCGAAGCCTGAGTAGAACGCGTCGTACTCATCGGATCGTTGACGCGAGTAGATCGAGAATGAGAAGGCCGTGTGAGCGATTCGTTCTCGTCTGATCCCGCGTAGACAACTTTGCGCCTCGATGGCTCTGTATCGTCGTGATAGGGTCCTGCTTTGACGATCTGGCGTTCTGCACCATCATCATTGTCTGGCCCTGCTTTGACGTACTGGTGTCGTCGTGGTGTCTCCGTTTCGTAGGATTCTGCCGCTCGCATCATCTGGCGGTGTTTTCCTCGTGGGGGGTTTGGTCCTTCCATGGATGCAGGTTGCATGTTGCTCGTGGCGATGGGGATCCTGTTGATAGGTTTTTTGGGGGGGAGATGTGTGATAATGTTGTTGTAAGACGACTTATGACTCGAATTTGTCGTTTCTGCAATGCCGTGTCCACAAGTTCTAGAACAGTAAAGCCTGTTTAAATCAGGTATCAATTGACAATCAGAAAAAAAGAAGTGTTCGAAAAGAGACTGCAGCGTAGAATACAGTGAAGCCTCGTGAACTACATACCTACCTTACGGTAGGTAGTGTGAATCTTTGTGGGACCAAAGGAAGATAGATCCTGTCCCTGCCCTAAAAAGGGGTTATCCCAGAGCAAGTCCCCCAAAAAGACTGATCGAATAAAGAAAGCGTGCACGTCCGAATGGAAAGTGTTCAAGATGCATGGCCCAAGGTAGGCGCAATAACCAACAGCAGACCTTCCGAGAAGGCATTCATGAGGTAGCATTGCATAGCATAGCATAGCATATATCCATGCGCAGGCTGGGTAAACCAAGTGCCAGGCTACCAGAACGTCCGGATCGCTTCCTAAATGCCCGTCGTCTGCAGTAATTGAATTTTCTGTGAAATCGTGAAAGACTTTATAGCAGGTCTATGATTTTCTCCTACCTTAGGTACGTACACGTGCCGAAGCCAACCGATACACTCACTGCTCATCAGACATCTCTCCAATTCAATGGCTTTAATTTCTTTTCTCCGAGCAGAGAGTTCGTTCCCTTCAGTTCGGGTTACAGATTCAGTCTAACTTGTGCTAATATTGACGTCGTGGTAGCTAAAGAAGACACTCACAGAATTTTCAGGGGAAGAGTCGTCCGCCTCAAGGAGAGCAGTACTCCTAGAGTAGTTCCCTGCTTGGATTCCCGACGACATACTGCATTCATCCGGTACTGAACTGGTTTATTTCTCTTCTCCTTGTGTCCCTCTCCAGAACAGGAGTCTCGACCGATATACGTGGCTTGTGTGATATGAATGGTTCTTGTGCCGAAGATGTTACTGGTAAGTCAGCAGTCGGACTTGTTGGAGCAGCCCGATTTAGGGAGATCTGACCCCATCTACAGCCACGTTGGCATCTTTTGGATGGCAGGGCAGATCTCGTTTCCAAAGCGCGATTGCGATTGCACATGTGACCTAACATCGTGCTGTTGAAAGCTCATGATGTGATGGGATGTCGGAGGATATGGGCGGAAGACGCGTGAGGCTCAACGAGTGAAATGTGGAGAGCGCCAAGCCGTATTCATAGCTCTGTAACATAAGTCGAATGCAAGATGAAGCTTGTCCAGTACATTTTTGATACAAGATATCCAGATACCGCCTGACTATCTACAGCTGCCGAGCTCGTCCCACTGTCATTGATATCACTCACAACTCCTCATGGCCAGCCTTGACCTCCTCCGCCTTCTGCTTGACCTTCTCAGCGCCTGCAGCCACGCCCTCCGCGGCCTGCTTGACCGCTTCATTCTTTACTTTTTGCGCCTTGTCTTTGACTGACTCGTAGCTCTCGCCGGCTGCCTTGGCCTTTTCCTTGACAGCCTCAGCGCCCTCCCCAGCAGCGTCCGTTGCAGCCTGTGCTTTCTTGCCAGCCTCGTCCTTCACAGATTCGGCGGTATCAGCTGCAGCGTCTGCAGTGTCCTTGACTTTTTGTCCGACAGTCTCAGCGCCCTCGGCAGCGCCATCCTTTGCGGCTGCGGCCTGTTTCTTCGCTTTCTCGATCTGCTCTCTGACAGCTGCCGGCATTTCTCCCGTCTTCGCTCCCGTTCCTGCTCCAGCTCCTGCTGCATCAGCGCCAGCACCAGCGCCTCCCATCAGGTTGCCCATGGAGCCCATCAGGGATTCCAGCTTACCGCCCTTGAGTGGTCGCTTCTCCATGGCCTTCTTACATGGCGCTGGTGGAGCAGGAAGACTCTCATCGAGTATCACCCTGCCCACAGTCTCATACTTCTTGTTGTTCGCGAAGAAGTTCACCCAGTGCGCCAGAGTCTCTTGTACCTTCGCATCGGCCTCCTCCTTGTCTGTGATCCGTCTCTTAGCCCTCATTTTTGGTCCCACTTTTCCAAATCGTGCAAGCGCCTTCTCAGCCATGGTCTTGAGCATTTCCTGCGGCATGGCGCCCATAGCGCCCAAATCTCCTTCGAAATCTCCCTCGCCGACGTCGGTGAGCATTTCATCCATGTACTTGGGCATGAACATCACTTCCACGTCGTCCAGTCTCCATGTGAACTGTTCCGGCTCGTCCCAACACTCCGTAATCCAGGCTCGAGTGGCATCTTTCCCGACGAAGTGGTTGTAGTGACCACCTGGTCCGTAGAAGGCTGGACTGGCAGAAACATCGAAGATGGTGCCGTTGATGCCGAGGTAGATTGGTTTCTCGGGGTCACTGCCATCGAACTCTTTCAGCTCCTCCTCGGTCAAGCTGAGCAGTCCCGTAGTCTCTGCTGCTGCTGCGCCAAACAGCGGCGCCTCTTTCTTGCCCAAAGCGTAGTTGTTCAGTGTGCGGTCTACGACGGGAAACTTTTCATTGATGTAGGCAGCAAAAGGGCCTTGGTTGCGATTGTCGAATTTGTAGTAGAAGGTCAAGGAAATGCCAGTCATGAAGACAACAATCATCCATATTAGGACCCAAATATTGGGCTCCAGATCGAGGTCTGACTCAGCACGCTTCCGTTTGGAGTCGTCCTCCTCCTCGCGAGGTGTATTAGTGGGTTTTCCATTGGAGGTTACGCCTTCAACAGGCTTGCGCTGGCGGAGGGAGTCTGCGGACGCCATGATATTTGGTATGTGAGGGGGACTAGACAGGAGAGGAAAGGACACGGGAGAAGCAGTCAAGCGAAATGGAAGACATTTGTCGATAGGACGTCATTGTAGCCAAACAGCAGCCAGCCATTCCAACTACGGAGGTACTGCAAGCTGGCCATCCCATCTCTGGAACTTGGTGATCTTCCAGAGCTCCAGCGGTGGAAATGATCGGCCAAGCCAAGAAGCCCAGCCAAGAACGAAGGCATGGATGGCATCAACACATGAATTTGTCGTTGATATAGCAACGCTGATGACCTGTATGTACCAGATATATCTGCTTTCACTTCCACCTCCATTTATTGCTCACTCTGCCCGATTGCATGTGTGATAGAATACACAGCACAGGTGTGTTGGCTCTAACGCCTCATCTCGGCTACGAATCAAAACCTCAACCTCAGTCCTCGTGACCTTTTCCGTTAACCGAGTCTTAAGGCTAGGTAGGTACTTCTAATGGCGCGTGTCCGAATATACGGCACATTGATGGGAATTTGCCGACGAAAGAGTGTAGGACACAGCAGTCTGCGGTACAAGAACCCGTGATGGCCACGCACGGCATCTTTCGAGATGCCAGTGAACAATTACAATGGTCACGAGGTGGAGGATATTGGCGCGTTCCTTGGAGGAGGCGACGATAATGGAGGCAATGATACCCAAGCAGACAACGTTACAGCCAGCGAAGACGCTGATATATTGAGTCTAACGACACGGAAGCAGAGAGTGATGGCCATGGGCCAGCTGCTGGCAAGCACCTCCCCTCCTTGTCGCTGATACGCAGAAAGGAGAAAGGGAGGTGTGTAGAGTGGAAACAATCAAAATGATGAGGAGTTACCCATGAGAGGAGGCCGCCAGCTGTACAGAACGACACTGTACAGATTGATGTCTCGGAAAAGCCTACTACGACATCTATGCGCCTCGGAAGTGAGACACAGGCTCATATGCACTATCCGGACTCCGGAACCGACTCTCTTATGTCCGCTTTCTGGATTTTCTTATGCAAACATAATCTCGGCAGCGCAGCGAATCCGTAAGCTAACAGCCAGTCCTTATTCAATATCTACACTCCCAATGTCATTGGCTGCCTCGAGACTCTATAGGATCGATGTATCCATAGCGGAGGCAGTTTTATTTGAGATACCTAAGCCTTTCCGCAGCGGCTACATACAGCGAACGGCAGTGCATTTGTCTTCCTAATGCATGTATTCGGCCATTCTGTAGACAAGAAGAATCACATGCCTACGCGGTCTGAAATACTTATCAGAAGCTATAAGTCCTCTACACAATAAACAAGGGCGGCGAGAATACAGCTTAGAATCCTCGGCCAACATAAAATCGAGCTATAGACAGCGATCCGCTGCCTTTCCCTCCGCAAGTGCTGTTGACGGCAGAATGCAGAATGAATGCTTCGCGGAGCGGCAGGAACCTACTGCTCTATCCTCTCTACGTTGGCTGCAGAGAGTACTACAACAAGTAACAGAGAACACGGGGACATGAGCTCATTGGAAGCTTCTTGCTGGAAGGAGTACCTAGATGCTCGGCATGGCGGTCGAGAGCCCATATCTCCATGAGTTACAATTTTGAAGACTCCTGATCGGAGCGGCAGCTCGGTCGTCTTAGAAACATTCGATGCTCACCAGGGCATGCCATTGGAATTCTGTCGACGGGATCTGTAAGTTTGCGATGCCGCTGCACCGGAGGACAATCCGAGTATAAGACTGATAATAGGTTGAAGAGGGGGGGCGGTATAGCCTTGAGACAACCCTAAATGATGGTTCATTTACATATAGCTGTAGCGATGGCAAAAGGATAGTACTCATAGTCATATTACCATAGCGAAGCTTGCTATAAGTTATCTACCTTATGTCTGGTATCATCGTGTTCATAGGTATCGAAGGAAATTCGGGACCGAATAGCGGATACGCCCGTGGCGGCTGATGAAAACTCTTGGCAAGACTACTCTCTTCACTTCACCTCGCCCAGAATACACCCCAACCCCTCCTCCTTCTTTGCGTCCTTTGTAGCCAAAGAATGCAGCACGTACCAAAGTCATGCTTCCACGGGCAAGGCTAGGCCTCCACAGCATGTCGAGTGGATCCCCCTGAGCACAAAATGTACCTCTCGCGATTCTCGACCAGACGGCATCTGTCATCGCTGCTCTTCAGCATTGCGTTCCTGGTATGCATTTTGCTATACCTGACACATGGCACGAACGAGGTCATAGACATGCCTGTTCTGCCGCAAGAAGATTTACAAACGTTCTCGTCTCGAGCGATCAACAACACGGTAATGATCGTAGCTGTCAACACAGGAATGCTTCACTGGGCCGAAAATCTGCTTTGCTCTTTCAAAGCAACCACGTTCGACGAGTCCAACATGGTCTTCTGGGCCCTGGATGCACATGCAAAGCAAGTGATTGAAGAGAAAGGTCTCGCTGCATACCACGATCCATCTCTCTTCGCCACAAGTACGAATGAGAACAAGCAGGGCAATACAGCATCCTACAACCGCATGATGCGGGAACGACCCAAGTTCTTCATGAAAATTCTCTCTGCGGGATTGGACATTTTGATGATCGATGCCGATACGATCTGGTGGCAAAATCCATTCTCTATTGTGCCTGACAGTCACGATCGTCCGGCCGTGGACATCGTCTACAGCACGGATGCTCGAGAATTCTACCAAGACCATGATGCATTTCGTGATGTCTGGAGGAGAGGACCGTTTGTACCTCCAATCTGCAACGGCATCTTTTGGATGAAGAGCACCACAGCGACCATTTCTCTATGGAAGGACATGTTAGCGATCTTTGAGACACCTTGGTATAAAGCCTTCTTTCGGCCCAAGGGATTTCAAGACGATCAGAGAGGCATGGATGTTCTTCTCAATCACGGTCGTGCACAGGTTGTGGCGCCTTTTCCGGAAGGAATACATGAAGATCAAGTTCCCACGGCTGCGATCAGTTCATCAGATGCAGTGTTGAAAGTTCGACTCCTGGATCAGACGAGCATCGCGAATGGTCAATTGCTTATGAATAGGCAAAGTAGATACGCCGAGAACCTGGCGAAGCTTAGAAAGTCCGGAGGAGACCGCATAGCGGCGCATTTCAATTGGGACACGACAGTCGTCTCGAAAGAAGATGGTGCCAAGGAATTGGGTCTTGTTCTCCTGGACGAGAATGGGAGATGTGTGAATTGATCGCACGTAGAATGTTACTACTTGAGCTCTAACTCTCCCTTATAACCTCGTTCTGGACCATGAGCTTCCGCGGTTCTCAGCTGCAGGTGTCCGAAGAGGTGTCTGAGCGCTCAGATGATTTGGCGCTGGAAGAGCGTGGTTTGGACATCCTGAGCTCAGTGACTGTATTGCGTGGTTCTAGTTGCTGTATCCGTGATCTTGCTGTGGCATGTACTGCTGGAATGTCCGGCTTGTCATGTCAGATGGAGACCTTCCGATGTGCGGGAGAATTGAGGGCGTATGTGACAATTTGAGTGCTGTGGTGGATCCTGAATCCGATTTGAAACAACATTGAGGAGAGAGAAGTCCCGTGGATAGGCATTCAAGAATGAAGACATATGCGAGTACAAGAGACTTAGTCCAGCATGGTTGAAAGGTGGCGCCCCGGATCCAATGCTTCGTAGTGTAGCACTGGCACCACGAGCCAAGATCACAGCGGTCAGAAAAGGAGAAGAGTCGTCATGTCGGCACCGTGCTCAACATATTAGTCCTGGAGCTATTCACCACAACATCAGCAAACATTCTTGATGACATCCCCAGACACGAAACCAGAGAGACTCACAAGTCGCAAAGCGTGACTCCATTCCATCGACCGAGCTGATTTTCCAAATGCACAGATGCCACTGGCAGTCTCTCTTTCTCGTCCTGGGACGGTGCAGGCCAAGAACAACTCCCTTCCAATCCCGCGACTGAACGATTATCATTCATCTCCACGGGCACATCAGCCTCCATCTCTTGATAAGGAGCTTCCCACCGCTGATACGGATCATACGTTCCAGCAAGATTCGCCTTTCCCTGAAGCTGCCGCTCATCTCCATCCCTCAGTTCCCAGCTCCTCCAAAGACTACCACTCCCACCATCACCATTGATACCACCTCCTTCTTCCAAATACGCAATACTTAGTCTGAACCAGTCGAAATCATCTTCGATAACAGGAACCAAGAGTTTGTCTTCTTCTTCTTCTTTCCCTCCTTCACCACCACCACCACCACCACCACCACCACCACCACCGCCGCCCCCCGTCCTCATCGCCATCATCAAAACCTCCTCCTCCCCCCAACTAGTAGAACCAACACCTCTCTCCTCCCTCAGACTTCGCCAACAACCTCTTCCACCACTCCTACTGCAGCGCCAAACACCAGAGAGAGTAGTTCCAGCTTTATTCATCTCACTCCGCCTCAAAGGCGGAGCTTTCCTCTTCCAATGCTCGTACGGTTTGAAACTAGAGAAGAATGGTGCCATATTTTATTTTTTTTTCTTCTCAAAGCAGGTAGGGCAGGGTTACTCAAATCACAGAGTACCTACCTAGGTACAGGTAGGTAGTACCTAATTTCGGGTGATTTAAAATCGCTGCTGGAACTTGTTGTATTGAGAACTTGGATTTGCCTCCCGTCGGCGGGTCTGTGAAAATATGGATGGTAGTGCTACCTGAAAGATGGATTCAAGGGAGACTTCCTTACTTAGGGTGATGAAAACAGTGACTCAGGGGAACTTGCCGATATCTTCCCTTCCTTCCTTCCTTAGGTATTATAGATATCGTCGCCCCCTTCTCCCCCTCCTGCTCGGAAAATCATGCGGGGTGTGCCTCCTTTTCTTCATTCTCACTCCTACGTTGTTCACATCCAGTAGTACATCAAAACCCGTAGGAAAAAGTAAGAACCGAATTTAGGATTCGTAAAACTTCACTGCATTCCACCAATACCTAGGTGCCTAGCCTACCCTACCTGGCCTACCTTCATCAATCCAACATTGGTATGCCCGTCGGTCGTGGGCAGGAAACCGATGAGCGCCAGCCAACCCCCCCCCCCCCCCCCAAAAAAGTTTAACCCCATCAGCCCGCCCTCTTTCTTTCGGACATGTCATCAACCCTTGATCCCCACAAAAATAACGCCACCAGCTTCTCTCCCGAGCCCTGTTTGTCTGTCTGTACATGCATAAGGTATCATATCATTCATTCACCCGCGGCACACCAAAGCAAGCAAGGCATGAGATTTATGCCGCCTCAGCTGCGACCGGTTGCGGCGTCGCAGCCTCATGTACTCGAGGAGGTTGCTGTACCGTCCGATGTCGCGGGTCAATGTAGTCGCGATTTTCCACAGTGACACTCTTGGTCTGTAGATACAAAGGAAAAAAACAGTGTCAGCCGTGGATTCGAATGCCCGTCATATCCGCAAAATGTCACTTTTCGGCGCAAGGATACGCTTGCAGCAAAGCCATCAAAAGCTTGGTTGGACGTCTGTCAAACGGGAAGGGAGGAGTCTGGTGGAGAAAAAAAGAAGAAGAGGAAATACTCACCATGTGGTTAACCTTGTACACCCCCACCAGCCGACTCGCCAACTCAAACATGTTGTTGCGCAGAGAAATGACAATGAATTGGGCATTTTTCGTCCGTTCCTTGATATACGCAGCCACAATCGACACATTTCGAAAATCCAACGCGGCATCAATCTCATCCATGACATATAACGGCGTAGGCTTGTAATGATGCAGCGCAAACACCAGCGCCAGGGACGAAAGTGTCTTCTCACCACCGGACAAGTTGCCAATGTTCTTCCACGACTTCTTCGGCGGCATGACGGAGAATAGAATGCCTTCGCTGAATGGATCGAGAGAGTCGACCAATTCCAGTTCAGCATTGCCGCCCATCGTGATCATCTGGTACATTTCCTTCAGCCGCTGCGAGATGATGAAGAAACCTTCCATGAAGCCTTCCAGACGTAGTCGACGCATGTCGTCGGTTCGCTTCTTGGCCGCGTCTCGTGCTGCCAGTGCGGTGTTGAGATCTTCCAGCCGGTCGCTGTACTCACGCACACGTTTTCGATACTCGGCTAGCACCGAAAGCTCTACCGCCTGGCTCGTGCGCTCCTCCAGCGACGCGATCTGAGCTTTGAGACTGTTCTTGTCCAGGTCTTCGAGCTCGTCGCGTGACAATTCCGGGACCGGTTCGGGCTCCTTTTCTTCGCCGTCCTCCGACACGTTCTGCACACTGAGCTTGCTGAGTTTCTCGAGCCAGTACGAGTGCTGCTTCTGATTAGTGGCAAGATGCTTCTGGCTCTCTTCCAGGCTGTTGCGCATGTCCACCTCCGCGCCTCTCGTCTCGTTGAGCTCCGATTGCATTTCTTCCATCTGCTTTTTGAGCGTATCGAGCTGGTCCATCTTTTCCTCGAGCGCGAGCTTGATCTCTTCGTATTGGTGGAGCAAGTCCGCGTTGCCATTGTTCTGCTTTTCAACACTCTGTTCCACACTCTCGAGCTCCGACGCGATCTTCTCCAAGTCCTTCTCGGCATCAGCCAGTGCCTTCTCGTGCTTGACCTGTGCCTTTTCTGCTTTAGTCTTCGACATCTCTGCCGCACTGAGTCGCTCGTTAAGGAGATCAATCTGTTCTTTGAGGCTGTCCACCTTGGCTTTCTGTCCTCGTAGCTTGATACCACCAATTTCCATGATCTTGTTTTGAAGCTCTTTGATCTCAGCTTCAAGACCTTCTGTCTCATGTTGCAACCTCTCCACATCCTTCTGCATGGCGCTGATGCTCTTCTCAAGACTGGCAGTCTTGCTCTTGTCGGTCTTTGAACTGTGTTGTTCGCCTGACAATTCCGAGATGCGATGCTCAGAGTCCGCGATATTGCGGTCAATGCTGCCGAGCTCCAGTTCTAACTTCTGCATGTGTGTCTCTAGCCTAGGTACTTCGGTCTGCAATTGCCTGACCTGGCTCTCCAGTGCACTCTGCTCCTCCTGTAGCGTAGCATACTCCTGTTCAAGAGTATCGCGGTCGACCTCGTACCTCTGCACTTGCTCCTTCGTCGTGTCAGCAGCAACTTTGGACGACATGGCGCCCTTGGACACTTTGTTGCCACCACCCGTCATCACACCGGACTTATCGATAAGCTTTCCTTCCAGTGAGACCACTCGCCACCTCTTTGCCCCGTATGCGACACGATCAGCCTGTTGCGAATCCTTGGCGACCAGAGTGTTTTGCAGGACGCTGTAGAAAGCTGGAAGGAAGCGATCGTGCTTAGGCTTGACTAGATCAAAGAGTCGCGAGCAGTTTTCGGGTGTCTCGATGGGCGACATATCTCGATTCGGCAACTTGTCGAGACAGATGAAGTTGGCGCGTCCGAGATTGTTTTTGCGAAGGTAGTCAATGCATTGCTGCGCAGCTTCGACCGTGTCGACGACCATATTGTCAAGGGCAGAACAAGCAGTCGAGATGGCTATATCGTATTTGGAGTCAATGGTCCCCAGGTTGCCGAGACGTCCATGAAAACCATCGACCCGACCCGAATCCCTGAGGCGAGTGAGACCAGCAAGCACATTACCTTGGCTTTGCGTCGCTGACAGGCTCGCCCGAGCCTCGTCTGCTTTCGACCGTGCATTAGACAGTTTGGACTTCAGACCGGGCTCTTTTGCCAGTACACCATCGAGTTGCTTTTGCGCCGCCTTTATATCTTTTTCGGCAGCTTTCATCTGCGACTTCGAGCTGTCCATCTCCGTTGCCTTGGCCTCGCGTTGTTCTTGCAGGCTTGCGATCTTGGCTTGGACATCTGCAATGGCTGTTGCGCCCGCATTCTCCCGTTCCCGCAGGATGTCGAGCTCAGACTGCGCGACGGCGATCGAGGATTGCTTCTCGTTGATCTTTGCTGACCACGGCTCAAGCTGCTTCTGCTTGGCTGCGATCTCGTCGCTGATGCCCTGCGTCTTGCCTTTTAGCGATTCACGAATCTCGGCAAGCTCTTGGTTTTCGGCTTGCATGTCTTGCTCCAGACTCTCTATTTCACCTGTCCAGCGTTCCACATCGTCGGCAGCTTGCTTTGACAAGTTCTGCGCTTGAGCAATCTCAAACTTGGACGTCTCACGAATCTTTTCGAGCTTCTTCTCCTTGTTCTTGAGATGCTTCTTCTTCTCCTCCACTTTGACGCCTGCCTTCTCAATGTCCTCGACTTGTTTCTTGAGACCAGCGGTATCTTTTTGCATCTTTTCATACATCTTAGACTCATTTCGGTGTTGTTTCTCTACTGCCTTGATCTCGGCTTCAGCCTCTTGATGTCTCCCGAGTTCTTCATCGAGCTTTGCTTGGACTTGGGCAATGGCTTCCTCAGACACTTGAATGTTGTCCCCGCACTCGGCAATATAGATCTGGTAGAGGGCTGACTGCTTAGAAGCAAGATCATTCTCGTCTCGGAGGTATGCGAGCGCCTTTTCCTTTTTGTCTTCCAGGCCATTCTTCTCCTTCTCAACGTGTTGAACACGGGTACTCTTCTCCAAGCATACTTCGTTCAGGGTTTCCGTCTCTGCGGCAGCTTCCTCGATTGGAGTCTTGTACTTTGACGTGCCTATAATGTCCTCAAGGTACTCGAGTAAGCCATCGTCGTGCTCGTTTGCGGCCTTTGGCTTCATCTGCGCAATCGACTCCACCTCGCCTTGAAGGATCAAGAAACGCTTGTGATCCAGATCGATCCCTTTCCCCTTGAGCAAAGTCGTGACTGTTGTGAAGTCTGACGTTCTGCCGTTGATGTAGTATTTGCTACTGTTGTTCTTGAATGCCCGCCTGGAAACCACGAGCTGGGAATCAGGCACGACTTCCGATCCTCCTCCAGGCAGATCCATGACCATCTGGAAATGCACCTCGACCTCGCAATAGTCTAGATCAGGGTACTGGGCGCTGTTATGGATCAGGGCAGAGATCTTGCCCTGTCGCATCTTGCTTGCACGGAAGCCAAACACAAACAGCAGCGAGTCAATCACGTTGCTCTTGCCTGATCCGTTCGGCCCTACCACCGAGGAGAACGAGGCATGAAAGGGTCCAACTCTCTGTTCTCCCGCGTACGACTTGAAGTTTGTCAAAGTCAGCCAGGTAATGGTCATTCGCGGCTTCGCTTCTACCGGCTCTTGCGAGGCAGGAACTCCCATTGCTCTCCTTTTCACCACGATATCCATGGGTCGTTCCAGCTTCGTCAAACTCGGGTCAATCTTCTTCACCGCGATTTGTGTCGCGTCTGGTCCAGGAGTTCGCTGCTGCACCGAGACCATGCTCGCATCTTCGTCTTCGGACGGCGTCATGGGACGCTTTACAGCCTTCGGCGTCGCAGCGTTCTCGTCCATGGTCGCATCAGTCATTTCTACATCGTCGTGGGGACTGCTTTGCTGCGAGGATTTACGCGGAGTCTGTTCGTTGATGGACATCTCCGTGAGTGGAGTTCCATGGCGCGAAGAAGTGTCGCGCGGCTCCGGTGAGGCTGATGCTTGGGGCGTCGGTAGTGGAGGCGGCCGATCTTCCTCCAAATCCGTCGCGATGGACACACGAGACGCCCTGCTCTTTCGGGCGCGGGCATCCTTGACACTGCGTCGCTTGGGAGGCGACTTCTTGGTAGGGGACTCTGGTTCCTCCGTTCCATCCTCGGGCGGTGGACTGAAGACATGCGACGGCTCGATCGACGATTCTACCGTCGTACGTCGCGCTGCCGTGCGTCTCCGCGTCGTCGCATCACCCAATGTCTTTCGTCTCGGAGATCCTCTGCTCGTCTTCGGTGCCGGCGTGAATTCTTCGTCCTCCTCCTCGTCGTCGTCCCGTCTGCTGACCACGCTCTGTCCTCCGTCTGACCCTTCTTCCTCTTCCTCGTCGACCACCACTTTTCTGCGAGTCGCCGCGCGTCGCGAAGGTCGCACAGGTGAGTCTGCCATGAGTGTCCGTGGCGTGTTGTGGTGTTGCGCAGTCAGTACAGAAACAGCTTCTGCTCTTTTGTTTACCGTGCTTGAGTGGAGTAAACAGTGATCCGCGCTTGTTATTTTCCCGCGACGCGTCTGCACGTGCCTGACAAATCGTGACAGAAATCGCAGTCTCGGTCATCCCTATCCGGCCCGAGCCGAGCGGCGTCAATGCCGGCAGCGGCCCGACGGGCAACGCGATTTGATCAAAAGACTATTAAGCGCTGACTGCAGCGAGACGCCAATTGGCACGGAAGCGGAGCCCTAGCGCGAAATTACGCGCGCTTATGCAGGTGCGTCTGCGCGAGAGACGACCGCACACAATCCAATCCTGATGCGAGCCCCCCAATGCACACGACTGCTTTCCCATCACTCAGGTCATTTCGTTTGTTCGGAGCCATGTTCGTGGGGATGAGTGGATTGTGGAATAGTCTTTGATTTGGGGGGATCTGTCTGATAATCTGCCGTTATATCTTTCCGTTAACACAATAGCCCCAACACCTACCTACCTACCTACCTACCTACCTAGTACCTCCTCTATACCTAACTACATAAATTCCGAAATTGCAAGCAACTACTACCCCTTCGCACGTGAGAGCCCAGAGCATCTTGTACAAAATGTTGCTACTCAGCGAGTTCTTCGTTCCCTCTCCCCGTCGACGATGATTTTTCCACATGTGCGAGCTTGATCAAAGAGAGGTGGTTAGGACTACGTCGGGATCGTACAGCCAGAGATATTGGTTGCATCCTGCACACCGGAAGGATACGTAACGCCTCTCCTGCCTTGGGTCGCAGTCGACCAACTCTCTAAGCCCTCCAGTACTTCGCCCTCCCGTGGTTGTGTTAAACAGTAAATGGTCTCGGAGTCATGGCGCGTTCTCGTTGGCTGATGCCGACAGGTCCTCTTGTCGCTTGTGGCGCCTGATTGGCAAATACAGAGACCATGGAGCGCTGGTTCGGTTTTAAGGTAGAGGTCTCTTCGATAGACTGTGCGATGGCTGCATATGGCTGGACGGGCCTGGGTGTCGAGGGTAGATCCACGTCTACAGGCAGCCGCAATGCTCTTGCTAGGCACTCTGCAGCCGATATTCGCTCCTTTGGATCAATGACGAGCATGTCTAACAAGAGATCAGTCAAGCCATCAGGTTCACTTTCGTGGCACTCGTTCAGATGCTTGACTATCCTCCCCAACCAAGACAATTCTCTGCATCTTGGTGGAGATCCATAGGCGTACTCGAGGATAACTAAGCCAAACGACCAAATATCAACTGCGCATGAATACTGGCGCAGTTGCCTTGTTTCTGACGTAAAGATCTCGGGAGCCATATACCTGTGAGTTCCGCAATGCGTTTTGAAGTTTTGGTTTGCTTTGGATAGGCCAAAGTCTCCGAGTTTGATTAGGAGAGGGTTTCGAGTGTAGACGAGAATATTGGCGGGTTTGATATCTCGATGTGCGATTGGCGGAGTACGTCCGTGAAGGTATGTCAAAGCCGAGAGGCCTTGTTGTAGGATTATGATAACCTCATTTCTGGAGATATGGAGCTGCTCGGAAAGAGCTCCAAGAGGTTGGTATTCCAGAACTAATTGGAGAATCGGCTTCTGCAATGCGCAATGCAGGGGGACAATATGCTTCTGAATAGACATCAGTGGATAGAAAGAGAAGGTCCTGTAGTAAATGCTGTACTCACATGCGAGATCAATTCCATGACCGATTTCTCCCTCTGCCACTCGGACGTCTGATCGTCATTAAACCTCTTGGAAGCGAATTCGGCGCCGGTACTGACGTCCCAGACGCGGAACACTGTTGCGAAGGATCCGCTTCCAAGTTTCTTTTCGCCAAGAAAGATGTGGTCTCCGGTAGGGCTCGATGTTCCACTGGAAGCTGCTGTTGAAGCATTGCTCTGAATACCAAGTGCCCCTAAAGGCAGGCTTGTCTCCGCAGCAAAATTGGCCCGAAACATCTTTACGTTGTCGGAGTATGTCGTCGGAAATGAAGGTTTTGAGACCAAAATTCGAAATCGCAGCTTTGTGTTGAGCTCGATAACAATTTTCTTTGTGTTGTCCGGGCCTATGTGTCCGCCAATAATCCAAGTGAAGTTGCGGCGCCTCTCCTTTCCTTTGCCGTCGTATTCAACAATGGTCCCGTGTTTTGAATGGTCCCGCACGATCAATCGTCCTTCCTCGTCGAAGCTCAAGAAGCAGTGGTGGCGGCTAATGCTTGGTAATGATGATGGAAGGACGATATCGCAACCTTCAGCCGTTCCTAGCCAAAATCCGGGCGCTGCCTTCGGGCCGAGAGTGAAAGTCAATTGCAGTCCTTCAATGTTGGGAGGTTCTGAATCCGACTCCTCGCTTTCGTCATAGAACGAAACTGTCGATTCGCGGGTGGTGCGGCCCGGCAGGTCAAGTAAAGCTGCAGGTGCTTGTGCAGCTACTCTTCGCGATCTGTTCTCCACCTTGTCAACTGCAACTTTTGCATAGTTCTGGTCAGTGGCGTCCTCATGGGGATACAAGCATGCAATCACGTCTTCCATGATCAAGACGGGATAAGGTAACTGGAAGTGTTGACGGGAGTGGAAGAGATGGAATCCAGAATGAAAAGCAAGCCTTAGGTACCTGACCCAAGTGGGAAGCGCAATGCCCTTTTTATCCCTTTTGGCCCTTTTTGATCAATCCTACGAGACGGAAGACGGGAATCCCATGAGGCGGAAATCCTTCGAGCCGAGAATCCTACGAGACGGGATTCCAACCACGCTGCGAGACGGGAGTCCATACGGGCCTACGAGACGGGAGCCACCTGGAGTTGAAGCCGTGAAGGCGCTTCCTGAGGCGACTGCTGAGGCGATACGCTGGAGATGCTGCTGGCGGGAGACGACGGTGTCCAACCATGCGGCTACCTGTATCTGCAGTGTGCCTGGTAGCCGCCTAGGTATTATTATCCATGCCATGCCATGCAAGCGAAGCGAGCACTGAGCAGAATGGGCGGCGTCTCGCTCAATCTCCATTCTCCACTGCATGTGTTCGAAATGCATGGATTTCTCACCGGTCGTGGAAGCGCCCGCTGAGTCATCCATCGTAACGGTTCGTTCCGCGTAGAGCCGTAGACTACCTCCAGTTTGAAGTTTGAGGGTCCAAACACCGCGCTGCAACTTGCGACGGGACTTTTTCCAGAGACCTCGACACTACATGTAGGTACCTGAGTACTACTACTCCATCATCCGGCAACGTGACATGATGGTCGACCAGGACAGGACCGTGGAAGCAAGAATGCCACTTGCGCGAGAAGTCGAGCTCTACACGGAAGAAGAACTCGACCGGCACTTGGAAGAGAACGGACTGTGAGAGGCAGCCCTTGCAATCCCTTTGTTCGCCTTCTTGCCATGCTGATGTCGTTTCAAGAACCGTGATGGTACAAGACCCGAAAAACATCACGCCTGAATTCATTCAGAGGCTGAGGTAACCGCTCGCCTGGTCTCTGCCACTTATGCCCTCCTTACCTAGCTAATAGTGAAGAGTAGAGACAAAAAAGAGCGTTCACGCGAATCATGCACCCTCGATCTCGACCAAGTCAACGCTCTACTCCAATCCGTCCCTACCACCACCCCTGATCTGTTCCGCAATTCGCCCTCACCTGCTAGCACCCCGTCGTCTCTACCTCAAGAAGAAGTAGATGCTGAGTGCCTACGCGTCGAGACGGAATCCTACCATATTCTTGTTAATGATGGCGCCCACCCTCCATATCCCTTCCATCTTCTCGAAAGCTTCCTCTGGAATCCGGAACAGTACCTCGAGCATGAAGAGTATGGTGACATTGTCTATTACTGGAGAGTGTATGAGTCCGACAAATCTGAACGCACCTGCATCTGTGCAGGCCACCTATCGAAATGGAGAGTTTTCCGCAACGTCCAGAAGATAATTAGAGAGCGAGGAGTCCAGAGTGAACCGGTCCTGTGGGCAGCGGCAAGCTACACCGGCGGCTTGGAAACTTACGTGGACCATTATGGTTCTATTGACGGACAATGGGACTTCAAAAAATATGCAGAGAGGTTAACGAGACGACTATCCAAGTATGGATTCACTCGGCAATTCCAGCTCGAACGTAATCTAGACCGGCAAGACAAGCTGACTACCTGGATCGAGTATCTCGGCTACGAGTACCGGTTTTATGACTATGCAGCAACTTTCGTTAAACGTTCCCAGCGACGGCACGATAGAGGCTGGAAAAAGCTAGTTGACTCCAACCTCTTACGGCCGGAGGAGACGTATGATGTTATATGCGATGTCAACACTAGCTTTCAGCATGCCAACGAAGAAGAGAGGGCAGAGAAGGCGGTACAATCGGCGACGGCAGCTGTGTCTTCGACCGAGAGTATTATTGCTAGATCAGATGGCTCTACAACAAAACTTCGACAACGCCTATCAGCAGAACAAGCTACGCTAGATGCCGCCAGGGGAAGCCTTGAGTCGATCAAGACGCGAAACGAAGCTATCACCGAATTTCTTTCGCCGATGAGGGAATATTTTTATCAGAAAGATGAAGCACGCCGTCATAGTGCATTACTACGGTGGATTGTTCGCCAAATCCCAACTATTGAGCTCGAGCTGAACTCACCCGACAACGCCGAGAACGACCCAGATCGTATCCAGAGACTCCCAGAAACCATTGAAGGACAGCATTCTCAGGAATACCTGGGCACGCATGCTGTAGGCGACAAGCAGTCGGATTCAGTCCAGGGAGCACCATCAATTTCCTCTTCGCTAATACCCCAATCACACAAGCGCCGACGCAGCTCGTTCAATAATGAACCAGTATCCAAGAGACATAAAGCCAGTCCCGAAGAGATCGTGGCTAGTTCTTCAGCACCTAATGCATCCCCTTCAGTAACGGCAAGACCAGCAACAGAAACAAGGACCACCCCAGGACTGGAAACCAGCAAGGCCCCTTCAGGCGATTCTTCACGACCGCTCAAGCCTCTGCGCCGCAGTGCGAGGATTGCGCAACTAGCGACAGAAACAAAGACGACCCCAGGGCTGGGAGTAAGCAAGATTCCTTCAGGCGATTCTTCACGACCGCTCAAGCCTCTACGCCGCAGTGCGAGGATTGCGGAAATAGCGAGAAAAAAGGCCATGTCTATTGAGACGAGGATAGCACCAGTTGAGCCAAGAAGGTCCGGAAAAAGCACTTCAGTGAGTGTGCCAAGAGGATCGGGACGAAGGAGGGGTAGACGGCGAGGTGCAGTAGGTAGAGTCATAAGGAGCTAAGCGGGTATGATACTGTATTGGAATGAAGACGATGAGCACCACGCCGCCAAGAGTCAACAGTACATGTAGTACTCGGTAATATTGGGTATACGCAGAGTTGGTAGTGTCCTCCCGCTTGAGACTCCCGTCGGCCCCGAAAAAGAAATAACATTCTGCGATGGCACTGAACTATACCCCCCTTTGAGCTAGTGAAGCAACGACATCACCTCCCTCCCGACCGAGAAAGAGCATGCACATCCAAATACCTCCTAGGTTAAGGCCCCGTCTCCTTTGACCAGTTTGACGCTTTTTACGCGACAGTATTTTTACCGTCGGCATAGCCGTCGTCGCGCCAGTGTCGATTCTACAGTTTCTGTGAGTAGATAGGTCGGCGATAGGCGATAATTACTTTGGGCGCAGCTTTGTGCAGGACAATGCATAAATCTATTGGAATAATGCATAAATGTCTTGGGGGAAAGCCTAAAAGTCCTTATAGGAGAAGAGAAGTAGGAGGGGAAGTTAGGGAAGCGAAAGCTTAAAGCTTAAAGCGGCCAAAAAAGCGCGTCTCGTGAGGTGCTTTGGCGAGTGTATGCCTTATCTGTGCGTTGACTAACCTAGCGGAGCAACGACAACGTGCTCGTTTCTAGATGGAGGTAGAGCGTAGCGAGTAGCGAAGTGCGGGGGAAACCTGTCAAGTTGGCGACGATTGCTAAGAAGACAGCGATAGTAATTCACTACTCCTACGCGGACGTATTTCCTAGATCTACGAAAACCTTCAAACCGTTACTAAAGAAGACTGGGCACAAGGTAGGAGGTAACCTGAAACTTTTTTACTACCAAGTTGTCGCAGAGCCTATATACTTTTCTCCTCTTCCACCACCGATCCCAAGACCCAACCCTGATCATCTAGTCGAACCCTCAGGTTTGTTATATACTCTGCTGCAGCAGCAGCATTATGAGTCAGTCTATCCGATGTCACATCTGTCGCAGATGTGACGAGGAAACTCTGATAGCCATAGCGCTCTTGTGACAACGGACGTAACACCCGACATGCCTGCATATCTCCGCCAATGCAGATCATCATGTTCACCATGATCGGAAGGGCCGCAAAGTGCCCGTGTGCAATGTTGTCCTATCATCCCCGCTCCATCCTCCGCGGCCATGGCGGTCTCGGCAAGGCTAGTCACAATTCCTCCAACCGGCAACTATACCGTCGAAGTTCCTGGTGGTGGACGCTTGAAGCTGTGGAGCATGTCTTGTGCGATTGCATCACCTGCCTACCCGATCAAGTTTGAAGACGAGACCATGGCGTGGAGCCTCTCGTGCACAGGTTATATATTAGGCAAACCACCTCTTTGATCGATGGATACCCATCCAGGCAAACGACTGCAGCGACGATCCATCTTCACCACTTGCGCAAATACAGTACACGGCAAACTCCCCCCCACCATCTACGTACGCGAGGGGCAACTGAAGCCATGGGGACGTACAGTCCAGCAACATTTCCACGCCGACCAACGAAGAACAGCAACATCTTCACCGAAGCATACTACCAATTGCAGCTGGCTTACTATCGCTACGAAGTCAACACTGGACTATACGTCATGTCCACGGCAGAAAAGATTGCTTTCAACCTCGTCCTGCTCTCTCTGGTAGCACTCTGCCTCGCGGCGATTCATTACTGTCTACCCCGAGCCGCCATCGAGGTCCTCTCGCGAATCGCCTACTATGCCACTGGAAGCTACAAGATGCCCACGCCTGTGACTAAACCCATTCCTGAACTGGCACGACGGATCATACAAGGTGGCGGAGAGGCGGTTGCCAGTCTCGCCAATGGGGGAACGGTCGTTTTGAATGCGAGTCAGGCCCTCATGCCATGAAGACGGAGTCATTCAGCCTCCACAGCAGACGGGGGGAGAAAGGCAGTGTTGGGAGAGCGAGAGATTTCGCGCGCATGGAGATTGGCGTGCTGTCCTATGAGTGTGCTGCGTGACGGATGGGCATTCGATGTGCTTTTTTTTTTTTCTTTTTTTTTCCCTTTTTGGTTTCAAGCGGATACCCAGCATTTTTACAGCGATTTACGAATAAGAGATGATTTGAGTGTATGCCTACGATTGTGTTTTTGTCGTATCGAACCTGCCCAGAGTGTGTTGGCATACCCTAGTCTCTGGGTGCACTCTGTCGGTGTCCTGACGATGATGATGATGATGATGATGACGATGGTTTCGGCCAATATGAGCTTCATGTTTGTTTCGAGTGCATTTCTCATCGTCCAACTCTCTGACGTCGCTTTATGTAACATCCCTGTCTGAGATCCATGCGCTGAAGATCCGTCGCAGGCAGCAGGGGTGGTCATATAGCCCCAGTCCATGTTTTACCGTACTCGCCCCGTCCCGTTCCGGTCCGTCCTCCGTTGATGGCGTCAGTAGCTGCACCTCCCGACGACTCGCTCGAACTCTCAGCTTTCTTTCGACTTCGCTTCTCTTCTGCAGCACTCTCTACTGTGTGTCATGTGAAGCGAGTACACTGCATCCGCCCATAGCGGCGCTGTGACAACAACTTGACCCTTATCGAGCAGTGGCAGTGGCATTGGCATCATCTTCCCCTTGCCACGATGAAGTTCACGACTGCCGGATGTTCGCTGCTGGCAGTCAGCCTCAGCACCGCACTCCAGCGGGACCAGCAACCACTTGCTCTCCACCAGGACGTAACATCGGAAAAGCCCGTCGAGGTGGCCATCATCGGTACATATCGCTCACGTGCTGTTAATCCACACAGCGTTGACATATCTAATGCATGGTCTAGGCGCCGGAGCCGCGGGAGCATCAGCAGCATACTATCTCGCACAATACGCCCACAATGCCTCCGTTCCCCTCAATATCACTATCTTCGAGGCGAATTCATACATTGGCGGTAGGAGCACCACCGTCAACGCCTACGACCTCACCGACGATGACCTTGCCGACCTCCGCGCCCTCGTCTCCAACCTCGAGGACGAATACGAATATTCTGTCGAACTCGGCGCATCCATCTTCGTCAGCATCAACAAGATTTTAAAAGATGCTGTTGACGCTTTCAACCTTACCATAAAGTCCGGCGATGACAACCCCAAAGGCCACACAGGTAGCGACCTCGGAATCTGGGACGGAGAGTCATTCATCGTGGAACTAGATGGGAGTTTGAACGGATACTGGGATGTCGCGAAACTGCTATGGAAATATGGACTCGCACCGGTCAAGACGCAGAGATTGATGAAGACTGTGGTGGGCAAGTTCATGAGAATGTACGAGGAGCCCATTTTCCCCTTCACTGCAGGCCTCACCGCTGCAGCTCAGGCTGTGGGTCTGACGGCTGTGACTGCCGCCACGGGCGAGCAATACATGAGAGAGAACGGAATCAAGGGAGCTTTCGGGAGGGAGATTGTGCAGGCGAGTACCAGAGTGAATTATGCCCAAAATTTGGAGTTTATACATGGACTGGAGGCTATGGTGTGCATGGCTACTGATGGAGCCGTGGCTGTTGAAGGAGGAAATTGGCGCATATTTCAAAACATGATCGAAGCGAGTGGTGCACACGTTCTTCTGGGCGAGCGCGTCTCGGAAATCATTGAGCTAGATGTCGGCGGCCACGCCATCTCCACCTCTTCCCAACAAGTCTGGAGAGGCGACCACATAATCATTGCAGGGCCATACCAATATACAAACATCACCTCATCAATGCTCGACGAAAAGCATGCTTTCCATAAACCCGATCCCATTCCTTACGTGGAACTACACGTCACCCTCTTCACCAGCCCGCACCTTCTCAGTCCCACCTTCTTCAACCTCCCACCAGATAAAGCCGTCCCTCAAGTCGTCCTCACAAGCCTTCCCGATGGTGAACCCGCCGGATCCGGCCAGGAGAGTGTGGGCAAACCAGGTTTCTTCAGCATCTCTCTCCTCCGGTCCATCGTCAACCCCAAAACCGGCGCGGATGAATACTTATACAAAATATTCTCCCCAGAATCGCCGACGAGTGCTTGGCTGGAAGCTTTGCTTGGAATCAAACCCGAGGACAGCAATCCTAATCGCAATAGTGAAGACATCACGTGGCTGTATCGCAAAGTATGGAATTCATATCCTTACGAGTATCCGAGAATGACGTTTGAGAGCACGAAGTTGAAGGATGGTATCTGGTATACGGGTGGCATGGATAGTTTCATCAGCACCATGGAGACTAATGCGTTGATGGGGAAGAATGTAGCGAGGTTGATTGTTGATGAGGAGAAATTGATGAAGCAAAGACAATCAAACTCGGGTCTGGGGGAGGAGGAGCATGAGCGCGTGCAGGGCATGACCCAGATGAAGGGTAAATTGGATTTGTGATGTCCGATGCTGTGCATCAACTTCGACCCAGGAATGTGCTATCCACCGCGAACGACAGCCTTGCATATCAAAGTTGCGTGAGCGATGCAATGACTTTGCTGAGCGAAAAAATGTCTTCTATTCATTACGAGCGACGATCCTGACCCTTTTGCAAAACGGTAGAGGGGATGTTGCTCCGGGCAATCGAGCATCGCCTTTGATTCGGATACGTAGGACTCAAAGGCAAGATCTCCCAACAGGGACGCTCAAAGCCCCGAAGTCATTTCACGATATTGCGAACAACACCGATGTACCATATTTCCTCCACCATGTTAAACTTCCTCCACCCAACACCCCAGAGCAGCCTCGCGGAGCTCTGAAGCTTGCTTGCACAGCACCACATTCAGCTGGTAGGCATTCAAGCTCCATCCAGTCGCTTTCATCGGCAAGCTTCGTGCCGCGCTTCTTGATCATGCAGAGTATGGAATCGAGTGCTCCAAATCTCAACTCTTGCTACTGTTTTAATGGGAAATCTGCTCTTCTAGATCCTTATATAGTATTGAGCGGCTGGGCGTGTTTCTTTTACGTAGGGCGTTGGGGCAGAGCCGAGAGCCGGACGGCCCGGGAGGGCCGTACCACTCCCGGCGGGTGGCTATATGGGGTGGTTTTCTTCTTTTCAGGACGGAGGAGAGGACGGACATGATCAGGACGTAGACGTACGGATACCCACTCTACTATGATTGATGTCGTTACCCTATAGTGCGCTTTGTCTTCTGATATCACCATTCCTGCCACCTACGGGCATCTCCGCGTCCTTCCGGACCTCCACCTATCCTATCCCTTTCACCGCGGAGCCACGCCGCGACCTACCGTGAGCCGGGCCTATCCGATCGTCCACTCGAGGACGGTGGTAGGAGAGAGGGCTTCACGGTGATAATAGGTAAAGAAGAGGCAGAGCATCAGCGATAGATAAATAGGTCGATGTCCAATCTAGCTTTATAGTATCGAAGGAAGTAGACCTATTATCCATTGAGAATGGTAGGTAGGTAAGGTAAGGTAGGCTACGGCCCGGATTTAACTGGCATGTTTCCCTACCTTACCACATATTAGAAATATTGTACGTTCGTTAGGAGAGATCTTTTGATAAAATCTGACATATCCAAGTACATGATGTATCTAACCTAGTAGGCTTTGAAGAGATGGGGGGGATAGCAAGACCTCCTCCTTCTTTCTTCTCTTGTTACAGAATACGTAGCGAGAAATGTGAAAAAGAAGAAGAAGGTAGGTGACTGTGGCTAGCACTTTGAGAATCCTTCGTAAGGTAGGTGAAATTTTCCATTCCATTCGTCACTTCACAATCGTTGAAACTACCCGACAACAAACTCCATGCTACTTCGTTTGGGCTCCGAAAGAAAGTTCTCCTGTCATCCATCCATCGCTGCTCACTGCCTATCCCCCATCTCTCACAAGCTCGCCAGAGGTGGCAAGCCCGCATAACTAGCATACGTGGTAACCCGATAACGATCCAACTCCTTCAATGCAGCAGCAGCAGCAATGTATTTGAAACTCACCAATTCTCCCACCCAAGGATCCTTGTAGCCAGGCTCACGGACAGCGACCTCCAAACATGCAATGGCACGTGGAAGGGCTTCGACTTCTCGATTGCTGTACTCTGCGCCGTAGAGGTCGTCGAGATCATCTACTTCTTCCATTTGATCGTCACCGTACGTGATGCGCATGTTGCAATATTCCACAATTTTCTCGAAACGTCCGCGCATCACTTCACTTAGCTCGCGAAGCATTTTGCCATCGGGGCCATTCTGGCGACCTAGAATTTGGCCTGCGAAGACTTCGGTTTCGGAAAGGGGTTTGTGTGGCGTCGGCTCGCAGTCGTACATGAGATTCGTCATGCTCTCCTCAAAGCTGCAACATATTAGCGCGACACATACGCAGGAGCCCGAGATGAGTTAAGTACCTGTTGCGGATCTGTCGTGCAAATTCTTTGTGATGTTTGTACAGATTGCCTCCGTAAGTGACCGTGGCAGTGTGTACGACATATTGCAGAAGCTCGGGCATCAAATCATGCCGAGAGTGGGCAGTGACTGCAAGGCGATGACCGCGTTGCATATCGGCGAGAAACTGTCGCTCGTCGATGCTTCGGTATAGGATGCCAAGGACTTTTTGACTCTCGTAGTAACGCATCGGCCGGCGCTCGGCGTCGATGGTATCGAACGCTTCGTCAGGCGCGAAATCTTCGTCCTCGAGATCCAGGAGCCCCTCCTGCGAGAACACCACTCGCGGATTGGGAGCCATATAGTCAGGCTTAAATTTGGCGGGCCTCGGCGCGGTACCCATGTTGGCCGGAATGCCAGTCTTGCTATAGTCTACAGCAGTGGAGGCCAAGGCCTAGAGGTCACCGCAGGTCAGTGGATGTCAAAGTCTATGTTCAAGCACGACACTCTGGCTCTTGCGCGCAAAGAGTGGAATTATTTCACGCGATTTTCTTTTCTTACCGCCAATTTGATGCAATCTGGGTCGAGAGTGCCCATGGGACGCTGATCCGCCAGCTGCAGATGTTGATTGGCTATCAAACCAAGCTTGTCGTTCTCCATGACTAAAGGTAGAATTGGTCAGTGAAGGTACATGGTCTCATCTGGAGTGGACTCACAGGTCACGAAGAAGTCGCTCATATCCTTGCGCGTCACGTCGCGCGGTAATTCTACCGGCGGCACTCGAGGGTACTGTGCGGGTGCATAAATCATCCAGGGGATCAGGGTTTCATCCCAGATGACGTTGTAGAGGTCTCCATCCAAATCGCCCCCGGAGAGCTTGCTGGGCAAGTCTCGTTGTCCCCACTTGCTGAATACGACGACGTTGGAAAGCTGTCGATTCGAATTGCCGGGAGGAACATCCACGGCTTTGGCGAGCTGAATATCTCCGGGGTGTAGCGCTGGCGACCGGGTGATGATCACTTTATCCCGAACCAGAATCTCTTTCCCGCCAGTGGGACCTCTCTCGGTGATGACGAAGATCTCACCCTCTTTCAAGTAGCCAGTCTCGTCTGGAACGCCGAACAGGGTCACGCCCTTCGGAACCGGAATGCGTCCTCGGTGCTTGATATCCCGCAGCTCGGAAATGACTGCAAGCTCGACAGCAGCGTACAGAAAGTCGTCGTGATGATAGTCCAGCCCGATCTGTCCGAGATATCGAATGAGGGAGGGCAAGCCGCTGGCCTTGCTGGTGTGCACTTCGTCGAGCAACGTGCCCGTGTTGATCGCGGATTGAGTCATCATTCTCAATCTCTCCATGGCTTTATTCTGCAAATTGATGAAGGACTGCTCGGGCACTGCCAGATCTTCGAGAATCTTGATGAACCCACGGTTGAGAATCATGGGGAGGGGTCGGAAAGCAGCACCGCAAATCTCGAGATCCATGTGGTCGTCCGCCCCCGTCAGGTACTTCCTCATGTTGTTTCGAAGCATCAGACGCTTGCCCGGGAGTCGAGTATCCTGAGCAACCATGCCTTTCGCACCCTGAAAGCGGATTTGTAACGCAGTGGGCTTCAGCATTCGCTTCGTGCCATATACCTTCCAGACCTCTTCGAGGAGACCTTTTGATATGGTGCCTGCGCCATCCGCAAAGTCGTGCCCGTTTCGCACGACTTCCGCAAGTTCAAAGACTTGATCTCTCTGCAGTCTGACACTCGTATTGGTATCCTAGTATGGAGAGTAAGCAGGTATCTCTACAACGCCACTCATCTCATGAGAGCTTGTCATGGAATGATGGGGGATTCAGGGCACAGATTCTGCCTGCGACTTACGGTAAAGTTCTGGCCGATGCGTGCCGCACACTTGGCTGGAGTCCTAATCCCAGAAAAGTTACCGAGTTCCTTGATGACTTTCTCAGCAAACATTAACGATCCGGCCTTGACGAACGGTGCCATGAACCAGCACGATTGACTGCGCAGCGACGAATGAGAGAAGCCCAGAAACGTGAAGCTCTTGCCTGCGATGGTAATGCCCTTATCGAGAATGCCCTGGAATCGTTCATGGTAGATGCGTTGGTAGTCGCTCGACCAGTCAAACTTGACTCGACCTCCGTCTTCATCTTGAAATACCATTCGCACAAAGTTATCGGTGTTCTGTGCATGGAGCCGTAGCACGCGGTTGGTCGGCTCAGGCTCGGGGCCCTCCAAGCGAATTCCCGTAGGTGTCACCACCACTCTGTGGATGAGGTTAATGTGACTGTATCGCTTAGCCAGCTCGTACGGATTATCGGGTGCAAAAGCATCGTAGCAAGCGACGTATTCCTCTAGCAACTCCTCGAGTGACTCGAGAGAGAAATCTTGGGCCTCTGTATCGGGTCCAGGAAGGGGCAAATTGCGAGAGAGTAGCCGCAGCCCTGCAACGGTCTGCGCTAGGCCATGCGCCTTGTGGATTCTCGAGATCATCGGCAGCAATGCAAGGACCTTGTCTGGAGGCAAGAAACCATTGCGCGCCAGCCGATCCACTTGATACAGCAATTGAAATGGACGTGAGCCGTATCGACCTTGATCGGAGAGTTCGTGGTTCAAGCGCGTGAAGGATTTATCCATCGGTTCTTTCGAATTGGTGACGCCTGTCTTCAGGGCCAGAACAGTGCACTTTCCACTCCTCGAAACGAGGTCGCGGATGCGCGAAAGCTTGCTTCCATCCAGCAGTGCGATCCGATACACAAAGCACTGTCCCACCACCTGAGCATGACGAGTGTTGATTGACGACACTCTAAACTTCTTGCCGATGTGTTGGAAGCTCATTGGTGGAATTGACCGGTTCAGACTGGCTGCAGACATCTGAGCGAGAAGTGCACTCAGATCGTCCCTTTCCTGCAGCGCATCGAGCTCGTACAGCTTCGGAGCGACATGGAGAGTGAAGCTGACGGTTGGCTCGGTTGAAGTGCCTAGAATGATATCTCGACAGTCGTGGTAGGGGATATCGATGCGGTGCTGTATAGAGCGGACGTCGCCGAAGATGATCTTTGCTTCCCTACGGCCAAAGATGACACGGCCTTGACGATAGTCTGCGAAATAGGAGGTGAAGCCCAGCTTAGGATCGATTTGTGATGGTGCGTCTTTGGCGTACTCCCAGTTGCCGACTTGGAGGACATTGCAGGTGATTTCATTCCTGACTTGGCTCACCTGAGACTGAGTGACAGAAGGTGGAGGGTGGTGTTGCTTCTTCTGCTCATTCTTCTGCTCATATGCCTGGAGTCGTTCGGTCCCAGGTCAGCGAAGGCTCGGCGCCATTGCTCAGAGGCAGCGGGCACAGAGAGAGCGAGCGTGAGAGTGAGAGCGAGCGAGAGAGAACGAGAGAGAAAACGAGACCTACCAAAGCCTGGACGGCAAAATCACTGGGCTCGTTCTTGTCCTTGACGATTCGCAGTTGCTGGTTATTGTAGCGCAATGGCAGGCCCGGCTTACCACCGCGGTATGAGGGAATGGTGCCATATGTGGCCAAGAAGTTCTGGCCGGCGCGCACGTCGAGGATGGTGATGGTGGCATTCCCTCTGCCGCGATGCTTCTCAATGTGGAAGTCCCTCACGCCACACTGCCTCAGCGGGCGGTCGAAGGTCCTCTCGACCTCGGTGTAGGTGACATTGTCGGGCAAGTTCTGGACAAAGACGTTCATGGCGGTGGTCAGCCGCTCTGCGACGAGTGGCGGTCAGTGAAGGTGCCGCGCCGGACGAGGCCTTTGGTATCCGTTGGTGGTTGACCAGTGAAGGTGATGTGAGGAGATGTCGAAGGTGAGGTGAAGTGAGAGTGAGGAGGCAGCAGATAAACAGACCAAGGTACATATGTATGTACTATAGTCTATACCTCTGTGCATGTACCTATGCTGGATGGACCCACCGCTTGATTCCTATGTTATGTAGGTAGATAACGCGTTGCGGCCAATTGATTGACCGTCCCGTCCAGGCAGGCATCCATCTGGTTGGGACTGGATGTATACAAGGAGACGATGGAAGGAGATGGAAGGAGATGGATGATAGATACCTTACCTTCCCCTCGACCGCTGCAATGCCCGTGTGAATACCTTAATCACTTCCACTCTACCTCGTCCTTCTTTTCACTTCCCCTTGCCGCTTGTCTACAAGCGTAGACAAAAGGTCACGCAACATGCACCACTGTCGCACCGCTGAGATGGATTGATGAGGTGGATCGAGTAATGGATAGGAACGGTGACCCTCCCTCCACGGCGGTCTAGATAGTCCGTCCGACGCGTCTCGCTTGGGAAGCCAATCAGATCGCAGACACCTTGCACGACGACTAGGTGTTTGAATAAACTGGCTTGATCCATTCGTGGACGATAGACAGACATCGACGTCCATCCAGAGCTGTAAGAGGAGAAGGAGAGGACAGGAGAGAAAGAGAGGACAACATGGATGTCCGCGTGCAAGACTACCTGGACGACAAGCTGCAGAGTGCCGCCGACTTGGACTCGTTGGACTCTCTGCTCGCCGCTGTCCACGAGCAGCAGCAGCTCTTGAAGCAGCAGGTATGCACGCCCACTGCCCGGCCCAGCCACACGAGGGAACCCATCTAACCCGCTCCAGCTCGACGACGCCCGAAAGTCCCACGACCACGCGACCAAAGACTATCGAGCGCACCAGCAATCGCTCAACGACCATGCATCGGCCTTTCAACATGAGCAAAGCGATATCGATGGGAGGCTTCGCATCATCACCCAGTCCGAGACCAGCGATGAGGCCGCAGAAAAGTTCAAGGCGAGCATGGACAAGCTGCGGAAGCTGGACGTGGCCGCGGGATTTGTGGAGCTTCTGAGAGATGTCGATGCGCTCAAGGCAGAGTGTCTGACGCAGCTGGGCAAAGACGACGATGCTGCATTGCGACCATATCAGCGACTGCAGCAGTTGGTGTCGAGTCTTCAGCCTCTACATGAAGCCGCGGAGCAGGCAGCGCCATTTCTGCTGGACCACATCGAAGCCAGTGTCGAGGACCTGCGCAACACTATTCGAAAGGCGTTTGCGGAGAACCTGGAAACCACATTGAAGAAGCTGAACTGGCCAAAGGCGACCGGACGGATCCCTCTGGCGTTGGAGGACGAGTGGCAGACGAATGTCGGCAGATTGCTCGACTTGCAGAAGCAAGAACTCGAGCTTCGTGAACAAGGGACAGACCAGCGCCGCGCGAGTGACCCGCCAGCTTTGTTACCGTTCGAGGTGCTCGTGGTACCACTGGAACAGCGGTTTGGATATCACTTCTCCGGCAACAAGCCCACGAATCGACTGGACAAGCCCGAATACTTCCTAAACCACATCACAGACCTCATCGCCAACTACTCCGACTTCATGCAGGACAACCTCCAGCCAGTCCTCCTTAAGCACTTTGGCCGGTCAGACTTGGCTTTTACGCCAGCCTACATTGATGCAATCACCGCATTCATCACCGCTCTCTTACCTATGGTGCAGGACAAGCTTCGAAGTGTGGCACAACAGCTCACATCACAGCCCAGTTTCTTCAGTCATTTGGTGCAAGAAGTCATTCGCTTCGACAACATTGTCAAAGACTCGTACTCGTATACGCCAAGCTCGCCATCGGTACTGTGGAGTGGTCTCTCCTACTTTGTCTTGGATTCATGTGGCCATTTCAAACAGTGGCTCGCCTTTGAACGCGACTTTGCGCTCGCACGTTATCAGTCCATCATCGACGCGCCTGGAGCAGGTGAGCTGGATTACAATGCAGTACATGCAGGCGTCACCAAGCCGAGTAAAGCCGCCGTGCATTTAAACGACCTCTTGGAGACCATCACGGAGCGCTATCGCCATCTTTCCAGCTACCACCAGCGCATGGACTTTCTCATGGAGATCCAGATCCACATCTTCGACACTTTTTATCGCCGCTTGCAGTCCGCTCTCGACTCATACACGAGTATGACTTCGACGTTGGGCCGCACTATGGCGAGCGCAACAAAGGAACAGCTTGCCGACGTTCAAGGTGTCAAGGGACTGGACAGGTTATGCAGAATCTTTGGGTCGGCGGATTATCTGGAACGCGCGATGCGAGACTGGAGTGACGACGTCTTCTTCCTCGAGCTGTGGGATGAGATGCACAACCGGGCCCAGGCTGTTGATATCGGTAGCGAGCAAAGCGGACGGATGTCGGAAATCCAACAGAAAACCAGCTCAGCATTGGGTGCAGAGAGCGAAGGTGGTCTGGAGGGTGCCTTGTTTGACGAGACTGCGGCCAGCTATCTGAGGCTCCGTGCCAGAAGTGAGAACATTCTTCTCGAGACTCTGAAATACGACGTTCAGCAGGCACTCCGACCGTATAGTGCCATCACTACTTGGGCATCGCTTTCTAGCTCTACCGGCTCAGCAACTTCGGCCGAGCTTGACCCAGCCATCAATATTCTCGCCGATTACTTCGCCTTTCTCAGTAAAGCGCTAGGACGAGCGCCACTCCGAAGGATCGGACGACACGTGTGTCATACGATTGACAGCTACGTCTGGGGAAACATCATTCAAGGCCGACACTCATTCTCTACAGCAGGGGCAAATCAACTGACGACTGATATGGGTGCGGTATGCAATACCATAGACCGCTACATTGGTGCAGGGCAAGCTCGAATCGGTATGCGCAGAGTGCTGGAGGGCATCACACTGTTGAGCCTACCCGTACGTGGTGAAATCCAACGTGTTCAGCCCAGTGCGGACGACGACGAAGATGCTGCTTGGGGCGACAGTGCAACCACTGACGCGCAGAGTGATGCGTCTGGACTGGGCGGGCACCCTGTCAGTCTATTTCAAGCGGAACGCTTGGTGTTTTTGAATAATGAGAGTGCGAGGCATGCGCTAGAACAGCTTGGGCTGGATATGCTCAGTGAGCAAGATGCAAGAAGTATTTTGAGGCAGAGAGTAGAGATATCCAGCTAGGTAGCTACAGGTATCTGACAATCTACTGCTATCAGCACTGGCCACTCACGAAGAGGTACATGTACTACCTCCTAGGAGGTACATGTAGCTTTAGGTAGGTTGCTCCACCGATCCAGCTGGAGTGCCGAGCCATTTCAACACTGTTGACAACATTCTTCCGACAACATGCTTCTAACAACTTCTGACGACATGCTCTGATCAATACACTTGGAAAATGGCATCTGTCAGACTCGTATACACTTCATCCATGTATAATACCCTTGTATATGTGCTACCAATCACATAAAAGAGGCCTCGAGACGGTAACTTCGTTGGCGTCATGACCACTCTCTCTACTTTACTTTTTGCCTAATCTTGCAACTTCACTTCCACATGGAACACATTGTTGCACGACTCAAAGAAGAAGAAGAAGAAAAAGAAGAAAAAGAATGCATACTCTCGACCCTAACAAGTTGCCAGATGATGGACGAAATAGAAGAAACAATGATGACAATAACATCAACAACTACGAAAATGAAGAAACGCCTCTTCTCTCCCACCGAGCCTCCGCTGATGAAGCAACATCGTCCGAACAACGACTTTCTATTCCCAAGATCATCGCTCTCACATGCATCAACGGCGGTCTTCAAGTCTTCTTCTCTACTATAATGGCAAATCTTGCTGTATGTATGGATTTTCATTCTTCTCCTCTCCCCTCGCCCCATTCCTAACCCCCAAGCCTCGTCACCATCATCGTATCCTTTCCCAACAACAAAAACACCAAATCTAACACCCCAACCCTCTCTCTTCCCCCAAAACAACAGCCCTACCTCCAATCCCTCCACCTCTCCAAATCCTCCACAGCAGCCATCATCATCTCCATCCCCCTCTCGGGAGCCTTCATCGGCCCTCTCATCGGCGCCCTCAGCGACCGGCTCCGCACGCGTTTCGGCCGTCGAAGACCCATCATCCTCCTAGGCGCCATCGCGACAATATTCCTTCTTCTCCTCCTCGCATGGACAGAAGAAGTCATGAATTTCCTCCTACCCAATAAAAACAATCATAATAACAACAACGACGACGAAGATATGAAAACCGCAATGAAAATCACGGCAATCCTTCTTACTTTTGCGTTGAGTATTTCTATTCAACCTGTGCAAGCGTGCACGCGAGCTCTCATGGTGGATATTGCTCCGCCGGAGGAACAGAGTCGGGTTTCGGCGTATGCGAGTCGGATTCAAGGGGCGAGTGCTATCGGGAGTTTTTTTGCGAGTTCGTTGTCGTTGAATCGTTTTCTACCGAGCGGTTTGGGGTGGACGCAGTTTCAGTGTTTGGCTGTGTTGAATGCGCTGACGTTGGGAAGTACGGTGGGGGTGACTTGTATGTTTGTGGGGGAAGAGGATGGGAGGAGGAAGAGGAGGGGGAGGGGGAACGGGGGAGAGGAGGGAAGAAAGGGGAAATTCTTGAGGGGCGTGATGGAGTTTTTTCGACGCTTGTGGTGGACGGTGAAGGATTTGCCGGAGAAGATTGCACAGGCATGTAAAGTGCAAGTGGCAAGTTGGATGGCGTGGTTTCCGTTTTTGTTTTATAATACGACGTACATTGGGGAACTTGGTAAGTTGTTATCCCCTCTCCTGTCCTGAAAAAAAAAGAAGAAAAGAGAAAACAAAAAGATCACATCCAAACAACATTAAGCTAACGATTCCCCCCTTCCAGTCAACGTCGCCGCCGAAAAGAACCCCCGAGGAGCAGCAGCAGCAGAAGAAGGTGACCAACTCGCCCAAGCCGGCTCCATAGCAAGTCTCTGCTTCGCCTCCGTCGGCTTCTTTTTCGTCCTCCTCCTCCCCGCCATCCTCCCCTCTCTCAGCCGACTTTTTCGCAGAAGATACCAACAACAATCCCATTCCCCAACCACCACCATCCGCTCCAACACCACAGCGAGTGAAAACGACCTCATCTACCTCTGGCTCTTCACCCAACCCCTCCTCGGAATCCTCCTCCTTCTAACCCTCTTCGTCAAGCACCAATGGCAAGGAACTATTCTGATTGCCCTGGGGGGTTTACCCTGGTCTGTTACACAATGGGTTCCTTGGGCGGTGATTGGATTTGAGACGGCCAAGTTGGGTTTTGCTTCGAATTCTACTGATCATTGCAATAATCACAATCATAACAACCATCATGAAGACGAAGACGAAGATGATGACGATGAAGAAGAAGAAGAAGGAGGAGGAAAAGATAGTCAATCCGGTGCAATCTTAGGAGTACATAATATAGCGATTTCTTTACCTCAGGTAATTTCCGGGTTGGTGAGTAGTGTGACGTATCGAATTGCCGAGGAGGCGGGGAGTCAAGTTCCCACGGCGTGGGTGTTGGCTTCGAGTGGATTTGCGGCGTTTGGAGCGGCGGTTTTGGCGAGGAGGATGGTGGAGAGGGGGTGAAGATGATGTTTACCTACAGGCAGTTGCAGTGGCAATATGTAAGTAAGTGGACTCAAAAATGGATGAGACAGATTGCACTTGACGTATCATAAATGAAATAGATAGATTGGAGAGTCGCAATGAGCGAGCGAATCAATTCATGCATGCAAGGTATATCATCTCAAGAAACTGGTCCACGAAAGAAGCCATGTATCTCTACCTATGCATCCCTCATCCACGAGACTCCCTCGCCACTTCGACGGGAACAAGAGAATCCCACCGCTCTCAATCATCACCATGAACTGACAATACAGAGAAAGCGAGAGGGAGCGAGAGTGAGAGAGAGAAAGAGAAACCCCTAAGCCAATCCCCCCTTATGACCAGCCTCCTTCGCAGCCTCCGAACCCTTGACAAAAGTCCCATCAGGATTCCTTCCAGTCTGAACCTCCAACTCGCTCACCTCCTCCTTCTTCTCATCCGTCTTACCAGCTGCGTGCAACCCACCAATATGTCCCGCATGCTTGGCTTCCTCGGAACCTTTGGTGAAGGTGCCGTCTGGGTTGCGGCCTGCAGAAGAAGAAACAGAAGAGTTTTGCTCCTGTGGGGGGGATATAAGTGAGAAAGTGAGGAAGGGGGAGTTTTTATTTTCCTTGGTTTCTCTCTCTCTGTGTCCCTCTCTCGGGGATTGACATACCTGTGATTCTTCCAGATGGTGGGCGTGAAGGCCACCGAGGTGTCCGGCTTCTTTGGCGGCGGAACTGCCTTTGGTAAATGTGCCGTCGGGGTTGCGGCCGGGGAGGGAATGGGTCTCTTCGGTGGGGTTTGTGGATGCCATGTTGTGTGGCTAGGTGGTTGTGGAGTTGGGGATGTCGAATGTGGTGGTTCTTTTAGAGGGGAGGAGTGTTGGGTTGGAGGAGATGTTGAGTGTGAGGGGAAAGAAAGTTGGAAGAAAGTGGGAAGAAAAGTGGGAAGTACTTGTAAGTGGGAAGTGGTGGTGGTGGTGTTTGTGGTGGTTGGTGTTGATCTGTTTGTGTTTCTACCTTTATGCAGTGTTGTGACTGCCTTACCTGCAGTGGGGGCGTCACTTCTGCAGCATGCCCGGATTGCTTAACGGGGTGAAAGAGACGTAAAAGACGTCAAAGGGAGGTGGAGGTGAAAGACGTGCATTGGAAGGATTTTCCCCCCTCCTGAAATTACCTACCTTAGGTACTTATATGAGCATGTCTGCAGCCACGGACAGGGAGAACTTATACAGCTTGTAGATGGACTTTCAGGTTATTAAAACAGCTTCCGTTTCACTCCAGTGATTGTCGATGTCGGATTGTAGCCTAGCAGAGGCAGAGTAGAGAACCTGGAGGTATTTTCGTCTCGCCTACGGTATGCTATAGCAGTGAATGACTCTGAATATACCACTAGTGCGCACCTTAGTGAGAGCTTGTCACGAACGTCGTCACGCTTCACTACACGACACTGGAGAACTGACTTTACATGCATGTTGCTGATGCACTTGTCTCGCTCTTCAACTATTGAAACATCCACCTTCCGTCTGCAACAGATCCCCCGTACACCACACCACCGAAAACGACGTCTCCCATCGACCGCACACACTCGACCCTGGCTCCTGCAACCACCTCGCTTCCGTCGCCGCCGAACAGGACATGACCGCCATAGCGGGCGGGAAGACTGCACCGAAGCTTGTAAACGACTTCCTACGCTTCGACCCGATAAATAGCGACCGCAACGCTACCTTCCTGACCAGTATCACGCCTCCAGCTGGCGAAGGCCAACAACTTGCGCCTCCACAAGGCAGCTGTCAGCATGAATACACCACAAAACACTCCCAGAGCCTCTTGCCGCCTCTGGACGCCAGAGCGAGTGGAGAAGGCTACAAGCTCGCCGTGTGCTGCAAGAAATGTCGAATACACGCCGACATCGACATCAGTTACGACTTCTCGGAGCAGCCGTGTCCCACTGCCCAAGACCCGCTGCACCACTTCCTTAGGCGGGAAGATGTCGATACCACGGGCTCCGATCGAATACAGTATGGGTGGCAGTGCTCGGCTCGTTTGTGCCGAGCGCAATTGAAGATCGGCTACAGAACACAGAGGTTGTCACCGGAGGAGCGAATGGCATTGACGGACACAGAACGTCTCAAAAGAGCCTATGAGACCATGCTGGCGAGCCAGCCCAACAGAGAAGGCCTCAAACAGGCCACGCCGATAGATGTGTTGTCCAGACTCAGAAAATATGTCAAAGACTCGTTGAACCCGGAGCACAGCCGAAGGTCGTTCCCAGCCGACAACAAGCGCTTTGGTGAAGCTTTTGGGGTATACGGACGGGACTGCAGTACACTCCTGACTCGCCTGGGATTCCGATACGTGGTAAGCGGGTGATGAATGGAGACTACACCCAGTTGACATTCACTGATGATGCATTATTCATAGGAGGCACAGGACGAACAGGACGCCGTGTGGCACTTGCCCAATCCCCCCATGCTGGACACCCGCCTCCATGCGGACGGAAGCAGCCTGCGCGAGCTCTTGGAGGACGTCGAGATGGAGCTGCGCGCACTTCTCTCCAAAACAGCCGCGCAGACGGGCCTCACGGACCCGGCTGCTTCAGAAGGCTGGCCCTCTGCCGATCATGATGTGGAACGGACACTGGCCGCACAAGGATGTGAGTCGCCCTCTAACCCTGAACTCAGGTTGTGTTGCTGCTGCTGTGGCGTGTTTACGAGCTAATCATGCACGTGTCTAGATCCGCGATATTCTGCCCTGCGTCGGCAGGTGCCGTCTCCTGAGACGCTTCCGTTCGTGTGCCATCTTTCCTTCTTCTGCACCGAGCCTGACTGACGAACAACACACAAACACACAGATACTTCGCATCTCTAGGCATACAACCCGATTCTGCCGATTCCATTGTCGTGTGGGCCCTGGACAAGCAATTTGACGCCGACCCGGCGCGGCAGTCGTACTATTTGGAGTGCTTACAGGTCATTGCAGAAACCCGCCAGACCGAAGAACTGCAAACAAAGGCTGTTTTGCTGGAGTCCGGAGGCTACATCAGTCGCAGAGATCTGGCCCGCGCCTACACATACCTGGACATTCCCCCGGGCGATGCCGGAGCCGCAGATGACGAGCGCATCCTGAATCTCTTCTACGTGCGGACATCAGACTCGGGCACCGAGGCCAAGATCGAAGCGAGGACTGCTCTCAAAAAGATCGGTCACGCGCGACAGAGCCAGCGCCTCATACGAGCTGCAGAGCAAACCATTGAGACGTACGAAGAGGCGCTGGACTGGCTGGGGAACGGCGCGACGAGAGACACATCCGACGAGCACCTGATCATCTTTGCTGCGACCAAGATGGAAGAGAATGCGGAGTTGACCCGGACTGCCATGTCTGTCGTTGCCAAGGAGCGGAAAAGCGACTCGCTGAATGGGTGGCTGCTGAACGGTCAAGGAGACGGATGTCAGATGTCGATCGAAGAAGCGTTGCGCCAGGTGGGAGTGACCGACACCTGGAGCAGCATCGCGGACAAGTCTCAACTGATCATTTATTACGACCTGGCTCGTGCGGATCGCCCAAGCGAGAAGACAGAGCAAGCCATCGCTGTGATACAGAGCGCAGTGGAAGCGGAATCATCGGCCCTACACTCGTCGGAGACATGGCCCGTGGGTCTCACCAGTCACGGCAACACTTGTTACCTCAACAGTCTTTTACAGTACTACTTCAGTATCAAGCCCCTCCGCGACATTGTTCTCGACTACGAGGCATATGCACTGGACACGGTGCGGTATCCTGCCAAGGAGGAACGGGTCGGTCATCGGAAGATATCAACGGAAGAGGTGCGAGGGGGGCAACGTTTTGCAAAGGACCTGAAGCAGCTCTTCGAGCGTATGATTACGAGTCGCAGCGAGCATGTACGGCCCGAAGATGACTTGGTGTGCAGAGCATTCCTCGAGATGAAGGACTATGCTCTGCTTGCATCCACCGTACGCGAGGCCAAGGCCGCACATGATGCCAAGACCAACAACGTTCTCGGAAATGTCGAGGAAGAAGAGGAGCCCGAGGAAACGAGCACGCTTCCAGCATCGGAAGGTACTGAGCGTCACGAGTCGAATGCCAGTAGCGTGACGCTTCAAGACGACCCCGACGTGCCGATGCAAAACGGAGGGCTGCCGCCCACACCGCCCGACTCGCCCAACAAGGAGGAATTGTCGGACATCGCTGTCGCACCTCCTCTGCCACCACGTCGCTTCTCCACCACACGCGAACAGGCCCTGGAGAAGGCACAGGAAAAGGCCAAGGCACAGCAGGATGTGACGGAAGTCCACGATGACGTGCTGTTCAAGCTCCGAGCCGGTATGATGGCCGAAGGGACGGACACGAGTGGCGAGCAGGAAGATCGTTTGCGACGCCTGTTTCGATACAGCATGGTGGAGACTTCGGTCAAGGGCGGCATTGATGGCAAGAAGAAGGAGCTCCTGGATATGGCGATCACGATTCCTCCTCCGTCAGAGGCCACGGACATCTACACGGTGCTGGACCAAGTCTTTGACCTGCAGAGCATCGGGGAAACGACTGAGGCCGGAATCACAGAGGGCTACAAATCTCTACAGCAATTGCCACCATTACTGCAGATCAACATTACTCGGATTGATTACGACAAAGCGAAGGGTGCATTCAAGTCGGAAGCCTGCGTCAAGCTCGAGGATGAGCTCTACCTGGATCGGTACGTCGATACCTCTCACCCACAAGTCCTTGCCAAGCGCAAGGCATGCTGGGCCTGGCGTCAGCAGCTACACTCTCTTCGTCGGGAGAGGAAAGCACTCAACGATGCTCCGCAAATCACCGACAAGCCGAAAGACCTGAGCGGAGCCTTGGCTATCGCCGAGGCAGGACAATATCTCCATGAAGTCTCCAGTGTCAACGAAGACCTCGCCTCGATTGGGATCGAAGGCCTCGACATTCCCCCGACTCTGGCCAGCGCCGTGCTGGAAGATACCACAGTTCAGATGGCGCGTCTGGTCGACCTGGAAGGCGAGATTGCATCACTGGAGCTGCAGCTAAAGGATCAATTCCGCGAGTTCACGGCAATCAAGTACCGTCTTGCTGCAGTGTTCTTTCATCGAGGCAGTTACGGACACGGGCACTACTGGATCTACATTCACGACTTCGAGAACGATATGTGGCGGGTCTATAACGACGAAAAGGTGGAGGAGTTTAAGAACATCCACGAGATTCTCGAGGCCAATACGTGGAACCACGGCACACCTACGTTTGCGGTGTATGTACAGGATGCTGGCAAGACTGATATTATCCAACCTGTTTGTCGGGCGCCTGAAGCCGCTCCAGACCCTCCGGCCGTGTCTGATGTGGAAATGCAAGACATGGACCAGACCAATGGCACTGTCCATCCACGAAGCACAATAAGTGCTCGCAGCTCCAGAGCGGAGAGCAGTGGCCACTGGGACCGGAATCGAGAGGTAGCAGTGACGAAGTGGTAGGCTGTTCAAGTGAGCCTTTCATGCTAATATGATGTGCGTGGTAGAACTACTTATCTCCCGAGCCTCCGCTAGACGATGAACCGAGGTCAGATGACGAAGTGCTCTCCGAAATGTCAGATGACGGAATGGCAGTCCTCGCATCTTTCGCCCGAAAGTGCTTCTGGGCGTGAACGTTGTGGGGCTTGAGTGGATGATGTATGTGTCTATCATTGACTTGGTGTATGATACCCCTTTGCGTGGAATTTGGAGTAGTGGCTGCTTGCAGAGACAGACATGGTCAGGGGCCGAGTATACATAGATTCTGTAAGCCGCGACGGCGATTCTCTTGTCGTGTATTGATAGTATTGCGCAGTCAATTCAGTCGGCGTGATTCAACGTCGCAACGAAAGGAATAGTGGAGAAGAATCAATCACGCTGAACATGAGTCGGTGAAGGAACAATCGACGTACCTGATCTGCCCGGGTACTCATTCAAATGTTTGTGTGTGTGTGTGTGTGTGTGTAGAGAAAAATTCCCCTCAAAGTATCCGTGCCTGGTAAGTAAATCGGATAAATTCTTTCTTTTTCTTACGAGATGGATGGAGATGAGGAAGAATTGTGACTGGATGTATCAGTACCTAGGTACCTACCTGAGGAATGGGAATAGTAAGGTACCTTACCTTAAGGTCCATAACCTACCTGACCTGACCTTGCCTCTTCTTACTATATAGGTAAAGTAGTAATTTGGTTATACTATACCTTACTATACCTTACTATCCAAACCACAACAAATCTTTACTTTGATAGAAGAAGGTACCGCTCTTAATACAAGTAAAAGTGAAAAAGAAAAGAAAACTAAAAGTTTTTAACTACGGACTTTTTAGTCGTAAGGTTGGTCGGTTATCTTCTAGGAGGTACAGGTAGGTATCTCCTAGGAGGTACAGATAGGTACAGGTAGGTACAGGTAGGTACAGGTAGGTAGGTAGGTAACGAGTAGTAGGAGGTAGGTTGGACTTACCTACCTATAGGAGGGAGTATATTGTTCTTTATTTTCTATTTTTTTGGGCAATATAATGGAGTGGGTAAGGTAAAGTAAGGTATATAGGTACCAGGTAAAGTAAAGTATGTATAGGCAGCTGACTTGTAATTTGCAACTCTCTTTCTCTTTCTCTCTTCTCTCTGCTTTCTTTGGTTGATACCTCAAAACTCTCGTCTTCGTCGTATCCACAATCTACCAAGGAAAGGAAAGGAGGGGAAAGGTAACGTAAGGTAATCTAACGTAGGAATCTATATACAACACCCTTCCTTCTCCCCCCCACTCTCTCTTTTCCTCTCTATCACACAAATCCAGACCCGCAACCCCTCAGAGTAAGATAATCAACCAATTACTTCCACTCTAGCTTCCCCGTACTCTTAGACAAAGGCACCAACAACAACAACAATCCTCTCCAATCCAATCAAAATGGGTGCATCAGGCTCCATCTCCAACACGGTAGCCAAAGGACTCCAATCAACCGTCAACAGCATCCCCATCACAATCATCGACGACGCAAAAAAGAGTCCTTCCTCCTCAGAAGATGGAACTCCGCCTCTCTGGGCGCAAGCGAATTTTGGCGGAGAGCCTTCGGAGGGATATCCGGAGGCGTGTGAGTTTGCGGCTGAGGGGTGTGGGGTTTTTGATGAGAAGATGAAGAAGAGGAAGAGGGGGGAGAGGGAGAGAGATGTCTTGGTTGGTGCTGGTGCTGGTGCTGCTGTTGGTGATGATGAGATGATGATGGTTTCAGAGGGAGGGGATTCCTTGTATCATCCTCATTATCGAAGAGGAATAGTAGGTGGATTAACTACTGCTGGAAAATTGCTCCGTGGGTTTGAGCTTTTGCTCTTGCTTGTTCTTGTTGTCCGGGTTTATCAGAAGATTCAGAACCGGAAGCAGAAGCAGAAGAAGAAGAGGGAGGGGCTGGGCTGGAAAATGGTTGATGAGGCTGAGAAGGGTGAAATTGTTGCTTGATTGATTGATTGATTGATTGATTGGACTTGAGGAAGAAGAAGAAGAAGAAGAAGAAGAGGTGCGGTCCTGTCCTTTTTTGATCAGTATCATTTTCTGGAGACGCAATTTGGTCTTAGGAGGTACCTTGGGGGTTGAACATTCAAAAGTACCTCAGCGCCTAAAGTGGCGCTCAAAGTCTAGTTTTGGATGCATGCTTTTAGCAATCAGTATACCGACTTCGTATTTTATCGAGAAGTTTTACTCACCTATGGCAAAAGAGAGAAGGAAAGAGGGTGAGTGAGTGAGTGAGTGAGAGTGAGAAACGGTGAGAGGGAGAAGATAAAGAAAAAAAGTCCATATGTACATATTTCTGTTAGATCTTCTGGTGGTGCTGGTCTATTGGCCGCATCCACGGAATGAATACCCATTCGCGAGGACCCTACTTGGAGTCTGCGAGAAGCCTTGCGATATTTGCCTGTCTTCCTTCTTCTTCTTCTTCTTCTTCCCAAAGTAAAAGCATTGACAGAACAGACAGCTCAGTACTGTACGCCTCTAATTCCTCGGCTAATGAACTGTTCACATCTCATGTCCAGGATGCTCTCGCAAGATATAATAATGTTCCATCCCACTGTCCAGATATTGGGAATTATTCACCCGACGCCCTGTTTCCTTGTCGCGCGCATGCGACCGCAGAATTCAGTTCTATTGTGCTTTCCAAAGACGCTTCTGCTGTACGAAGTTCTCTTGTCGTCCCTCTCACGAAGTAGTAGATTGGACTTTCTCCCCATTCAACTTCTCCGGCACAGAACTATTCTTCGCCCTCAAAAATTCTTCAATCTGCGCCTGATCCATGTTGTCCAAACTCCGATCAATCTCAGTAGAAGTGGTATGAGTGTCCTGCTCCGCAATCTCCTTTGACTTCTCTTCAGCTTGAGCCTGTGCACCACCTAATCCTACCACTCCGGCAACACTGCCTACAGCGCTCACTACAGCAGCCTGAGCCTGTCCGGCATAATCTTGCACTTGTTCCACAATCGTCGGCTGAGGCTCCTCCTCTCTCGTGATGGCAGTTTCTTTAGGTGCTTGGCCCACCGTTCGAGGTTCCATCACGCTATGGTTGGTACCCTGTCCATCGATGCGAATCTGAGGTGTGCCGTTTTCGAGTTGGCCTTCTGCGTGAGTGCCTTCCTGCTGTTCCATTCGTGTACTGGAGGTGCCTTGTCTGGAATCCTCGGGTGGGTGAGCAATGTCGTGTTGGGTATCTCGGTAAGGCACTGTAAAGGCTTCAGTGTTATCTCCGTTGATGGATTGCGATGCGACTGGTTCTGAGGACTTGTCGAGGCCATTTGTTGGTACTGGAGACGTTCCATTTGCGAGAGGCATGGCAGAAGCCTCGGTCGTCTGTGGGTTCACGTTGTCTGCTGACATGACGTTTGTAGTGTCAGTGTTGTCGGTGGTGTCCAAGTGTTTGTTTGCAGATCCGTTGGCGGCTGTCGATTCTGCACTGTGACTGGCCTTCCGTCCCTGGTGACTGAGAGTGGCGAAGAGAGCACTATTCGCAGGATTCAGATGCTGACGCCCGGGACTCAAGGCTAACGTAGCGACATCAGCATCCGGATGAAAACCTGCCAAAACACGCTTTCTCAGTTTCCCTCCCTCGGAACCAATTGCGATGGCGACCAAGTCACCATCCGCGTCATACTCCCATCTGATAGGGCCCTTTGGCAGCGTCTTGTGTCCCTTCTCTTCTACCACCTCTTTCCAGCGGAGAGCTTCCGTCACGTTTGGTCCCAAAAAGGGCATATCTCCAAAATTCCAGTCCAGCTTGCCGCCATACTTTTTGGGGATATTTTCCACGTCAACCACCTTGGAGAGTTCGGAGAGCATAGTTTTTTCATTGAGAACGTAGACCTTGGAGACAGTAATGGGATCAAACCAGCCTTTGGCCCAGTCCCATACGGTGTTGAAGAACGAAGGGGCGCCAATGACGAAGATGCGGTCGAGAGTCTCAGGGTAGTGTGCGGTAGCCAAGGCGGAGCTGTCTTGCAAATGTGCTCGCAGGGCCCAGAACTGCTTCAAGCCCACCTTGCTGAGATCTACAATGTTTGCACTCTGGCTGACGGGCGTCTCGGTGGCCTGCCGATTGGGCACTGCTGAGCAGAGGGGAAGAACAAAGCGACAGAGGTTCTCGTACAGGGCGAACAGGCGCAGCATCTTGCGGGGAGACTTGGCCTTGATGTCCACCTTGTCGCCCTTCTTGGCCTTTTTCTCCTTCTTTCGGTCATCGTCATTCTGGTGTGCATTGATGTCCTTGGTGCTCAGATTGGCGACTTCGAAGACGTACAGCGGGATGCCGCGCTTGTCCATGCGGCCGGTCCATTGCGGGTAGAGGCGGCGCGCCTGCTCGTACTCGTCGACATCAATGGTTTCGTACAGCTGGTCCAGCTCATTCTGCTTGCGCCAGTCTTCGGTGTCCTTGAACTGGCTCAGGGCGTCTTGCGGCTTAAACTTTCTCGCACGGAGGTAGCGCAGCATCGTTTCGTCATCGTGCGAGGCGGGAGTGTGATGATTGCCGGGATCATAGTATCCCTGTTCGGCACTGAGCGCCTTGAACTTGTCGAGAGCAGCGCGTTGGTTCTCGGTGAGGTGTCCGACGTGTCCTGCTGGCCACTGCGAGGATTGCGCTGTTAGATGATGCTCGCACGGTAGGAGATAGGTACTATGTGCAGCCTCGGCGCTGTTTCGAAATAGGTACTTATGGTGTGGATTCGACTTGCTTGGTATGAAGTGACTCGCTTGAGATCTGCACCGTCAGGCCGACTCATGGTGTCAGAAGAAAGTATACCTAAAGGCTAAGGCAGAGACCGGGCGGGCAGACAGGAAGCCTGAGGAAGGGAACCTGGAAGATGCTCGTCGAGGTCGAAGCTTGGCAAGGAGGGGAGGTCTCCAGTACACGGCAATGCAATCACGTGTACCGTAGACAAGGAAGAAGCGTTAGGTGGTGTGAGCAGGACAGCAGTGCAGGGCAGAGCAGAAGCAGAAGCAGAAGCAGACTCAGCAGAGCATTGAAAGCAGAGACAGCGGGAGAGGCAGAGGCAGTCTCAGGCAGAGGCAGAGTGGATAAGTCGCATTATTTACGCACAGCTGAATGTGAGCAGAGACCATGACGTCGTCCTGACTTGCACAAAGCGGACCACACTCCTCCCTCCCGTCTTCAGCAGTCTCTGTTCTCTATTCCTAGGAGGTAGTACAATGCCCGCTATTCTCACTGCACGGCGCGGCGCGGGGACAGGCAACGGAGGATGGCGCCGGAGGATCGGATGGAACGGGATCCGCCGGGGGTTTGAATCGGCCGAACATCATCTCTGTCTCTCTGTCTATCTCTCTCTCTCTGTGTGGAGGGAGATAGGAGGTCAGGTAGTACATATACTCTCCTCTTTATCTGTCATCGCTCTACCTGTATCTGAACTTCTGAACTTCATCGGAATCATGTGTCAATCACGCTGAATCAGCAAGATGGCAGCATACCTCTAGGAGCATCAAGTTGTGCATCCATGAAGCCACGCCGCTGCGAACCATCCCGTCGTTGATGGCGCGCGCGGGCGGACGGGCGGCCGATGATGATGGATGATGGATGATGGATGATGGCTGCTGAATGCTGACCAACATGTGCACCTTATCTGACATATCTGTCTGATCGGTCTGGCCTGACCAATACTGTGACTGCTTTGAGTCCCTTTGACTGGTCCAAGTGCTGTTTTAAGGTTGTCCTTCAACGCAAACACGCTTCTAGAAATTCCAGGCTACCCCGCTTCGGTCCGTGCTAAGCGAATGCCGCTATACATTAGTGTACCGATCCTCAACCACTGATTTCCCTCTCATGCGCTCCGCTCAGGTGGGCTACTGATAACCACCTAACGTTCTTACTGTGCTACACTGCTATCGCAACACATCTATCGTGGCGAAACATACGTGTACGCGTAACATGCCACCATCATCATCACCACCACCACCACCACCCAGCGTCAGCAATACGATCCAAGTGCGACCTGTCGACAACATGTCTCCAATCTTTCGCCTCCCCGACGAACTGCTCGAGTCCATCGTCGCCTATCTTCCTCCCACCGCCACCCTCGCTTTTGGAACGACCGCCCGACGCTGCAACAAGATCGTCTACGAGCCATTGGTGTGGCGACGACATTGCGTGCAGACATGGAAATACTGGGAGTCCCACCATGACATTGAAGAGAAGCTGCTGTCGCCGCCGGCCCAGACTAGATGGCGAGTCTTGTACAATGAACGCGCCAGGATCGATCGAGAGGCCACCGAGCTCTTCGACCTCGCTCTCTTGACCCAGCAAAACCGATATGCGCGAACTGAAGAAATTGCTGCTCATGGCTATGATGTGAAGGATCTCATGCTCCGAGTGAAGAATGACACACCCGACGATGCAGAGGACGTGCTCGCGAGGCGGTACTACGCCAATGCCGTCCTGGGACAAATTCATCGCACCACCGCTTTGGAGAAGTGGATGCGCTTGCAACAACGCCAGATGGTCAGACTCGAGGAAGTCCTCGGTGCATACGACCTGTTCGTGCTGAGTGGTCAGAATGGAGACCTTGCCGACATCGACCGAGAGCTGGATAGGTTGGCAATGCAAGTGCGTGAGCGTTACGCAGAGCAGGACTTTGATAATCTGAGCGTGCGACGGAAAGCTAGTCTGGTGGCCGAGTATCTGCGCTCAGCAGGTCTGCTTGCCAACAATGCCGGTCCTGAGAACTATCACGCTCTGCGCAACAACTTCTTATCCATGGCCTTGTTCGGCCAACAGCACACTTGCCTACCCCTTCAAGCCGTGGCCATCTACTGCGCTGTCGCACGACGACTGGGAATCAATGCCAAAGCATCCAACTACCCGCAGCACGTCCATGCCGTCATTGAAGCACCCTCTGGCATGAATTTGGATGGCAAGCACGTCATGGTCATGCAGGATTCCGAGCCCGAGCTCATGCATATGGACCCGTGGAGAAGTCACGAGGAGGTTCCCATCGAACAGCTTCGTCTCCGACTGCTACAGATGGGTGCTCCAGCGCATCAGCACGCTCAACATCTCTCTGCCACCACATCTCTCGATCTATGTCTACGCACCGGCCGCAACATCATGACTTCCGTACAAGAAGCTCGAGAACATCACCGTGAACACGATCATCTCTCCGGCCCGAACATCGAAGCAGCGTGGTACAGTATGCTCTGGTCCATGATGATCCTTGGCGACCACAACAACAGCGCCAGCACTCTCCATCGCCGTCGCCAATGCCTTCCATACCTGATTGAGCACTTCCAAGCTCACTTTCCCGAGGACATCAACCTGGTTGAAAAGTATATTCCGAGAATGTTTGAAGGCGAAAGAGAGCACACCATCCTGCTTCACTTGATCAACGAGCGCCGCATGGATGATCGCAACAAGAAAGCTCCTACTCCCCGAACTGGCGACTGCAAAAATGTCAAACACCGTATCGGCACTCACTTTCGCCACAAGCGCTACGACTACGAAGGCGTCATCGTCGGCTGGGATCGACGTTGCTCCGCCGAACAACGTTGGATCGAGCAAATGCGCGTCGACGACCTGCCACGAGGTCGAGAGCAGCCCTTTTATAACATAGTGTACGACAACTCACAACCCGAAGATCATACTCGTGCTCGGCTCCAGCCAGCCAGTATGACAAAGCACTATTATCAAGTGCTTTGTGTCTATGATGCTGACCATGCGTCTAGGGCTGATGACAAGAGTGTACGATATGTGGCCGAGGAGAACATTGAAGTGGTGCGAGACGAGCCGAGCGACATGCTCATGTCCTTGGCGGGGAGATACTTCAACCGATGGGATGCCGATGCAGGCGAGTTTGTGAGCAACATTCGGGATGAATATCCCGATGATTGAGTGGTACCTCGGAGGTATGACAAGCGAGCGGCGGAAAAGTATGTATGCGAGTAAATAAAAAGTTTATTCCATCAGTTGTTGTTCTTGTTGTTATCAAGCACCACACAGGTGAAGTGTCACCCATGCCGTCGGACTTTCTTTGAACGTTTCTCCTCTCCGAAAATGTGATGCCTCTTTTTTCTCCCTAGCCTGTGGCTTTGAACCGTGGCACGTATTTCATCATTCTTTCAGAGAACATTCACCCGTAGCCTGGTGCCTGATGCTTGGGTTATATATCGCCTATAGTAGGGCTGCTGCAGTGAAAAGTGAGGTGTAGAAGAAGAGGGGTGAAGTAGAGGTGGAGTCGCGGAACTGTAGCCGTACCAGGCATTGATATGGCGCTAAGAAACACTCCCGTCTGCATGTGGACAATATTTGGAGGAGTCACGTCAGCTGTGAACAGGACACGTCGAAATTACTGTATGTCGCGCCGAGTACTCAGACTCACACGCCTGACCTCGAAACCAACACTCCACCTGCCGCGCAACCTCCTCATCCTCACCAAAGCCGCATGCCGGACGAGCAACGTTAGAACTTGCAGCACTCACACACAAAACCATCACAACCATTGTCGAGAAACAGCTCCAGTCATGGGCAAGGACAAGAAGGCCGACGCCGGCGACTCGAGGCCATTGGAGCTCACTCCACCCCCAGAATTCTTCGCGACCCGCAATGCCCTCTTTGACAAGCGCAAGGCCGAGCAGGACGAGTGGAAGGCCAAGCAGCCCCGCGAACCCATCACCATCACCCTCGAAAATGGCAGCACCAAGGAAGGCACCAGCTGGGAGACGTCGCCCGCCCAGATTGCACGGGACATCAGTAAGAGTTTGTTTGAACGCACCATCATCGCACGTGTAGACGGAGACGAGCTGTGGGATCTGGATCGCCCACTGGAGAAGAGCTGCAAGTTGGAGCTTCTCGACTTTGACCACCCCGAGGGCAAGAAGGTCTTCTGGCACAGCAGTGCACACATTCTCGGCGAGGCGTGCGAGAAGAGATTCGGCTGTTCGCTATGCATTGGTCCTCCAGTCGAAGACGGCTTCTACTACGAAATGGCACTGCCAGACCAAGCTGCAGTCACATCGGCCGACTACAAGCCAATCAAGCAGATCGCCGAAAAGGCCATCAAAGAGAAGCAGCCGTTTGAGCGACTCACCCTCAGCAAGGAAGACTTGCTGGAGATGTTCTCATACAACAAGTACAAGAAGCACATCATCAACGACAAGATTCCAGATGGCACCTCCACCACTGTATATCGATGCGGTCCACTCATCGACCTGTGTAGAGGTCCTCACGTGCAGCACACAGGACGAATCAAGGCCTTTGAAATCATGAAGAACTCGGCCAGCTACTTTTTGGGTGACGCCAAGAACGACAGTCTGCAGCGTATCTACGGTGTCTCCTTTCCAGACAAGAAGGTTTGTATTTCAGTGTCTGCAGCAAATTTGATTTGTGCTAATGACTCACCAGGCCCTTGAAGAGCACAAGCACTTCCTCGAAGAAGCCGCGAAGCGTGATCACCGCAAGATTGGCCAGGAGCAGGAGCTTTTCTTCTTCCACCAAATGTCTCCCGGCTCAGCCTTCTTCCTCCCACACGGCATGATCATCAAGAATGCTCTTGGCACATTCATCCGCGAAGAATACTGGAAGCGTGGTTACCAAGAGGTCGGCTCACCAAACATGTTCAACTCTGCGCTGTGGAAGCAATCTGGTCACTGGCAGCACTACCAGGACGACATGTTCACTTTCGAAGTCGAGAAGGACCAGTGGGCTTTGAAGCCCATGAATTGCCCTGGTCACTGTCTGCTTTTCGGTCATCGTGAGCGAAGTTACCGAGAACTGCCAATGCGTATTGCTGATTGTGGCGTTCTGCACCGCAACGAGGCATCTGGTGCTTTGTCTGGCCTCACTCGAGTTCGTCGCTTCGAACAAGATGACACTCACATCTTCTGCATGGAGAGCCAGGTCGAGCAAGAGGTTAAGGCCCTCTTCGACTTCATGACTGCCGTGTATGGACTGTTTGGGTTTAGCTTCAAGATGAAGCTATCTACTATGCCCGATAACCACCTTGGAGACGTGGCTACCTGGCAGCGCGCCGAGGCACAGCTCGCTAGTGCGCTCGATGAATTCAAGGCCAACACGGGTACACAGTGGGAGCTCAACCCAGGTGATGGTGCTTTCTACGGACCCAAGATCGACGTCACTATTTCGGATGCTCTCCGTCGCGAGTTCCAATGCGCTACGATTCAGCTTGATTTCCAGCTGCCACAGCAGTTCAATCTCGAATACCGCACAGACGAAGTTGCTACAGCAGTCAAGCCAGAGGCAAATGGCGAAAAGCCTGCTACTGATGCCCCTAAGCCAGAAGAAAAGACTCTGCCGATCCACCCTGCGCCAACAGCAGAGACAGGAGACGTCTCAGCCGCAGCTGCCACACCGGCCAAGCCAGAGGTTAACTACCGCCGTGAGCTGACACCTGGCTGCGCTCGCCCGGTAATGATTCACAGAGCCATCTACGGATCGTTTGAGCGCTTCATTGGCATCTTGACAGAGCACTTCGGCGGCAAGTGGCCTTTCTGGCTGTCCCCCCGGCAGATCTTGATCGTACCAGTTATGCCTTCTGCCAATGACTATGTCCTTGAGCTGCAAAGCGAGTTCCGCGCCGCGAAGATGCACGTCGACGTCGACATCACTGGCAACACCATGCAAAAGAAGATTCGCACTGGTCAGCTTGCCCAGTACAACTTCATCTTCGTGGTCGGTGCTCAGGAGAAGGAGTCTCGCACTGTCAACATTCGAAATCGCGACGATCCTACTACCCAGAAGATGGGCGAGCTCATTCCCGTCGACAAGGCGATGGAGTTGCTCATCAAGCTGAGAGATGAGCGAAGACTCAACTCGGATTTGAAGGCATAGGGTGCTCCTCACATCATGCATCAGAGTGTGTCCAACGGGATAGGTGATGAGCCATGCTCTGGAATCCTCCGGCACGGCACTCTTGCGGCATCTACATACCAGGGAGAGGCACGGAAATACAGAAATCGGATGATATGTCTGATGGGCGTCATCTGCACGATAGTGTGGAAAGTGATACTGAAAGTACTGTGGAAGATACTATGGAAAGCCTTGTGGAAAGAGCTCGAGAAGGTGAGTCTTCCAGGCACACCTTGGGCAATGCTGTAAGTCCCCAGGTCGCTGTGTCGATGATAAGAGCCACAGCGTAGATTGAAGACGTCCTACACGATGAATGCTCAGTAGCAGCGCCTGGCATGAGACACAAGGCTCACGCCGGAGACGAAATGAAATGAGACCAATACCCCCCATGCTTCCCTATCTCACTAGATTCATCGCCTATAGCCTTCTAAAATGGGGGTTAAGCAGATTTGGGTGCTTTCACTCAGCCACGGATATGGCTTCCCTCTCATATCCAATTCTCTATGCTTTGCTTCGTCTTACCTTGAACAGGATTTTGCACTCGTCGTGCCACATGGCAGGAGTCTCAGCCGAAATTGTTGAGCGCTTCGTACATTTTGAGAGGCCAAGTGTGATTATCTGGTGATTGTTGTCAGGCGCGATCCATTCATACATGACCAGGAAGCTTCACATCTGTTGGTAGTGGTCGTGCCTTCTCAGTTTGTTGCCTTAGCCCGGCTTTCGGCTAGTACCGGCGCTAGTGACCTCAATACCAAATAGCCATCTTAACTGTCTGGACTTCACCTTCACATGGCACTCCTCCTCCAGCGGACGGCTCTGCTGACCAGAACTACTAGACTCTCACCATGTCTCTTAAGACAATACGCCACCAAGCGAGGTGGCGATGTCGACGAGGCAGAGCTACAGGCTGCCCGCCAATGGCTCGCGAAGCTTGATCCAGACACGATTCCACGAGACATTTGCGAAGTGAGCTTCTCACGATCTTCCGGTCCTGGTGGTCAGAATGTCAATAAGTGAGTCGAGACCGACGCATGTGATGCGAGGGGCAACTGGCTAAATGGTGACAGAACCTCATCCAAAGCGACTCTACGAATTCCAATTTCTTCACTCCTGCAACGAGTACCTACATTGATGCATGGACCGATCCAGAGCAGTCGCTACCACGCTGCAAAATCGAACGACCTCGTCATACAGGCTGACGATTCGCGGAAGCAGACTGACAATGTCAACGCCTGCTTTCGCAAATTGCATGAATTGATCGTGCAGGCTGGACGCCAGACTGTGCCAGGCGAGACGAGCCTTGAGCAGTCCAAGCGTGTTGAAGGCCTGCAGAAGGCTGAGGCTGCTGGGCGGCGCAAGATGAAAGAGTTTCACAGCAAGAAGAAGAGTGCACGGAGAGGTGGGGGACGAGGTGGTGATGATTGAAAGGAAAGCACGCTCTGTTCTGGAGTGACGTGAGGCTCGTCTTGCCGAGGCATACATCATCACATCGATGGACTGGGCCATTTTTACCACTACGAATTATTGGACTCGCTGCGGGCAGCCTGGCCTTAGAGATACTCAAGGCTTGACGCTGCCTCCGCCACATGATGGTGATCAGGGACATCAATGTCGACTGAGCCGCAACAGCTGTAGTGGCAGGGCTCGGCTCTCCAGAGAGTAAAGCTGACAGCATTCAGCTGGCTAACGAGCCTATCCTAACCTGAACAAGGCAGGTATAAAGTCAATCACGGGCATGCGCTTCGATCTCTCCGTAGAGAATGCTCGAGGCACTTGGTTCTAGAATGCCACCGAGCTCAGATCTTCTGGACCACGAGTGAACATAGTCGACACAGCAAGTGGCCTGACTTCTGAAGAGCAATCACTTTCTGCAAGCATACATTGACGGGGGTCAGATTCGGTTGAAATGTGTGTATGGGAGCCTCCGCTGTCATGAAGACGGCGCAGCATGCTAAGCTCCTCGCCTCGAGAGGCGCCAAAGGTCATGGTAGCGGTTCCGAGGTTGTCGGAGAATAGGACAGCCACAGGAAGACTTTGCGGCTACATAGCTGCAGGTGATAGTCAAATGAAGGCACTACCGCATCGGTCCACATATTTACCAACCAGACTGAAAGTTGAAGCGCATTCCACTTCTCATAACTTTCAGCGAGCCGTCGAGCGTCAATCTAAGATCAGTCACTGATTATCCATGTCTTTCCATCACTTGAGCTGGCCACGAAGGATCTGCTAGCTTCACCGGACGCCAGAGGCCTCTGTTGGAGTAAGTATCTTTTGCTACTACTTGTACTCACTACTTTGATTCTCCCAGCCCTACCTGTCCCAGCCTTGCAAAATGCCGGAGACCGTTGCTATGCACCTATATAATTTGGAGACGGCGTTTCGGTTATCTCGATGTGAGTGCCTAAGGTAGGTAGAGAAGTGATAATGGACAACGTCTTGAGATCTGTTCCCCTTAGCTGCACGGGACAGGGCGAGCTAGAAATGCGGCTCAACTTGCGTCACTATAGACCATGTTAATGGAGGACAAAATCATGTATAAGTACTCGCTGTAGCTCTCATCTGCCATCCTTTGGTGTGTCATGTCGCCAGTTCAAAGTATCCAAATTCCGGACATGCTATGCTCGTTCCGACTGCTGTACATCAGTGGTCTGGCATTGACCTATAATACATACCATATCATAATTCTAATGCTTTCGCTTCCCTAGGGACGAGGCACAATGCCCCGCATCTCAGCGAGTTGTTGGGCAGAGCAGCGCTCGCGCTCATTTGCATTGATCAAATTTCCACACTGCATATCCATTCAAAATCTCCTCTCTCTCAGAAAAGTTTCGACCTTTGTCTTCCAATGCCCTTTGACATTAATATGTCCCGTCACCGAATTGATCGCAACATCATCCTTCTTCACTCCCAATTCCCGACACAATTCCCCCTTTAAGATCATTCTATCGCCATCGATGTTCTTGATCCTCGTCACTTTCAAATTCCCTCCTCTCTTGCGCAGCAAATATATCGGCAGATTGTTCATGCTACTTCGGCTGACGAAGTAAGGGAGATTTGGCGCACTTTCTGTTTCTGGTCGTGGAGTTACAGGATCGGGGATGAGTTTGGGAAGAGCGGGTTGAGAGTGAGAGAGTCTCCGTGTTGGGTAGTGGCGCTCTTTGGTGGGATGCCCGGTTCGGCGGGAGGCTCTGCTTTCTTTGGGCCGGGGAATCGAGCGCATAGAGCGAGGAGGGTAGGCTGGGTCTGCTGTACGGGAGGCCGTGAGATTGGCATCTGGGGACAATGTTAGTCTCTCTCTCTCTCTCTCCCATGGTATACGAGTATGGTATGGTGTAGTCTGACCTTCGCGTATGGGAGTGTAAGTGGAGGGTGTAGATGCTTCTTCACGACATGTTGTGCGCGTGGAGAATCGTAGAAAGTGTCGCACTGTGGCTGGTCGCGGCAGGCCCAATGGCCGCAGGAACGAAAGCATTGGACTGGCCATTTTTTCCACGTCAATTGTAAGTGAATGTGTTTACTTCGAGCACAGAGAAGGAAGGAGCGTCGGAGTTGTCGCACGTGAAGTGCCGATCACATTGTCTTGGCGGCAAGTTCGCGATTTTAGACGTCGACGGTGGGCTTTCCCTTCCACCTCGACAACACGTACCGCAAACATGGCAGACTCCAACGGCGACGTGGCCGCCTCCTACAGCCTGTTGCCAAAACTCATCTCGAATCTGGACCGCCACCTTGTCTTTCCGCTGCTCAACTTCGAGGAGGAACAGCGCCCGCAAGATGAAGATGTCTCGGACATCACACAATTGAAATATGCGCTGCTTAAGGAAACCAACATGTCCGACTATGTTGGCGAATTGTACGTGCAGCTCAACGACTTGAGCGAGATGCCAGCCGAATACAACAAGAAGCGCGAGGAAACGCTCGAGAGGCGGCGGATATACACCGAAGAGACAGAGAAGATCCAGGGCCTGCTCGGCGATGCAGAGGTCATCAACAACCTGCGCAGCGACAAGAACAGCAACATGGCGTACTTGAAGGACAACCACGGTGTCACTCAACAAATGGTGGATCAGCTGTACGATTTTGGCCAGTTCCAATTTGCCTGTGGTGACTACGAGAGTGCTTCTGAGCTGCTTTACCAATTCCGTATCCTGTCCACGGATAACGACAAAGTCAACGCCGCAACATGGGGAAAGCTGGCTGCGGATATCTTGAACACAAACTGGGAGAGCGCCATGGAGGAAGTCATGAAGATCAAGGAGAGCATTGATACCCGACTGTTCAACAACCCGCTAGCACAACTGCAGCACCGCACATGGCTGATTCACTGGTCGCTCTTCCCGTTCTTTAACCACGAACCTGCGCGCGAGCAACTGACTGAGCTCTTCTTCTCCCCTGCATACATCAACACGATCCAGACGTCTTGCCCGTGGGTATTGAGATACTTGGCTGCAGCTGTTGTTACGAACCGTAACCGCCCTGGAAGCAAGAACAACTACAATTACGGCAACTACCAGAAACAGTTGAAGGACTTGGTGAGGATCGTGAGACAGGAGCAGTATGAGTACAACGATCCAGTGACGCTCTTCATCAAGGCCTTATACGTCGACTTTGACTTTGAAGAAGCGCAGAAGAGATTGTCAGAAGCACACTCTATCCTGAGCGCAGACTTCTTCCTTTCTGCAGCAGCAGACCCATTCCTGGATGCTGCACGTCATCTCATCTCCGAATCATACTGCAAGATTCACCAGCGCATTGATATTCAGTGAGCATCTCCATTTCACACCATTCATGAGAAACGCTAACATGATTTTCTAGGGACCTATCCACCCGCCTCGGCCTTGGCCAAGAAGAGGGCGAGAAGTGGATTGTCAACCTCATCCGTGACACCCGCGTCGACGCGAAGATTGACTACAAGGCCGGAACTGTCATCATGAACCACCCTCCTGTGAGCGTATACCAGCAAGTCATCGAGAGGACGAAGGGTGGCTTCTTCCGCACGCAAGTGCTGTCGGCTGCTGTTGCGAAGTGAGTCTGGAGGTGATCGTCATGAGGAACTTTCGATAATATCCAGACTCCGAATCAGCGCCCGTGCGCACTTCGAGGAACTTGGGGGGAGCAGAATACGGATGCCGGTGTTTGAGATATGGCTAGCGTAGCATTGGCGTTCCGGCGTCGAATGCACAAAAAATGCACGATAAAAGCTTTGACACGAGCAACATGTGCTATGGATGAGGGCCTATGTTAGTCTGGGCGGGCACTGGCCCAGCGAAAGACTAGATGAGACGTACCACGATCGCACACATGTGCATCGCAATGATATCTGAAATGATCTGATAGTGAAAGAGATTGTCTCAAGCGCAACAGCACCGTGATGTGTAAATGTTTAGTAGGTAGGATGCGCTACTGCTGACGTGCTACAGTAGGTAGGTATTGACTAGAAGGTCTCGGCCGGCCAAGAAACATTCCACGATTATTACATTATGATCGAAACGACAGGTAATTTTGAAGCTACCTAGGTAGAGATGAAAGGTACCATCGCGTTGCTATCACGGTGATGCACTTTCATTCCTGTCCAGCGAGAAAAAAAAAACGATTTCCTGGCCACGCTTCCTTCCTTGACCCGCTCTGTGAATTCACTTCTGGAGCAAAATCATACCAGAGCGAGCGAAAACTACCACCACTGAGGCATGCATGCTTGCTGTGCACGATGCACGAGTATCAAGGACTTATATGGGGGCGCAACACAGGCCTATGGAGTACATGTTTCATACTGATAGCACATAGTGTAAGACTACTTGGGTCTCGTGCGGCTTTTGTGGGCAGGTTGTTCTTGCTTCAGTCGGAGCGATTTCGACGATTTGCGTGGTCCAACGTTTAGACCAGGGATGATATGTCGTTCCCATCAATGAAGTGCTGGGTGCATGCAACAGCAGCCTCTTCGGATGTTCAGCTGTACTTGTGCTTTTCCATAAGTCGCCTCACTTGTGAGTGGCTGATCCCACGGTCGAGATCTCGATTTTTGATCGGTGCAGCAGCAATCAGCCAGGAAACTCTTCACCCCACGCGCCTCTTGTTCCGTCGGTCTGGTCCATGGACCACCGGTGGTGGATATTGCACCTCTGTATCCCAGTCGGCCAAATTGATATAAGGACTCCTCAACCAACTTTCCATTTCATGTAGCAACAATTTCGCGTTGTCCCGTCCTAGAAACTCTGATACGAGATCCTCTGCCCGTCCATCCGCGCCCCTCAGCTCATGACTCTTGAGCACAAAGACAATGTAAACGATCAAAAAGTCACGACTGCTGGCTCGAGGATTATTATCCAAGAAATCAAAGACTTTGAGCTCTCTTCGGAGGAACATTTTGGCTTTGTTCTGGAGCTCATCAGAGGTGAGAAAGTCAATCTGCGTGAAATTCGTATATTGGTTGATGCGATTTCCGCCAATATGGAGGCTGTATAAAACTTCTCTATAGACTCTTCGTCTTCGTTCGAGAATGTCATCTGCAGGCGGGCCGATGGGACATGTAATGGGTCTCCTTGGTTGTACACGCCTGCGATATGGCTGGTGTGGTCTGAAAGCATTTGATGGTCTCACAGATTCTTCCTTCTTTGTCGGCACATGGTACGTCTTGAAGTCTTCTGGGCTTCTCCAGTCATATTGCACTTCTCTCACTTCGGCTTTGCAAAGTGGACAGGTGGAATTCTCTTGAAGCCACGAGACTAGACAGAGGAAGTCAAACGTCAGGTGGTTGCAGGGTGTCGCCACAGCACGCTCGGAAATACGCTCGAGGCAGATTGTGCAGGCATCTTCGCCTTGTCTGGACGCTTGCGATGTAGCGGTGCTGGGCAATGTGGTGGGTCTGCTGTCCATGCATTAATTCTGGCGTGGCGTCGTTGTAGTGAGTGATGTTGGGTTCGAGGCAGCGGAAGTGACAAAACGATGTCGTGTCTTGGCAGGACCCACATCGTGCAAGGGGAGTCAGCAAAGAAATCAAGGCGTACCTTCCAGGTTACCTCCATCAATGCATGGCAAAGACTGATGAAGGTGCAAAATTGGAGTACCTGTAGTCATACTGACCGCTTTGAAGTCCATTGGTGCTACCTCCGTAGAATCTACTTGCGTGAAACTCGCTAAGACAGCCAAGACCTGAAGAGAGGCACGAAGCCTAGTTTGGACAAGTGCACCACTCCAGCAGCCCGCTATATATGGGCTGTCTCTAGAGGGATGTTTGCAAGACGCGCTGTAGCATGGTCCGTCCTATTCGATCAATTGCGAAAGCACCTCCTGTTCCGCTAAAGCAGACAACCATTTCCGAACGAATGTTGCATAGTCATGTCTCCTCTGCCTAGCCTGCTCCTCATCAGCCCGCTCCATCATTTGCGCACTTCGAATGCTTGATCTGATTTGTGCTTGTCTCTTCAGAAATGGTTTGCGGTACTCTATCAATGCCATGAAATTTTCTTCACTTGAAACTTCCGCAACGACCTCTGTTGGTGCTGTTGTGGCATCGATGTCGATAGCGAAGATGTCAAGTTCATGCGACGGGCCGAGAAGAGTGTCTTTCGATGTCTCAGCGCCGTCCAGAGATCGCCAGTCTTCGAATAATTCGTCGAGCCGCCTATCGATGGTCTGTAGAATTTTGATATTTTGGCACAAATCTCTTCTGTCATCGACCATGGGGTCATGAACCACTGCCAGCAGGGTAAAGCTGATTTCGCCCTGTTCTTGTGCGGCTGCCATACGACCCTGCAAGGCAGGCGCGACAACATGCATCCAGTTCCCAGTGCCTCCATCCGCTCCATTGCCACCGAGCCCGAAAGATCCCAAGTCGTGAGGATGGTAGTCGAGACCATCCAGCTTCCAGACATGATTCTGGATGGGCATGTAGGCGATGAAGTGAAATCCCTCTTGGGCCGCTTCATCATTAGCTTCGGAGACGTAGGCGCCGCGATTGGGAGGTTTGCGTGCTCGATTTGAGCGTCGTGGTTGGTCTATCGTCTCGCCTTGCTCCGTCTTAAAATCCTCATCCGGCTTGCGAGGTGCCTGAACGCTGACGTTTGGTCGTGACTTTGCTACTACATTCAACTTGAAGTCGGAATCTTCTTCGGGTTCGGAACTCGTATCTGCAGAGTGAACTGCTTTTGGAAGAGGCTTTGAAGCTTTCGTAGATGGGCATCGTGGAACATTCGCTGCCGGTGCTCGACTGCATGCAACTGCTCGGTTAAGCTTGGCGACACCGTTTAGTGCTTCTTCTTTCGCATCCTTTTCTGCCTTTTTGGCCGCCTTGGTGGCTTGCGCTTTGGCTGTCGCAGCCTTCTTCTTCTGTCTGGCGAACTTCTCTTTGGCGTGCATGTCAGCTGTAAGTAGATCATTTTCACGAGCAAACGAGTTATGTATGCGCTTGACGAAGTGGAAGTCATCAATCATTTCGCCGCGGGTGACGGGGTCCATATCCTTCGTGTGGGCTTTGAAGTCGCGGAGCTGCACGCCCATCTGTAGACCAGGGACGTTGTTCACAATGTTCAGCATGGCCACTGTTGCGCACGCAAAGTCGGGTACCTGATTGGCAAACCAGATGTGATCTTGTTCAATACCAGTGTACTGGTCTTCTTCGTCTTGCGTCTTGTAGCGAAACAGGAATATGAGAGCATGGCAAGGCTGCCTGATGATAGTCAGTAAGTGGGAAATAGACGTTGGTCGTCAGCACTCACGGCAGAATGGCCAGCATGTCGTCCTCGATTGATAGCACTTCTTGCACTTTGGCACCTCGAACGCCCATCTCCTTCAACATAACGTTGAAAAAGGCCTGCGTCAGGTTAGTTATGTCTGCACCAGGGAGAGTTGACCTTGCTACTCACGGGCTCACTCTCCATCTCGACCCATCCTGACCAAGTGTCGCGATCAGGCGGGACGAGGACAGTGCCAGCATTAGCTGCTATTGCATCTGCATGTGGATGGTCAGACTTGCGCTTTTGGCCTCGTTTTGGCGGCATGTTGGATGATGTATGGGGAGTTCAGCAGAAGTCCTGCGAAGTGAATGAAAAGAGAGGGAATCCAATCGGTGCAGCTCAATTGCAGGCAGGAACTGGCGGGAGTAATTCAAGTTGGAAGCACAAAAGGTGAATAGAGGTCAATTTCAAACCGTTTGCTCTGTGCTTGATGCAGAACTAAGGCTGCCATTACGGTCCGCATCTTTACCGACCTTGAGACTCGCAAACAGACTGCCAGAAATGAGGTGGCAGGCAATCAGATCGACTGAGAAGAGACACCCTTGTCACTTGCTCGGAGCTTCCCGCCGCTAGGAACGCGCGAACGCGTCGGGCAGAAGAGAACTCGATGTACGTTGTTTGGAGCTCCATAAACAAGACGGTATAATCCGAGAATTCTGCTTACGACCTTACGACCCAGACAACGGCCGCAAGGACAACACTCCTGTCAGTCGACTCCAGACACGTTTCCGAGATTGAGGCCTGCCAGACAGACGGACGAGAACAGCTCGAGCGAAGAGCACCGTACAGCATCAATGCACAAGCACCGATAGCCAGCGTCACCACAGCGCGAGCGGAGCGGAGGAGAAGATGGAACCCGGCACACCGCGCCTTCGCAGCGCATTCCCACAGACGCCGCGGCGAGGAGACAACCCCCGAGCGTCACTGCAGCAGCGAGCAAATCCCTTCCGCACATCGTCGCCCACCAGCCAACAAAAACCGCTCCCTCGAATACCCACCCTCAGAGAGACACCCACACTACCCAGTGAACCTCTGATCCCCACTCACATCATCGACGCACCCACACAACGGCTCTATGCGGTGGCCTTTTGGGCAGTGCTGTGGTCATGGCGGGCATGGGATTTCAGCAATTTGGTGGACGCTGAGGAGCAGAGCTTGTGGCTGTTCATGAAATGGGTCGCCATAGATGGAGTGTTCCTGTTTGGACTGCCCGGCTTGCGCATACCATGGCTAGAATGGAGTTCTGCGACCATGACGCTGATTTTCTTGGCACATGCGTTGCTAGATGGGATGCTCATGTTCAGGATCCCGATCCCTATTCTGGCGGGGTTCGCTGCGCTATGGAGAGGAGTGTGGGGAGCATATGAGACCGCGATCAACGAGCATGGCGTCAACCCCGATACTGTGCTGTTTAACAGCAGCCTGATTCTGGGGCGGCAAGTCGTCCACATCTTGCCTGAGGGCAGTGCTATTCTGAACCCACAGAAGGAGACATTCTGCCTCGACGGAAAAAAGAGAACAGAAGCGAGACTGCCCATCATGATCAACGCGACAGATCCGATCAGCGTGGACATTCTGCATGTGGACTTGGACACCCAGCTGAATAGCACGATCCACATTAGTAAAAGCCAGATCAAGGCGATGCACAAGGAGGCGAGCAGGTTGATCACATACAGCGAGGACCCCAATGAGCCCAAGACGCTTTACTATTCGGTCAAGAAGCCTGGATTGTATGCACTGCTCAAGGTCGTTGATGCATCAAACCTGGAAGTGAGTAGAAAGAAGGTGGCGCACACCGTCGTTGTGTCATGCCCCAGCGCGGAATTCTTGCCAGCACCAGTTGATCGATGCCGTGGCGAATTGTCCAACGTTGAACTGCACGCGACCGGCACACCACCGATGAAGGTGAAGTACCGCAAGGTAGTGAACAAGGCATCAACTACATCAACTTTTGAGAACATCCAACCGGAAGAGCTGATTTCGCCGCTCTTGAAGCAGGATAGTGATGTTCTTGTAGTACCGGCTCGAGTCGATACGTCGTGGGTGAAATCACAAAGTGTGCGAGTGCCGCTGAGCGAAGGTCTTGTCGTAGCCGGGAGCTGGACTTATGCGATCGACGAAGTCGTCGACGGCTTTGGTCATCGCGTTGAGTATGCAGATAACGATCATAAGCTTGAGAAGAGTCAAAGGAAGACACATCTGCAACAACACATCGACGTACACGAGCGGCCAGTGGTTAATCTCCAAGGTTGCACACCTCAGCAACCGCTCAAAGTACCTCGAGGCAGACCAAACCAGCTTCCGATTCAGTATGCTTCCACTGGACAGGGAGCGATACCACATACATCGTACCATCTCGAGTGGATATTCACTCCTCAGGTTGATATGAGCTCCAGCAGTGGACACGGTGCCACCCCACAAACGAAAAAAGAATCGATCACGACACCAGGAGGATCCCCGTACGTTACAGAGCCTGGACTGTATACTTTGACTGGAGTGTCAACAGACTACTGCAGTGGTGATGTGCTTGAGCCAGCGTCATGCTTGCTACAGAACCCTCCGGAACCCGAACTTCTTGTCAATTCCACCGGCATGTTCGACAAATGCGCTGGCAGGCCAATTGGTCTTCTCGTCGACATTGATCTTATCGGTACTCCTCCCTTTGAACTCGAGTATACTTCAACTCGTCAAGGTCACCCTCACCATACCGTACACAAGGAGTGGGTCAATGGTCTTCGCGGACAAGTGGAGTTCACCCCCGTCGAAGCAGGCAACTACACTTACGTGTTTACCAAGATTAGTGATGCGGTCTACAAGAACCAAAAGCTCGTGGGTGGCCCAGAATTAACTCAAGACGTGAAGCCGTCCGCATCAGCACGTTTCCTCAACGAAGGCAAAAAGGTCACATGCATTGACCAGGCTGCGAGCTTTGAAGTTTCCCTAAACGGCGAGCCTCCGTTCGTCCTGGAGTATGAGATCATTCACAATGGTAAACGTCAGAAAATGCACACGAACAACATCACTTCGAAGTTCATTCATCTGGATACGCCGATCTTAACTGACGGAGGCGATTACACCTTGGGTCTCGTCAGTATCACGGACGGGACCGGGTGCAAGGAACTGCTCAAGGATGAAGCCAAGGTGACAGTGCGTCATCAGAAGCCCAAGGTTAGCTTCGGCCAGATTGAGGGCCGTCGAAGTGTCGATACCTTGGAAGGCAAAAAGGTCTCGCTTCCTCTCCGCCTTGTTGGCGAGCCTCCGTGGACCGTCAACTACCTTGATAGCCAAGGCAAAGAGCAGACCGTTCGGTCTAATGGACCAAACGATAAGCTAGATGTCGATCGAGACGGAATGTACGAGCTTCTTGACGTTCACGATAATATCTGCCCAGGACTAGTGGACAGCACCGCGAAGGAGTTTCAGGTCCACTGGATCCCCAGGCCGCAGTATCGCATCTCACCGGACGACATCCAAAGCGAGAAGAAGAACGTCTTTGTGCGCTCAGAGGTGTGCGAAGGTGATGAGGATGCTGTCGAAGTGCTATTTAAGGGCTCGCCTCCGTACAAGCTCTCATACATCCAGACTGTGAGGCCGGAGGTCGGTGCTGTTGCACCACGCAACAAGGAGCTGCGGGCCGCTCTGAATGTAGCAAGTCTTCGTATGGAAACTTCAGTCGCAGGTGCCTATGAATACAAGTTGGCCGCTTTCAGTGACGGAAATTACCCGGAGCACTCGCCGAAGCACTTTACGCCCATCAGCATCAAGCAAAAGGTCAACTCTCGTCCCTCGGCAGCATTCGCGACACCAGGTAAGACGTATAGCTTCTGCTCGGTTGAGTCAGATGGCGAGGAGGTAATTCCCGTCACGCTTCATGGTGTGCCTCCATTTGAGCTCGAAGTCGAGATCAAACACCACGGCACCGTCAAGCCTGAAATGGTACACTACACCAACATCGAAAGCAAGAGCCACAGTATCCACATCCCTCACTCTCGCCTCCATCTGGGCAAGAGCGCCGTCTCTCTTCGCCGCGTCTCGGACGCTCGAGGCTGTTCCCGAACTCTCGATAGCACAGCTCCTCGCGTGCAGATCAGTGTTCATGATGCGCCTACAATTGTCAGTCTCGAAGAACGTTCTGACTACTGCGTCGGCGATCGTCTCAATTTCGGGCTAGCAGGAGTCGCACCGTTCCAGGTGTTCTACACTTTTGAAGGACAAGCACGAAAGGCTTCCGTGTCCAGTGGCAACACTTTCAAACGTCTTGCTGAAAAGCCTGGCGTATTCCGAATCACCGGTCTGCAAGACTCTGCCTCTACGTGCAAAGCGTCTTCGGACATTGAAAAACGTATCCACGGCATGCCTTCGGTCCGCGTCAGCAAAGGCAAAGATTCCTACGTTGACATCCATGAAGGTGGACAAGCCGAACTCACCTTTGATTTCGGTGGCACCCCTCCTTTCGAGTTCACCTATACACGCTCATCCAACACGGACAAGCATGGCAAGAAGAAGAGTCAAGTATTGGATATGAAGAGTGAAATTTCTCATGAACATTCGATGAGGATATGGGCAAGTGAGGAGGGGACGTACGAGGTCGTCAGCATCAAGGATGCGCATTGCGCTTATGCAAAGCCGGGAATCAACGTCGAGCAGGCCAAGGGGTCCAAGCAGAAGAAATTGGGATACTATTAGAATTATGGACCGGGACAAGAGAGCCTGGTGGATTGAATTGAATCTGGATCTGTTTACATGGCGAGGTGTATGGCGTTTCTTTGGCACGTCGCATACGGACACGGCCTAGTCACATTGCACGGCAGGGCAGGGGTGCTGAGTTGGTCTATAGTTGTTCGAATGACCGCCGCACAGTTCGTGGTCTATTGCCTGCTGGGGTAACTCATTCGCCTTTTTGCGATCTCGGGCATGGTTGTGTCATGTGTTGGTGCAGTGGCGAACGAGACAAGCGTTTTGTTCGTAGCGTGTCTAGTGCAACATCGGGCCCTGCATATAACTCACTTGCTTCAAAAGTGTTTGGCATGAGTAGGTAGGTAAATATAGGATCTGTGGGATGATACTTGCAAATGACACGTGCAGAGTGTATGGGAACACTGTTCACTTGGCGGTTCGTGAACTGTGATGTCTCTCCACGTGCCTAGGAAGACCATACTTGATACTACAATACGAATGGAGGTGGAGGGTTAAAGTGTTCCAGAAGTGTCTCTTGGAGTCTTAGTGGCCCCGCCGGGTGTTCCCTTCCATGGAACTAACGAACCCGTCGAACCGTCACAAGCTAACCCTTGAACCTTAAAGCCCGATCAGCCACACTGGAAAGCTCACCTCGTCGATGAACAAGTGTTCACTCTCGAAAGGTACTTCCTACACTCCAACTCCCGCTCCAGACTCAACTCCTCTCTCGCTCCACCTCGCCACCGGCACATTCATACACTGTCACCTCGCGCCAACCATGATCCTCCGGAGCTCACTCATTGCCCTCGGGGCATTGTGCCTCTCCACAGTGCCTGTCGCAGCCATCACCACTTCCGAAATTGACACCGATACGCCCGTGTCGCAACTGATCGAATTGGCGAATGCAAACCTCGCACGAGGAAAGGCGCAGGATGCCATTGTGTACTTCGATGTTGCCGTCCACAAGGATCCAAGCAACTACCTCACCCTCTTCAAGCGCGGCGCAACCTACCTGTCACTTGGCAAGAACCAGCAAGCCAGTAAGGACTTCGACCAAGTGTTGACATTGAAGCCCGGCTTCGAGGGCGCGCTCACACAACGCGCGAAGCTACGAAGCAGGAACGCAGATTGGGCAGGAGCGAAGCAAGACTATATTGCGGCGAAGAAGCAGGGCACCGACGCGTGGTTGGAACTGGAAGAGGCTGAAGGTGCGGAAAAGTTGTCGGCCGAGGCAGAGAAGGCTGGCAAATGGGAGGAGTGTGTCGCACAAGCCAGTACTGCTGTGATGGTCGCTGGAACCGCCCTGGAGCTCAGACAGCGGAGAGCACGATGTCGGTTCGAGCAAGGCCAGGTCATGGAGGGCATTGCAGATCTGAATCATGTCATGCAGATCAATCCCGGCAACCCCGAGCCCTACCTACAGATCTCAGCCATGTCCTTCTATTCTCTGGGCGAGACGGACAAGGGCACAGCCTCCGTCTCCAAGTGCCTCCAAAACGACCCGGACAACAAAGCTTGCTCTAAGCTCCGGAAGAGCGAGAAGGCCATCGAGCGGACCATCAAAAAGTTTAACACGTTGAAGGAGAAGCGTCAATTTGCATCCGCAGTGAAGCTTCTGATTGCAGTGGGCGAAGACCCAGGTCTGCTTCAAGAGGTCAAGGACGATGTGAAGACGTGGAAGGAAGCTGGCTATATCCACGCCAATGCGCCAAATGAGCTCTACGCCTCCCTCGTCGAAAGTGCGTGCGAAGCGTACACGGAAATGAATAACTTTAAGAAAGCCACGCCTTTCTGTACTGAAGCTCTCACGTTCAACGCGCAGTCGCTTCCCGCCTTGCTCAACAAGGCACAGAGACAGATTGATGCGGAAGAGTTCGAGCCTGCATTGAGCACCCTCAATCAAGCCTCAGAAGTTCATGGCCGCACCCAAAAGATCCAAGAATTAATGCAGAAAGCGCAGCAATTACTGAAACGATCGAAGCAAAAGGACTATTACAAGGTCCTCGGCGTCTCGCGTGATGCCGATGAGAGGGAGATCAAGAAGGCTTTCCGTAAGCTCACCGTTCAGCATCATCCGGACAAGGCGGCGAAGAACGGTGTCACGCAGGAGGAAGCGCAGAAGAAGATGTCGGCGATCAACGAAGCCTACGAAGTCCTCAGTGATCCCGAGTTGAAAGCACGCTTCGATGGCGGGGAAGATCCCAATGATCCTCACGCAAACCAGGGAGGGCACCCGTTCCAGGGGTCACCATTTGGACAAGGACAGCCGATATTCTTCCAAAGTGGAGGTGGTCAACAGCGATTCAAATTCCAGGCAGGCGGTGGAATGCCGAACTTTGGGGGCGGATTTCCAGGCGGATTCCCGTTCGGCTAGAAGAGAAAAGGGGGTTGTTTTGGGCTTATTGCTTGGGATTTACGGCGTTCAACTCGGGAACCTCTTACGGAAAGGGGCGTATTGGTCACAGGGTGTATACCAAAGGCATCGGTCTCGGCGTTATGACATCAAAGACATGATATAGATATGTATGATGAAGTCTGGTTTGAATCAGAGCAATGTTCGAGATCCGATAATCACGTCGTTGTTGTTGACGTTGTTAGGCTTTGTTGTAATGTTGTCTGAGGAGGTGAAAGGGTGAGAAAAAGCACCCCACGTCATTGCCCGCGGGAGTAAGTCATGCCATGTACAAGGTACGAGGCGTTGTGCCTTGGAAAGCGTGGCTGGCTGGGGTCTTGTTTCATCTCTCACTTGAAAGGTACATACTGTTCACAATGCTTTTCAATCATCTCACGACTAGTTCTACTACATGCACCATTGATGAGCATCGCTACTTCCAAATCTATCATCATGCGCGCTCAGAAAGCCATCATCGGCAGCGTCCTCGCTGCCGCGACATGTGCAATCGCCTCACGATCTGAACAGACTATTCTCAAGCCCAGCCCCGTCAGGCCACACAACGGCATTGAGACGGGCGTGGGACACTTCAGCGAGTGGAGCCGTGCCACGAAAAAGGAGTTCTTGATCGACTGGCAGGCAGGCAGGTCGAACGAATGGGTATTCGTGCAAGGCAATGAAGGAGGCGACCTTGATTCCTTGACTGCTGCCATAACCTGGGCATATCACCTCGAGCACTCGACTCAGAATACCTCGAATCCGGTCAAGGCTATCGCATTACTACAAACTCCCACAGATGCTCTCGACTTGCGCCCGGAAAATAAGCTCGCCCTTCAAAAGTCCCAAATGAGCTCTGGCCACAGCGATCTGCTCACGATCGACGAATTGCCGGAAGATCCTGAGACTTTAGCGAAAGACCTCAAGGGAATCGTGCTCGTCGACCATGCCGTGCCATTGCGCAAGTGGGCCAAGGCATCAATTCTATCCATCTTCGACCACCATGTCGACCAGGGAGCTGGTCCCGATGCCTCGCCTCGCATCTTCGAAACTGTAGCAAGCTGCACCACTCTTGTAGCACGTCAGATGCTCGACGAGCTCGAAGCGCTGCCAGAAGAGTACCACATGCCTCATGAGCTGCTCGAGCTCATCCTTGGCGCAATCACGATTGACTCCAAGGGTCTGGAAGAAGCCACGAAGGAAGACATCAAAACTGCCAAGCGTGTACTCAAGCGCAGTAATTGGCACAAGCGCGATTTGGAAGACCAGATGCAAAGTCTGAACGACGAGCTGAAAGAAGCGAAAAAGGATCTGGACGGGCTCAGCGTTCGTGATCTCTTGCGTCGAGACTACAAAGGCGACCTGGTCGACACTCCCTCCCCACGAACACCCACTGTGAGCCTCGGATTTGCCTCGATCCCTTTCTCTCTCGACGAACAAATCAAAAAGACCGAATTCCAAGCCCTCTTCAACTGGTTCACCATCGAAGCCGCATGGACCGCTCAAGTCGGCATGGACATCAGCGTCGCTCTCAACAAATACAAAATCCACGACAAACACGGCAACAAGCAAAAAGTCCGCGAAATCGTCCTGGTCGTCCGCAGCGACGTGCGAATCGATGAAGATCAAGCCGACGATCTCTTCCGCACCGTCTCCAAAGCCATCGAAGACGAACCCACCCTCAAAGCGAAGCCTTGGCATCGTGCTAGCGAGCTGGGAAAGAGACAAATGGTCTGGACGCACGAACGTGAAGATGCGGGAAGGAAAGTCATTCGTCCCATTATTGAACGCGCTGTCGAAGCGTGGGATTAGGTACCTCTGTGGAGTGGAATGCCCGCTCGTGTGGCTACTGTGATGACGACGACGACGACGACTTCTTCTTCCTCTTTTGCCCGCCGTCCGTATTCATATCGTCAGTTGTATGATTGATTGATGATAAATATTCTTCAGACTTGATAAGGAGGTACCAGGTTACATATTCTCACACCATTGGTATAAAAGTTCAAAAGTTTCTTCCCGAGTCTTTTTTTTTTTCCAAAACATTAACAACTTCCTTTTTTTTTCTCTCAGGCACTCACTCACTGCTTAGGTAGACATATCGATATACCTACACATGCATATAAATATCGTCCTAATTTGCTCCAACAAGTGGTAAGGTAGGTAGGCATATATAGTAAAGTTGATTGATCGATTGATTGCTTCCTAGAGGCTCTGTACATTTTCAACATACATGTACTTGTTTCATTCTTCCTGTACACACACACACACACATATCAATATACCAAACAACGCAGACAGACATGGATAAAACCGTGTATTGAATGGAAACAGGAAAAAAAAGAGAACAAGACGACGACAACAACAACAATAACAACGAAAACCCCCTAAAAAGGCTGCTTCACTTCACGCTTGACACCAAAGAAAAGTGGTTGGCGCTCGCCTAGCTACTTGATGTGATGAATGGGACCGAAATATTTTTGAGAAGAAGTGGGCGAAGAAAAAAAGGAGGAAGACACGCGCGCAACAGTATTGTGTACACGCACGCATAATAATCAAAAAAGCGAGAACCTAAATAAAAACAACCCTCATCAACCATTGCCCGTCCATCCATCCAATCACATTCGTGCCATTTCCTGTCCAAAAGAGTCCTGTGTTGCCAAAGCATTGTCATATGCGTTTTACTGTCGAAATGAATATTGTCCTCCCATCGTCCCTTCAGATATCATCTTCCTATTTGAATTCTCCTGGCACGTGCAACTTGCTGACGCTCAAGTTCGTGTCGTGTCGAATGACGCGTGGGAAGAACTCGCCCGTTAGGTGGGCTCCGTTGGCTTCATTGCCGCCGAGAGGAGGGCTCGCGGATCCAGCATTCACATCGGTAATCGGCTCGTTGGTAGTCAACTCGGCTGCGATGGCGGATGCTGTTGGCAGGGCGGTCGGCTCGGAAGTGATCGACTGAAGAGTCTTTGTAGATTCGAGGGTCGGTTGTTCACTGGTAGCAGGTGCTGACAGCGTAGGGGGAGTGGCAATGGCTGCTGGCGACTCAGGTGGGGAAACTGGATTTGAGCGTGGTTCGTTGCCAAGCGCAATTGCCGCAATGCTATTGCCGACAGGCGAGGCACGCACTGAGCGTTCGCGAGAGATGGCGCTGAGGCTGGTCTGGCTCTGGGATGGCGAAGGCTGCTCTGGAAGTGATGGCAAAGCGGTCGTTTCCGGCTCGATGGACGACACCTTCTGATCTTCGGTTTGAGGCACGCCGGCGTTTTGCTGGTGGTGGCGATATGCCTCGGCTCCAAGTGCGCCTGCTCCAACTCCAGCAACACCTGTCGCTGCTGGTGCAATCCAGTCACTGTAGTTTTCCGTGGGGGAACGAGCCAGCGAACCCCGTGGCTGAGACTGGACAGAGGTGGTTGCTGGCTCACTACCTAAAAAAGGCTGGGCGGACTGTTGGTAATTGCCTGTTGGCTGCGCAGATGAAGCGATAGGCTGCTGCAATTGAGCTGGTGGAGCCTGATGCTGGGCTGCTGGCAGATTCTCGGTTCCCGAAAGGGCATAGGTCTGCGTCTGGAGAGGTGGTTGAGGTTGTACTGGCTGGGGAGAGTGAATCTGGGACTGCTGCAGGATTGCATTCTCCTTATTCTGCTGCTCTTGCTGGTGACGGCGATAGGCTTCGGTGCCAAAAACACCAGCACCAACACCAGCAGCTCCAGTGGTGAGTGGTGCAGCAGCAGCAAGCTCATCCTGGTGGGGTGGCGTATATGGTCGCGTGGTGAATGGTTGCTCGTGGACTGTGGCGGATTCGACATTGTCCATGCGGTAGGGATCCTTGCCGCCATAGTCGTAGCTTGGCCCCCGTACATGGCGCTGCGAGCCTGGGACACCACCGGCGGCACCGATGAAATGTGCATTGCCGTCGTCATCTGAATCGTCTTCTGCAGTCCCATCGGTCGCTGTGCTCATGGTGCCGGCTTTGCGAAGGGCCAGGTCAGACGGGAATCGACCGCCTATGGTCATCAGTGACTGCAATGCAGATCGCAGCGTGAGAACAAGGCAAACAAATAACGCTCAATCGCAAGGGCAAGGTCTCACTCACCTGGCTGCGGTCTTCGTGGCTTATCATCCACAATGGGGTTCTGCTCAGCCAAGCTAGCAGCATCCGCCGAATAGGGCGCCTGGTCGGCTTCGTCGTCTTCCAGGCCGTCGCTGCTGACTGTGCCTCGGTCACTGGTGCCAGACACGCTCCTAGCGTGCTTGCGAACAAAGGCTTGCCTCTGCTCGCCGGTCGTCTCGGTGAGGACGCGAATGTCTTCGAACCAGGCCATCATGGTATCGTAGCTCTCGGCACGGAATACCCAGTTGTGGCCCTTGTGCATGCCCCCAGACTGCTTACCCTTGAGCATGAATTTGTGGCTCGAAGACCCGCGGTCAGAGTGCGAGCCGAGCTTTTGATCCAGCAGGTACAGCGACATGACTGGTGGTTGGGAGTAGATCTTGTCCGCTGACTTGAACTCGTGAAGATGCGTGGGCGATAGGACATACCACCCCGGTGTGTAGGACTTCAGGTACTTGCTCTTGCGCTCGAGCATGCCAGCACGAATCTCAGTCGCGGCAGGAGCATGTTTGCCAGGATATTCAATCTCTTCAATACGGCGGAGTGGTACGTTTGGATCGACAAAATGTGGGTCGTGGGTCACGAATTCGTACCATTCCTGATCTTTGGGCATGGCGATTGGGCCGCCTCGTAGGCTTTCGACTGCATTGTAGGCATCGTCCGCCTCACGCTTGAGGATGCCAGCAAGAGCATTGTATGCCTTTTGAATTTCGCCCACGACGATCGACTCAAGCTCACGTCCAGAGCTCTCGAGGTTGAGATAGGCCTGCAGGGAGTGATTAGTGGTGTACTCGACATGTTGGATCAATGGTTGCATAGAACATACCCGGTGAAGATAGTTTTCCTCGTCAATCTGCCTTTCGATCTGCCTGTCTACGCCCAGTCGCACCACATAAGGATCATGTTTGCCCCCGGCATTGCCGCCTGCATGATCTGAGTGCAGAAGCGCCTCTTGCAGCTTCTCGACTTCCTGCTTGGTGGCAGCCTTTTCCTTGTCGACAGAGTTCTTAAAGTCGCCGCTCAAGCTCTTGATCTCTTTAATCTTCTGGCCGAGATCACTTCGCAGACCAGTCAATGCACCAATGACATCGTTCTCGATCTCGCGCGCTTTGCTGGCTTCGGCAGTAGAGCGCTTGTGGTAGGCATCGAGTATGCGCGTGGCCTCGCCCAGCCCGTCGTTGCTCATGAATACTGCAGGATGCGAAATATTGGAGATGGTGTTTTGCACCTTGTGCAAGGCCTTGCCGCGAGCATCGTAGGAGTTCTGGATCTCGCGAAAGTAAGCGATCAGCGACTTCAACAGCTGTCTCCATGCCTGAAAGCGGTTGGCCAGGACTTCTGTCGGTGTGCCTGTGGTTGGCACAGGCGTGAAGGCATAGCTGTGGAATTGCTCCCTATCGGCGTCCACGCCCACGCCCTTGATGCTGCCGGCCCTCAAGCTCTTCCTGCTGCCGCTGCGTTTTACGCTGCCTGAGCGCTTGAAACTGCTCTTCTTCTTGAGTGTGTTGCTGCGACTGACACTTCCCGGCGCAGCGGTGCTGGCGTGCGAAGAGGAGCGCTGCAGGCCATCAATGATGGACGAGCCTCGCTGGCTGGCGTCAAAGTCCTCGTGGAAGGCACCAGTCTGGCCGACCGAGTGGGCCAGCGGTGAGCTCATGTTCGGATTTCCCTGGGCTGCAAAGTCGGTTGCTTGTGAGGCACCGTAGCCGCGAGAGAGATGAGAGTCGTTCGGCTGAGGAAGTGCGCCGTACGAGTTGGACATGATTGTGGCTGGTAGATGATGTATCCCACGGGGGGGTGCGCAGGGTATCCGTAAACAATGGACAGGGTAAGGTAAGTGAGCGACGACAATGCGCTGCAGGCGCAGCAAAGCCCAGTTAGAAGGGGCACTACAAGGAGAAATGTTTCACAGTGGTCGATATGTGAGTCCCGTGCAGCAGAGCGCGCTCAGGAGGGAGAGCAGGAGGAGGAGGAGGAGGAGGAGGAAGTGGAGGAGGAGGAGGAGAGGGGGTAGTTCGGAGGGAGAGGAGGCAGAGGAGGTAGGTATAGAAGATGGGCAGAATGGTAGAGGTGCATAGTTCGGAGGTAGGGAAGCCGACCACAAGCCACAGCCCTTTTTTTTCCTCTCCAATACGTCACTTCGCAAGACAGGATGAAGCTTGTTGCATGCGCAATCTTAACTTGAACTGGCTGGCACACGCCGGGTGTTGTGGTACGAACAATGATGATATGCCTGAGGACGAGGGGAAACAGTGGGAGTACGGTATGATTATCGATTACGGTGCTGTCTGAGCCTGTCTCATTCATCACCATCAGGAGGCGTTGCTTGGCCCAACGCAACCATTATATATATATACCGTACCGTATACTATATATTGAAGATGTTCTTTATGAAATTACCTGGTAAGAAATGACCGGCAGATGGCGGGCAAGCTCTCACGCTAGGGTAGTTCTAAGGGCATCTAAAGCAAGGTAGAGAGGCATTGATAGCAGTGATAGCAAATCCCGTGGACCCGTGCAGACGTCAGGTGCCGCAAAAGAGTGGCTGAGATGCCGTTGACACAACAACCTGGAACCTTGTAGCACCTCCAGACGGAGAACTCTCACTGAACTGCCACACTGCCACACTGGTGCCAGCACATCATCGCGCATGTGAGTGACGGCTTGGCAGCACGTCCACAATGTGACGAGTCGGTTGAGAGGATGCGGAGATTTACATGTAGTCATGTACCTTCTCAATTATTTGTAGGGGATACACTGTACCTCCTAACTGTGTACCTAAGAGGTAGGTAATGTCGGGTGTAGGAGGTAAAAGGTGCATCACAAACCACCAAGCCACTACCTCCCACTACCTTACCAGACTCCGCCACACAAAACTACCGAAGATGCCCGCGCCACGAGTCCGGTCATTGGGAATTTCTTATCGCCGCCGTTAGCACATGACTCGCGCCTGTAGTTGCCTACCCACACCTGCACCTGTTCTCTCTCCGACCGACCTCAGTCCTCGATACGCCTTATTTTGTAAGGCAAGGTAGGTACGATCCTCCTTGTTGATGTGTAAGGTAAGGACTGCCATAGAGTTATTACATCACCGACACAATGCCGTTCCATTACCTACACCTACACCTACACCCGACCTCGTGAAAGCACCCAGATCGACATCTTCCTCCGTAAGAGGTATGAGACGAGTACAAAAGGAAGTCGTAACATCATCAAGCCACTTCACCTTACCTCACTTCACCTCACTTCACCTCACTTCACCTCACTTCACCTCACTTCACCTCACTTCACCTCACTTCACCTCACCATACATGTGTACCCTGCCTCCTCGACCCACGCCGGAATACCTCTCCAATACTCTTGCGAAGTCTCTCAGTCCGCGATGCTTTACTCTTCATACTGCACATTTCCTCCTCCTTTGACACATTACTCGTGCTCGACGTCAGGCTAGCCTCCCTCGCCATGGCATCTGCTGTTGGCGTCAATAACAAGTCGCCTGCCTTGAGAAAACTCGGACCTTTCCTCTCCGCAACAGCGCCAGCAAGAGCCACAACACCCACAACGCCGACAACCTGTTGCTGCTGCTGCTGCTGCTGCTGTTGTTGCTGCTCAAGCGCCGTCTCCGCCGTCAAAGTACAAGTACTATCACTCGAAATTCTTGACGACATTCGAGCCACCTCCTTCTGGTCCGAAACATGCGAACCTTTCGCCGAAGCACGACTCTTCGTGGATATGGGAGCATCCGCCATGACATCCCCCGGAAGACAGATCGGACCCCCCGAATCGTAAACCCGATCAACATACGTCTCCCGCACAAACTGCACCAGACGAGCAATATCCGCATCCGACGACATGGCCCCCAGAGAAACTCGAACCACACCCAGCGCCTTTCCCGAATACTCCGCCTGAGGACTTGAACAACTATGTCCATACGCAAACGCTTCTCGAAGTTCCGTCGGGCTCCATTGTAGATATGTCGCCGTTCCACCCGGGTTACACAGACTTCCACTTCGCACATGAATATCCTGTGCATTGGCTTCTTTTTCAAAGTCAAAGTACCTGACCAACCCGCCTCGGTCTTTTTGGATATTGAAAGCAATCGTCGCACCTTGCAGGTGAGCCTCCCCAAACACCGATCCACTGTCTTTGTAAATCTTCACCACCGGCAATCCATTCGAATGTCGTAGACTCACGAGATCGTCGTGGAGCTTTTTGATCAATCGCGTCGTGTGCATGGAAATATGCTTCATGGGTGATGGCCCGTACAATTTCCGATGAATATCAATGGCATGATCCAACTCGAAGATCTGGCGACAAGGGAGTGTCCCATCTTCCAGGCGTTCATGAAGATGGATTTTACCTTTCCGTTTGACCCAACTGTCATTGACGGCAATGACCATGTCGACTGTGCCCCCGCCAAAATATCGGCGAGACTCCATGACTTTTCTCGCACTTTTTTTGACGAGCAGACAGCCAATGTAAGGAGCTCCAAAGATTTTGTAAAACGACAATGCGACAAAATCCGGTGCTCGAGCGGTGTCGGAGAGGTTCAGTTCGGCCGTGGATGTATATGCTGCCGCGTCCAGGAGAGTGTACGTCTCTGCTTTGACACGTGAACGTATGCGTGCAGGCCTGAAAATCAGTCCCAAGTCAGTTTTTCTTTTGATATCACAAAAAAAAAAGAATACGAGATTAAAACTCACCAATCAAGAGGTAGTCGCCTTCCCGTCATATTCGACTGTGCTGAAAATTTACAATCTTGTCAGTATAACAATCTTGAACCCAACTATTTTGCCCCTCTCCTCTCTCCGACAACGAAAAAAGCTGAAAGAGAAAAAAAAAAGAAAGAAAGGAAAAAGCGAAAAACATACCAGGATAAGCAAACAACCCAACATCATGAACCATCGCACCCCCAAGCCCTCGACTCTCAATCCACAAGTCCACTTCGCGATCACTCCGAAAGCACCGATGCAATCTCGTCCCCTCTCGCACCCCGACAATCGACGTATGCGAGTCCTTGTGATATCCAAACCACCAATTGCGACCAGCGCCACCACCTGGCGGAGCCGCAGCGTGGTCGCGAAAGCAATCGTGCACGAGTTTGACCGCAGCCGTGGTATTTTGCGTGAAAATGAGATCCCACTCGTGAGGATCCGCGTGGAAGAATTCGAGGGCTTTGAGACGGGTTTCTTGGATGCGGTGGTGCGCGAGTTGGGAGGGAGAGTGTTCAGAGTGGGGGTTGCCGTAGAGGTTTTGGGAAACGTCTTCGCAGATGGCGGTGTTGAGTGATTTGGCTGGTTGCTGTTTTTTTGTTTTGAGAAGAAGTGAATACAATTAGCCCGGATACCTCCAAGTGAATTGGTGGGGGTAGCGGGGGTTGGTCATCATGTTGCTTACAGTGGCCCCGGCGTGATCGAGATATGTTCTGCCCATAAGTTGCGGGTATTCCAGTAGTCGAAGCATATCCATACTATCTTCGATTGGATTCTTGGAATCTCGCTCTGCCATGACTCGCCCAGTGGGTGTGCCACCTAGCTCAGTCAAGTCGGGTGGTGTAAGGGTCATGACTGAGGAAATTGTTTCTTGTCTAATGCTATATGTATGGCAGCCGGGTTCAAAGCTCCCTCTCTCAAGGTTACGAGGAGAATGATGTTTCTGGCGGCAAAAGCGCAGTGTGAAAGGAAACTGCTGTACTTGTGTATGTGTGTGTGAGTGTGAGTGTTTGCAGATCAAGAAGCCTTTGTCCTGTTAACAGCAAGCTATCGAGGACCTCCTGGGAACACGATTTGGTGCAAACACTTATTCTAGTTCATCGCCCAGCTGGCGAACGTGCCATGCCCGCGGCCTGAAGCCTGCGGTAGTTGCGACACCATCCTTACTGGACTCTACGATTTCAACACCGGTGTGAAGTCAACATGGTGGTGGTAGGCATGGTGAAGGGATGGTGAGTTGCGCGGAGCGCGGAAGATTGGCGGTTCGTTTGGTAAGCATGTCCATTTGTGCTTGAGCACAGCCGGGGTGTACAGGGGCATTTCTCCAATGATAGACTTCTTGCCGGGGAGGAGGAGGCGAGCCCGTTGGAGTCAGTCAGAATGAGTGTGGAAGATGGAGGGTCGCGTATATGTTCATCGCGTCTGGAGCTCAGCGCCTCACGAGGCTGTGTACCGGTGTATCTTTGTCTCGCATAGGTAGTGATGCGTCACATACAACCACGCCCTCGTTGAACAGAATCCTTCGCTGGTAAGAGGTCATGTGTCATGCGGCGTCACTACTACTCATACGGTACAATATCACCGGATGGTCGACAAGGCGCGGCCTGGAGCCTTGGCAGAAGACAGGACGGTCGTTTGCATCGCAGTTTCTGCCAATTAGAAGCGTTCCTCCAAGCGGCATAACAAGTGACGATGGTGAGTTTTCCCAAATCCCAAGGCGGACGATCCATTGGCGTCTTGATGATGGTCCAGCATCATGGTCCATGGAAGTTGGAACACTAAAGATACGGCTCCCCAGGAATCGCGTACGATATGTATCATATGTTCATGTTCCACTCCTCCTGGCCAGGGAGTATCTGTGTCCGAAGTGCCCCCAGCGATTCGAGCAGGCACTACTACGACCAGGGGACTCAGGGAGGCAGTCCAAGGATCTTTCACGGGTCAGTGCAGTACGCATCTTGAAGCTCGCAGTGGTCAGAGTCTGTATCGAGCAGTACGCGTGCGATGTCTCGGCCGTTGCGGTGGGTAGATGAGGCGGAGAGATGTTAACGGTAGCGGTATCGAGGTTTGGTCAAGCTGCTACATGTAGTTATAGGAAGAGATGGACGGCAGTGAGGTGGTGTGTAGGGAAGTGTAAAAGAGTAGCCTGAGCCCTGAGGAGGTGGTGTAGTCACAGTCCATGGTGAGTTGGAAGTTCAAATCTCGGCAGGCGCACTATACGGTCCATGCTCGACCAATCCCATCTCTTTCTCTCATTTGCCTTTCGTGTCCTCTCCACCCGACCTCCCGCACTGACTCAGTCTCCACCGCGTTGACCAGGCTGACCCTCACTCCATGCAACAACAGGGATCACACACTTCACTCACCTGAGCCCGACTAGTATCGTGATATCACGTGCGGTTAAGGGTTCACCCAGATCGCACCAAATCTCAGCTCACGGGCTACTAAAAGGAGTTCGAGCCGACTGACCGGTAATTGCATGAGGTAACGGATTGTGCTCCGTATCCTCCAAGCACCACCTCCCACCGCAATCGATCGGACTAGTTCATTACCAATGTCGTCAACACCGACTGGTGCGTCAACGGGGATAGATATCTAGCGTTTCTGTTGACCTGTCGCACGTATGTGATGACTACCAGGTAGGTAGGCAGATTGTGGTTGTAAACAACCAAATTCAGGGACCGATGGGGTCGCACAATCAGTAACAGCGGCACACAGTCAAAGTACCGTACTACTGCAGATCATGCCGATGCACATACCGCAACCGAATGTAACGTACCGTAATGCTCACTGGTCTCCTTGGCAAGTCACCTCCTTCTAGGCAATCTTCTGAATCTATTTCATTTATCACGAATTTTATCATGGATGATAGCTGGACGTCTTGGCTAAGGCTATCATCCCTTTCCGTCGGTTGTGAGATCTCACAAATGGGGCATTTTTATCTAGTTGAAGTCTCTAGGACGGAAATGTCGTATATGGACCTTGGTATATTTACTTTCAAGGGAGTAGTAAGGAGACATTGTTTGTTGTGAACATTATCGATGGCATTCTGATATACACATATCATCCCGCTGGGCAGTTTCGCCTGTCCTTTCGATTGAACATAGATGCGGCGTCCTTCAGCCACTTTACTGCAATCCTTGCTAGAACGATCTCCCGATTGTCCTTATTGACACTCGCCTTTTGTTTTGTCTGCCTGGCCTAATTTGGTTCGTTGATCTCGAGGCCACAGCAGTAAGAGCATTTACCAATGGTCTCTCTGCCATCTAATATAGCCCGACAGTCGAAGCATTGCTTGCCGTGGCACGTCCTCGTCATGGCCCGCTTCTTGGTTTCGACGAGACCGTTAAGCGTCATCCAGATGCAGGAGCTGCACTTTGTTTCGGGGGTGAGGCACGTGCATGTGCACTGGGAAATGTCATCAGTCACGTCCCTCAATCCACAGTCCCTACACAAGGGGAAAATAGCGCCAAAGTCGTACACATCTTGTTGCTGGGCAGTGAGAAGCATCACGGCGTCTTCGGAGCAAGCGGTACAAGTGTGAAACTTGTTGTCTCCATGCTCTGGCATCTCACACTTGAAGACAACTTTGGAGGCGTCATCGTGCTTGAACGGGAGGTCTTGGCAGTCGATTGCGCTGGGCATCTGGGTCCCACCTACCTCAGCATCTGGCATGTCAGAACGGGGGCGATTGCTGTAGAAAGTAGGTGGACCTGGATTGCTCTGTTTCTGGCTTGGCGCCTCAAAGCGACCACTGTCCGATAGTGGCGACATCGCTTGGTGCGCAGCAGCCCTGAGTCCATTCTCATAGGCTTGACAAGCTATATGATCAACCTTGGTTGGCGGGCATACCATTTCGCATCCAGGGTACTTCGTGGTTAACGTGTTCCATACCGCGAGGCTACCAGGCTCCTCGATAACGGCATGCATCACCCTCGGCTCGAAGCATATGTTGACAAATTCAGTGCCCAATGCATCCATGATCGTGCGGTCTTGCTGATATAAATTGAGTAGCCCGAAGGATTCATCGCGAACTTGCTCCCATTGCGCAGCGACTGAACCACGTAGTGCGGACTTAGCCACCCATTGAGCTGTCTGCCGGCCGCTCGGATGTCCGGTAGTGATGAGATAGTCAGTAAGATCCTCCGCGACGATTTTGATGTTGTATGCGGGATCCATTGCAGTTTCAGATTGTATGCCGGGAATGTCAATATGTGGTAGTCAGATGCTAGGGGATCTAGAGGTTGTCTATGCACTCTGTGTAGAGAAATCGAAGCTCTTGCACATATACCACCCATATAAGACTTTTTGTGAAGTGACGGGCAATGCGTGTTACATCGATGGTGAATTCCATCGTGTCAAGTCGATCTGTAGCCTCTGGCCAGGCGGACTGACCCCGAGAAATTGGGGGCCAGTCTTCGTGTAAAGCGAGTGATTTCCACCTGCAGTGAAGAAATCCATACGAGCGCAGTCGTCCTGTGTCTCGAGACAAAGTCATTGTGTTCTTTGTCCAGAATCAGCCAGCATAAAGAAGTCTTCGAAGGCTAGCAGCAGATGGTGTGTAAGCTGGGAAAGGTGAGCGCGTCCTGGTGTCTCAAATTAGCAATAGCGTGCGAGTGAGGGCTGTGATCTTTGAGGCAGTAGCAAGGACGTCGCGGACGATGATGCTGGTGTTCTTGGTGAGTTCGTATCTGAAATGCACCACTTCGTATGTAGTTATAGAATGGGTGGAAGAAGATTAAGAGGCGAGGTGAAGTGGTGAAAGCGCGTAATTTACTGGGTCTTGGCACATTTGATGGGGATACGCGTCCAGACGCGTCTGCCTTGGCTGCCTCAATTCTTTCCCAGTCTACCTCCACGACATCCAACAACACCACAACCACCAACTCTTGCTGGCAACACCACCGCCGCAGCCATGACTGGGCGGAAGCGGTCGCGCCATCAGGCCTATGTCGAAGACGAAGATGGAATCGAGGTGGAGAGCGCAAGCTCGTCATTTCGCCACAACAACGCGAACCACAAGCGAACAAAAGTCGCGATGGCACAGGCAGTGGGCGGAGCAGTCTTGTCTGACGAGGAAGCCGACTATGTTGACGAATTCCTCATGGACGATGTCGAACAACCGGGGGACGACTATTCCGAGCTCGATTACACAGTGCGTCAGAACTCGAGCGACGATGAGCAGGAAGACGATGAGGTGGACGAGATCAAGGCAACGCAGTTCGTAGAAAGAAGGCTTAGGGAGCATAGAAACAACGTGGCTGCTGACTCTGGTGTCATCGAGAGTGTCTACATGCGCAACTTCATGTGCCATACTAACTTGATAATTAAACTTGGACCCCTGATAAACTTCATCATCGGCCACAATGGAAGTGGCAAGAGTGCCGTCTTGACTGCTTTGCAGATCAGTTTGGGCAACAGGGCTTCCGGCACAAATCGTGCCAAGACGCTCAAGGAGATGATCAGGACCGGCTGCGACAGTGGGATGGTGGGCGTGAAGATCAAGAACGAAGGCGAGAATGCCTACAAACACGACCTGTACGGCGACATACTTACTGTAGAACGCCATTTTACAAAGAGCGGCTCAAGTGCTTTCAAGCTCAAGAGCACAGACGGCAGAATCATCACTACCAAGAAAGGAGACTTGGACGATGTCCTTGACCACTTTGCACTCCAAATGGATAATCCAATCAACGTTCTTACGCAGGATCTCTCGCGTCAATTCCTAGCGAACAGCACTCCAGCTGAGAAGTACCGCTTTTTCATCAAAGGCACACAGCTGGAGACCCTTGATAGCGACTACAACCTCCTCGAAGAGCATCTGGACGGCACGGAAGCTCAACTACAAACGCGCGAAGAAATGATTGCGGAGCTGCGGCGAAAGGAGACTGAAGCACGGGACAGGGTAAAACGTGCTGAAAGGACTCGAGGTCTGGAAGAGCGGTTTCGCCACATTTCTCGGCAGCACGCGTGGGCACAAGTTGAGCAGCAAGAAGAAATCCTTGCATACTATCAAAGGGATGTGCTAGATGCTGCAGGAGAGGTACAAGACAAAGAGCGAATTGGCGAGGAGGCCAGCGCCAGATTTGAGGCAGAGGATATTGGAGTCGAGGCCGCGAAGCGTGGTGCTGAGAGCCACCGAGAGAACCTGGCACCGCTCGCCCAGGCGTGCGAGGACGCGAAAGAGAAGTTCCAGGAGAATAAAAGGGCCCTTGTGAACCACGTGACGGAGGAGCGTACTATCAAAACAAGCATGAAGGCGCACAAGAAGACCGTCACACGCCTAGAATCAGAAGTCCAAGAAGAGCGGCAAAGGCTGGCCAATAGGCACGGCGAAGCGCACATGGAACGCGAAAGACGGCACAGTGAGCTGAAGAAGCAGGCAGGCGAAGCCAAAGCAGCTTTTGACGAACATCGCAAGGAGTACCCAGATCTCGAAAAGGCTGTCAAAGACGCCCAACAGCGGCTCCAGGAGGCTGCGCAGCCCCTCGATGCAGCGAGGAACGATGTCAACGATGCTCGTGCAGCGCTCAATCGTGTTTCTAATCAGCAGGGCCGTAAATACGCACCGTATCACCCCAAAATGGAAGATCTGTGTAACGCAATTGCGCGAGAGACACGATTCCGGGCGAAACCGGTGGGACCCATGGGCGTACATGTGCAATTACTAAAACCAGAGTGGAGCTCGCTCGTCGAGGTCACGTTCGGCAACAGCCTCGACTCATTCGTCGTTACGAGCAAATATGATCAGAACATCCTACAGTCATTGTCCGGCAGAATAGGCTGTCCTGCAAATGCAATCATCGTATCCCCTGGTGCGTTCAGCACCGCTGGCAAGGAACCTGAAGACGAAAACGTGGACACAATTCTTCGTGTGCTTCGCATCGACAATCCACTTGTGAAGCAGGCTCTCGTGATCAACCATAGCGCTGAGCAGACTGTCCTGATTCAGGATATCGCGGAAGGGAAAGCCTACATGTATGGCAGCGGACGGCGTAAGAATGTCAGGGCCGTGCTGACTATTGCAAAAACGCGAGGTGAGGGTCAGCGATGGGAATGGAGTCGCGGCGGTGGTGAGAAGTCTTCGGGAGTGAGGAAGCTGCAACGTGCCCCCAGAATGAAGGCCGATCGAGAGCAAGAAATTCAAGCTCGCCAAAAAGATGTCCAAAGCGCGCAGCGTGCTGTGGACTTGGCTGAGCAGACTCACCAAGCTACTCGGCGTGCCCATGAGCAGGCAAAGCAAGCAGTGGTAGCGCACAAGCGCGAAGGCAGTCGGCTGAAAGTTGCGCATCAGCAGGCGGATGATGCTGTAGTGGAGATTCAGAACGAAATTGATGCGAACCGTCCGCAAGATGGTAAACTGCAAGAACTCGAGGCCCAGCTCCAAGAGGCTCAGGCTGAGCACGAAGCGGCCAAGGCTTCCCTCCAAGATGCAATGGATGCCAAGATTGAGTTGGACGAGAAGGCGCAGACGCTGAAGCAGACTATGGATCAGGCTCAGAGTGAGGTAGATAAAGTGCAAGCCCTCCTGGACGAAGCCGAAAAGCAAATTGAAGAACGCAAGGAGGACCGGAAAGAAGCTCTTTTTGCGAAGAATGCTGCTCTGAACAACATTATGAAAATCAAGGAGCAGCACGAACGGCTCCAGAAAAAGGTCACGACGCAGGAGCAGCAAGTTGAATCGTTTTCAGGCCTAGCGCTCCAGATCAGCGAGCGTGTCCGTGTCGAGGAAGGTCAGACGCCCGATATGCTCGACCAGCTCTTGGACAGGTTGAGGGAGGATATTAAAAGGGCGACAGAACAGCAGGGTGGTACCAAGGAACAGCTGGTTACTGCGCATAAAGAAGCTCAACTTCGTCTGGAAGAAGCTAATAACGAGACCAAGGGAATGAAACAAACCGTTGCGGTAGGTCCCACATGGCCCACTCAGGCGTCGAGAGTGATGACTAACATGTGTGCGCAGACACTCAAGTCGACGCTGACGGAGCGTCGTCGGCGTTGGGGACTCTTCCGCAAATACATTTCTATGCGAACCCGGATTCAATTCAACTACCTGCTCAGCGAGCGCAGCTTCCGCGGTCGTGTCCTTCTCGACCATGCCGACAAGAAACTGGACATCCACGTGGAGCCTGATATGACGAAAGCGTCCGACTCGGGTCGGCAAGCGAAGACGCTCAGTGGTGGCGAGAAGTCGTTTTCGACGATTTGTCTGCTGCTCAGTATCTGGGAAGCCATGGGATCTCCCATTCGATGCTTGGACGAGTTCGACGTGTACATGGATAGCGTCAATCGCGCGCAGAGTATGAGACTCATGATCCAGACTGCTCGGCGTTCAGTGGGACGACAATTCATCCTGATTACTCCACAGAGTATGAATAGCGTGGATTTGGGCGATGATGTACACGTTCACAAGTAAGTGGGAAAATTGCATTGTTCGATGAAAAGTACTTCCACTGACTGTTTGCTTGCAGAATGGCTGATCCCGAGCGTCAGACGAGACTCCTCGAATTTGGCGCGGCTTCTGGAGTGTGAGGTTGCTGCATGAAGTCAGCCTTTCTCTCTCTCTTCGTTTTGCATATTACGATACCACTTGTTGGCCACGACTATGATACCACCACCACCACCACCATGAACATATATCATCCTATTGTCTCTGATTATGGCGTATAGGCCATAGCGCTTACATGTATACATGGGCCGCAACAGCATTCATCCATCGGTACGGCTACATACGATATCTTCGTCGATATGGGTCCATGGGATACGACAATCCGTATTTAAGAGAAAAGAAGGTAGTGCCAAGACTTGCGGGCGGGCGACGGCCAGACGCTGATTCGTCCGGCACAGGCTCGCTTGACACGCTATCAAGGCGGAGCGGAGCAAAGATAAGCTCAAGGCAATGGAAAGCTTTCTCCCGACGTTACATGAGCCTCTTACAGAATAGATGTATCAAAGTAATTTACTGCCTCCGACCTGATATCGTACGGTAAGTATGGATAATGGTATTGGTGGTTGGCCTGCAGTTATCCGCCCCGCGATAGGCAACTCTGCCGGAACAAAATCATTTTCCGCCATCCTTTTCCTTGCTCTCTTCGTCTACACTTGATGTTCTTCCTCTCACCTCCACCAACTTTTTGGTATCCATTCTAGAAATCATGACCACACCAGAACCCGACTCCAAACTCCCCTCCACCCTCGAATCTCAGAAGCGCATCTCCTCCTCCGAAGAAGACCTCCAACAAACAACCTCCATCACCAAAGACCCCAACGGCAACACCATCATAATCCAAGAAGATGGCGAACAATTCACCATCTCCCCCACCGCCGAACGCGCTCTCCTCTGGAAATTCGACCTCGGAATCCTTCCCCTCCTCACCATGATGTATCTCTTCAATTCTCTCGACAAAGCCAATCTCGGCAACGCCAAAACCGCCGGTCTAGAAAAAGATTTGGGATTTGCCGGCACGAATAAATATAATATTTTGCTCAGTATCTTTTTTGTGCCATATGTTCTCACGGCGCCGTTTTTGGGAATTGTGGGCAAAATTTATGGTCCGAGTCGAGTTTTGCCTTGTATGATGTTGTGTTTTGGTTCGATGACGTTGTTGGTTACTGCGGTGCATAATTGGGGGGGATTGTTGGCTTTGAGATGGTTTTTGGGGATGGCGGAGAGTGCTTTTTTGTGAGTTTGAAAAATTATTTTTCCCCGTGGCCTCGAAAACAATTCGAGAGAGTTACCTACGATCCCATCCAACAAGACTGACAACCTCTCTCTCTCTTTCTAGTCCATTGGTCATCTATTACCAAACTCAATTCTACCGTCGCGGCGAACTCGCCCGCCGTCTAGCAATCTTCTACGCAGCCTCCAACATCGCCTACGCCTTTGGCGGTCTCCTCGCCTACGGAGTCTTCCAAATCAAATCCGGAGCCCTCCCCGCCTGGAAATACCTCTTCGCAATCGAAGGATCCCTCACCATCCTCGGCAGTATAATCGCCTTCATCTACCTCCCCTACAACGCCTCCACAGCCAAATTCTTATCACCCGAAGAAAAACAACTCGCCTTCTACCGCATCCAAATCGACTCTTCCTCGGAAGTAAATTCCACCTTCAATTTCTCGTCCGCCCTCAAAATTCTCCATCATCCCACTTCATGGATTATCTTGGCCATTGAAATCTGTCTCGGAATTCCTCTACAATCCGTCAGTTTATTTCTACCCCAAATCGTCGCGCGTTTGGGTTACTCGACCATCAAAACCAACCTCTACACTGTCGCTCCCAATTGCACGGGAGCCGTCATGTTACTTCTACTCGCCTACACATCCGACTACACACGTTTACGATTCCCGTTCGTCGCATTGGGATTTTTCTTCACGTTTTGTGGATTTGTGATATATGGGGCTTTGCCGCACGTCGACGACTCGGCGCAACATTTACACGTGGCGTATTTTGCATGCTTCATGATGACGTGGGGCACATCGGCTCCGAGTGTGATTTTGGATGTGTGGTATAATAATAACATTGCAGATGAATCGAGGCGGGTGTTGTTGACGAGTATTGGAGTCCCCGTGGCGAATATGATGGGGGTGGTGAGTAGTAACATTTTTCGGCCGCAGGACGCTCCGGATTATATTCCTGCGCTGGCGACGACGGCGGGGTTTGGGGGTGTGGGGATTTTGTTGACGTTGGGGTTGGGGGCGTGGATGATGTGGGATAATCGGAGGAGGGATTTGAGACAGGGCGTCAAGAGGAGGGCGAGGGATGTTCCGACGGAGAGGTTGAGGGATGGGCCTGATTGTGAGGATTTTAGATGGTTTTTGTAGGTGGTCACGTTGTTGTTGGGTGGGTGATTGTGGGGGGAAATGAAGTGTATGAGAGTCATTTTAGTGAAGAATCGATTCTCACGGATTTCTTTCTTTTTTTTTCCTTTTTTTTTTCTGATGTTTCTGGGGAAGTGTGGGGAGCAGTGCTACCCGTCTCTATACCTCAAGGTACCCACTCCGTCTCTTTTCGAAAATGGACGAGTCTGCTTGGGTTGCCTTTTCGTCGTGGATACAGTATGCCTCCTGACAAAATCTGCAAGTCTAACGACAAGTCCATGTGATGGTGAGTTGGTCGCCAATTCCCCCCTTTACTCTGCCCTCCATCATCGGGAAAAGGGTCAATCGAATAGATGGTAATGCAGAATTGTTCGAATATGAGCAGAATAGGGCACTGCTTGACACCATCTTGAGATGAGTTTGGTCATATTGTGATATAACTGATGTACAAAACCGGTGCATCGGAACGAACATCATACACGTACTAATCTGGCTTTCGCCCTTCGCCATTTCCCCCCCGGAGCCTCGATGCTGTCGTCATCATCTCTGCTGTTGCGTCCCCTTCAACCGGGCGTGCCATCTTTCGGCAAAGCCTTGTGGCTGGCTCTCAGGCATGTTTTGGTTCTCCTACTTTTTATCCTTCGGTCTTTCCCACACGAGGACTTTACTCCACAAATTCCTTAACTCGGTTCAACCAGCCGAGATACTCCTTTTGCTCCTTGACATCAATGTAGTCTGGCACAACCTGAGCGAGATACTCGGAAACACCTCGTGCGTTGAGGTAGCTCTCCAGGATACTCTGCAACTCCTCATCGAGCTGCTGGAAAGGTGGTCCAGCGTAGAGGTGTTCAGGGTTTTCGCGGATCAGGGCTTTCGCATCGCCCTTGACATCCTTTGGTAGTTGCACCAGCTGGTTGATCATGAAGTCGCCGTCGCTCGAAGTGAGGTAGAATTTGAGGGCGCCCTTGTTCGGTCTCTGGATGAGAACCGTGACGGCGACGGGGAATTGTTGTGGCACATCACCAGAGTCCTGTAGTATCACCTTGTTAGAATATCTTGTCCACTTGCCCTGCACTGACTAATTCTTCATTTCAACTCACCTCATCGGCCAACTCCTCCCGGTCAGCTGGCGCAACCGAATCTTCAGGGGCGACCCTGAAGTTTCCATCAGCCTTGCCGCCCTTGTTGATGGAACCCTTCGTGTTGGCGCCTCCCGACTGCATCTCCATGTCCTCTTCATCCCCCATGGCCATGTCGTCCTCTCCATAGCTGTCGTCTTCCATCTCGGAGTTGAAGTCTGCTATTGAGAAGTGGACAGTGATTTGCTCATCCTCGTACTTGCGGGTCAGGAATACGTCTTGCTCGCCTGCAACATCCTCGATGGACCAGAAGGGGTTCTCGGCCTTGAACTGTTCAATGTTCTGGTCGGAGCCCGCCTGTGCAGCCGATTCATCATTTTCGATGCTGATTTCGCTTTCGAGCTTGACAGCGAGTTGTTGTGAGTGTTCATCGAAGCGTGCTCGTGACGTGGAGAAGAGGGCGCTTCGGGAGATCTGTTGGCTGATTTGCGATCGGATGGTTGACGTGAAGGGTGATGGCTTGACGATCGATGTCGAGGCGAAGCGAGCTGCTGTTCGCGGAGCGCTGCGTGCGAGCGTGCGGAGCGACAACATGGTGATTAAGGTGTTGCGGGTATTGTAAGGAAATGGTGATTATACAGGCGATGAAGACAAGATGGTTGGATGGCCGTCGAAGAATGTTTTGTCGAAGAAGCTACAATTCTAACTTCTAAGCTTGACGCTTGGACCAGCCATGGAAGACCGACGACAACCTCTTCCACCACAAATTGTTCACTTCGCTTCACCCCGCTCCGCTCCGCTCCTCTCTGTCACACACAGTAGAGTTGGGCAAGGCAGGCAGGCGTCCACCAGTATAGTGTAGACAGGTAGCAACAATTCTACCTGATCTGCCGCCAACACACATCTCTGTCTCGCTCTCCTCTCCCACCCTCGACCACAACCATGGCCACAATACCCAAGAGCGCTGCTCAAGGACAGCCCACCCCCAGAAAAGAAAAGCCCTCGCCCCTCCGCTCCATCATCGCCGGCTCCACTGCAGGCGCCGTAGAAATCGCCATCACCTACCCCGCCGAATTCGCCAAAACCCGCACCCAACTCAACTCGCGCCTATCCGCCGCCCAAAAGGTTGCCTTCCCTCCCTTCGGCCCCCAGTGGTACGCAGGGTGCACCACCTTAATCATAGGCAACAGCATCAAAGCCGGCGTACGTTTCGTTGCCTTTGACCAATACAAATCCATGCTCTCTGCAGCAGATGGAACGATATCAGGACCAATGACTGTCGTGTCGGGGTTTTTGGCAGGCGCGACAGAGTCGCTACTGGCTGTGACGCCTTTTGAGTCGATCAAGACGCAACTTATCGATGATCGAAAAGGCGGAAATCCGCGCATGAGGGGATTTCTACACGGGAGTGGTTTGATTTGGAGGGAACAGGGTGTGAGGGGGTTTTTCAAGGGGTTTGTTCCTACGACGGCGAGACAAGCAGCGAATTCTGCGGTTAGGTTCTCGAGTTACACGAGTTTGAAACAGCTGGCGCAGAGTTATGTTGCGCCAGGAGAGAAATTGGGGACGATTAGTACGTTTGGGATTGGAGCTGTGGCAGGCACAATTACAGTTTATGCGACGCAGCCAATTGATACGGTAAAAACGAGGATGCAGTCGATTGGGGCGAGGGGGGAATACAAACATAGTGTGGATTGTGCGGTGAAGATTGTGAGAGAAGAGGGATTTCTCAAGTTGTGGTCAGGGGCGGTGCCGAGGTTGGGGAGGTTGATGTTTAGTGGAGGAATTGTGTTTACCATGTACGAGAAGACGATGGAGTTGTTGGATAAGGCGGACCCGCAAAAAAAGTACATCTGAGCGTGTTGTGGTGAAGCGTGAGAACACGGGAAACAGCAAGACGTGAATCATCCGTACCTTAAGAGTGGCAGCTGTAATCATCAGCGGAAGCAGCTAGTGCTGAGTCGCGGCATATGAAGACAAGACACGTTGGAAATACCGCGACGCGATTGCGAGCGAAGAACACTCATATCTGCTACACTGCAAGAGTAGCAGCTCTGGATAAGGACTTGGAAGTTATCAGTAAACAGAGCATGTCTGGCCAGCACATTGGCATTAGCCGGGATAGAAATAGAGTTCAACGCTGCAGGCTACCAGAGACTGCCTGCATCGGGAAATCTGTCCTGAACGACATGAGCGTCGCTGTGCTATAGACTATAGTAGTAATAGTACACGTTGCGTGCATGCTTTAAGTAGGTAGGTAGCCTGCCTTGAGGTGGGACGGTATCAACCTACTGTGATTTCTGAGTATAGCACATCCATCCCTTGAGTCACATGCAGCTTGACAAGCTCATCTCCTCGACAGAAGTCGCCAAATCCCGCCCTTGTTCCTCAGCAACAAGAGATAATAAACAGCTCCCCATGCAAACCCTCCCAAATGCGCATCATGTCCAATCTTATCACCTTTATCGATCATATACGCATCCACAGCCGCAACCAACCCAGTCGCCACATATAATGGCATAGGCATAGGCATGGGAAAGATCACCACTTGTATCGTAGGTCTCAAACATGTAGCGACAGCTGCAGCGGCCATGACGATTCCGCTCGCTCCCAATCCCGTTTCGCGGATGATTGCGTTGCCAGAGAATCTGGATTGTAGGTCCCGCTTCTTTTCCCTCTGCTTAGTCTTCCGGCGTCGATGCGTGATGAACGCTGCTGATGCGGCGATAGAACTTGTTATTGCTAGGCCGTAGATGTGTAGTGCGCCGATACCGGGTACGCTGGCGAGTAAACCTCCGTATGTGAAGAGGGCAAACATGTCTGAGATATCGTCAGATTGCATGTAGTTGCAGTGAGGGATGTACAATCACATCTTAATTAGAAAAGAAGTCAACTCACTGAATGCAAAATGTGGTAATTCCTTGTGGCTGAAAGCGCTGGTGACATATGTGTAGTATCTGCCTGCGGCTAGATTGTGCTCCGAGAGAGTTGCATGCTCCTCTAGTTGTCTGAGGAGTTCGGTGTCTCTACTGCCGCGTGCATATGTCCATGCTCCGAACACTCCGCCATTGAAGAAAAGGAGCGTACCCACTGCCCATTTGGCGGATCTGTAAGACGCTTGGGCATTGAAGAGGCTACTGTCATTGAATGCTCTGCGGAATGACATGACTGCTGATGTATTCGCCCGTTGTGAAAAAGGCGTGGGACGTGTGATTGTAAGCTTCCTTAGTGCTGGCTTGCTTGATGGATTTGTCTGGAACCTGCGGCAAGTTGTGGTGAAATTTACTGGAGTACAAGCTGATAATCCGTGCCGTATCAATCGTAGCATAGCTTTCCTGCTGTGAGGGTTAGTAGGTTCCTGTGCAGAGTATTACTATTCGACCCGACTCACAAAGAGAGCAGTCCTGATATCGTCCCACAGGATGAAGTACAACTGTGGAAGTGAATACACAGCACAGAATGCCGAAAACCAAGTAAAGTGAGCACCCAAACGATGAAAACCCGTAAATCGGAGATGGTGTTGGATGAGGGATTGTTGATGTCCAGACGTGCTACTGTACATGGACCTGGTTGAATTTGGTCGAATTTGGTTGAAGTTGGTGCCTGAGGATGATCAGGACCATTGGACCTCACTTTGGACACAGCTCGAAGGCCTCGAGCTTCTCCCAGACAACAGTCTACAACAATCCCAACATCAACGCAACGCACACCGCCCACGGCAAGTCAAGACGCGACGCCAGAGCCATACGCACGACTCCACCACCACGACCACAACCACCCACCACACTTTGCCCCTCTGCTGCTTCGCACTGTGTCAATATTGCTTAAGCACACCGAAGTCCTGACGATTCTCGAAGTCCCCCCATCCGGTAGTTCAGTTCGGAACATACCACCAGCGGCGCTTTCAGAACTAGGAGCGGGTGCTGCCACCCTCTACTACCTGCTGTGCGACGAACTAAAGACCCGATCCCAAAGGCTCGAATAACAACACTCTCCCCAGCTGAGCAGACCTACCCACGCGAGCCACCGATCTTGGGCTCACCCGCGACCAACGCGAAACACCACTCCGCAGTGCACTGGCACTTCCATAATTCTCACTTCCTCTCACAATGGCGAGTGAGCTAGCAAATAAGCTGGGGCAGACAACGTTGAATGACGCGGAGACTGTTGGTGGAGACTGGCGGTCAGGGCTGAAGGCGCCTCCGAAAGATGGCAGGCAGCAGACAGAGGATGTCACGGCAACAAAAGGCTTGGACTTTGAAGAGTTCTACCTGAAGCGCGAGCTGTTGATGGGTATCTACGAAGCAGGGTTCGAGAAACCTTCACCCATCCAAGAAGAGACGATTCCAGTCGCACTATCTGGCCGAGACATTCTTGCACGTGCGAAGAACGGCACAGGCAAGACGGCCGCCTTCGTCATTCCTACTCTTGAACGCATCAACCCGAAAGTCGACAAAATTCAGGCACTCCTCCTTGTGCCCACGCGAGAATTGGCCCTGCAGACATCGCAAGTATGCAAGACCCTCGGTAAGCATCTGGGCATCAACGTCATGGTCACCACCGGAGGTACTGGTCTACGAGACGACATCATTCGATTGAACGAGCCTGTGCACATAGTGGTCGGAACACCAGGACGAATTCTGGACTTGGCGGGCAAAGGTGTCGCCGATTTGTCCGAAGCAAAGACCTTCGTCATGGATGAGGCTGATAAGCTTCTTTCGCCTGAATTTACTGTAACGATTGAGCAACTGCTGAAGTTTCACCCCAAAGACAGGCAGGTCATGCTCTTCTCCGCCACCTTTCCAGTGGTGGTCAAGGAGTTCAAGGACAGGCATATGAATGACCCTCACGAGATCAACTTGATGGATGAGCTTACGCTGCGCGGTATCACGCAGTACTACGCTTTTGTGGAGGAAAAGCAAAAAGTGCATTGCCTCAACACTTTGTTCAGTCGACTCCAGATTAACCAGTCGATCATCTTCTGCAACAGCACCACTCGTGTCGAGCTGTTAGCCAAGAAGATCACAGAGCTGGGATACTCATGTTTCTACTCTCATGCGAAGATGCTCCAGCAGCATCGCAACCGCGTCTTTCACGACTTCCGAAACGGCGCGATGCGCAACTTAGTCTGTTCTGATCTTCTCACCCGTGGTATCGACATTCAAGCTGTGAATGTCGTCATCAACTTTGATTTCCCCAAGAACGCGGAAACCTATCTTCATCGTATTGGTCGTTCTGGACGTTTTGGTCATCTTGGTCTGGCCATCAATCTGATCAATTGGGAAGATCGTTTCAATCTATACCGTATTGAGCAGGAACTCGGTACTGAAATTCAGCCCATCCCTGGCACCATCGACAAAAAGCTTTATGTGTACGATGCGCCAGAGAACATTCCACGACCAATCAACACAGCTCCACAGCAGCAGCAGTCGCAACAGCCAGGAAGACAGCAAGGCAGCGGACAGGATCTTCTCAACCCAGCGAACCGCACTGGAGGTTATCGCGGAGGTCGTGGTGGAGGAGGAGGAGGAGGTCATGGTCGCGGTCGCGGTGGGCCACGCAACGATCAGAATGGTTTTCAGGGCCAGCAGAGACCAGGTGGCTTTCAGCAGCGACCTCCACAGCAGCAGCAGATGGCGTCAGCCGGTCCCCCTGTAGCTCAGGCATAGACGTCCTGAGCTTCGAATTGACCAATCTAGCGCAATCTGTAGGAGTATGAAAGGCGTTTGAGGGGGGGAAATAGCATGCTGTATGTTGGCCGGCGCGCCGACAGGAGTTTTTTTAAGGGCACGACTTGATGACACCGGTTCTTATGCTCCGGTCTGACGTTACCATGAGCGGTCGTTGGAAGGCCTCGATAATATGGCTATCCGACAACTGCAGCGCTATCCACTTTCATCGGCGCGACTCTCGACACCTCGATCAACCAGCACGACTTCTGACCCAGCGCTGGTCTTTTTTTTTCTCACTTACACCACAAAAAGCCGATACCCACACTGTGTATGGTACCATCACAGCGACTTTCCTGGTTCAGCCGACCCACTGAATCACTTGCAAACACTGGAAGTAGCATCTGCCTTTGCGATCCTGCTGCTCTAAATCCAGACGAACGCCAATCCGCAAACAAGCATACAGCCACTGGACGATGCTGCCTTGACTGCACACTATATGAGCGCAGCTTTCTTGGCTCGTTTGACCACGTTGATCACATCTTCTTCACTCTTTCAGATGATGCCTGATCAGTTCAGACGGTGTGTGTCTCATAGAACTCATGCCCCCAATCATCAACATACCACCATTCACGTTGAGACAAGAAGAGCCAGGATGAGATGGAATGGAATGAGGCAACAGACACACTTTCTGAAAGAAGAAAACTTAATTAAAGCATTTTGGGAGGACAGTAGCGAGAGCCAAGGTTACCGAAAGGGTTCAAAATGACAATACTTTATCCTCTCAATACTCTTTCCCTTCACGTTATTATCAATGATCTGCGCCATACGGATCAGCTGTTCGTCCATATTCGCCAAGCCACAATAATACAGGTACGGTTGGGTGTGGTGGCGTGACCCCTGATGAATTGACCGCGTGACTAGATCTATTGGATGCCTGCACCCGCATCACCCATTGAGCTTGTGACTCCGTGACGGATCGCCGAGTCTCGATCTCATGTAGGCGGCGAGACGGTAATGCTCACAGCGTGAGTATGTAGGTAGGCAGTACGCGATTGATGAGGGATATTTCCATCGTGATGGGAGAAGGACGGGCGCGACGCCCACCCCAGGCCGACCAGAATGCGATTGGCTCGAGACTTTTTCAGTCATGGCAAATGTCAATATGTGGCAGCACCAAGGTGGCGAGCGCTGGTGATACAGATAGGTAGCGGCGATAGACCGACGCGCATATTGCAGACTTGGGCCTGGAGGCGTAGGAGGGTCAAGATGTGTTGAGAGACGCATGTGCATGGGCGACGGAGAAGCCGGATGCACATTCAGCATCGCGACCGGTAGGTACCTGTAACTGAAATTTTCATGAGATGCAGTAATGATGGTATACGGACAACGACAATGGCAAGTGAAGTGGAGCGATAGAGATTGCATGCAGTGGTAGACATGAACGAGGCCTTTGCGACAAGTGGTAAACAGATTTGAGGTGTGGACGCGCCTTACGCGCCAAGGAGTGGGAGGGAGAGGGTCAAAACAACAGAGGGAGGGACGTGAGAGGGACAGACAGACTCGAGAAGCATACCTACCTTACATGTACCAGGTAATCAGAGAAATGCGAAAATAAAAAAGGGTACAGCGCGACAACACACGATTAAAATGGGAGACAGGATGCACAAATCCGGTCCAATCAGCAGAACATCTTGTAGCTCGCAGTGTCAAAGATTAGGTAGGTGCTGGAGTGGTGGTAGGTACAGTAGCTCCCCAGTCAGAGTGATGGATTGATCTTTTGCAGCCCTCGAACGTTAGTGTGAGTATAAGAGGCAGCCATCCCCACCTCAACTCTGATCCCTCTTGCTTTCCGACCGCTCCCTCTCACGACTCTTCGACGCCCACCACCACCCACCACCTCTTGAGACATTACTTCTAGCATCAATCGACGCTCCCGCTCTTCCGCTTTCACCACAAACGATCACATTACACTCAACATGCCTCCCAAAGCCGCCACCAAAAAGGCAAGCAAGCCTGCTGGCGCCTCCACCCACGGTCCTTACCTTGGTGCGTTTGCGACCATGACCTGCTCGCGCGCCTTGTCGCGTCGATGCGGCATAGCTTCTATCGTGTTCGCCCGTCACTGACGCCTCTGCCCTCTAGACATGATCAAGGAGGCCGTTGTCAGCGTGAGTTTGCCTTTCCCGGCGCATTTCGTCTCGTCATCCTCGTGATGATCAGATTGCGACACACGATCCGTCCCATGGCACCACGACTGCCATGGACGCTTCTGCGATCGGAAACTTTGGCTAACGCATCTCCGTATACAGCTGAAAGAGAGGACTGGTTCTTCGTAAGTGGAATTCGCACCTCGTCGTCGCCGTCGCTACCGCATTGGGAGGTCGCGCAGTACGACTGAGACCGGCAGCGCTTGCTTACATTGTCTCTCTTCTACAGCCGCCAGTCTCTCAAGAAGTATGTCCAAGCCAACAACAACCTCTCCAACGTCAGCGATGCCGTCTTCAACAACCAATTCAACAAGGCTCTGCAACGCGGGTCCGAGAACGGCACTTTCACGCGACCAAAGGGTACGTTAGATCGATCGATCAGGTCCACGTCTAATCGTTGCCAACACACCGCAAATGATGTGTTGTGCTTCCTCCTACAATCGCCATCACTGTCTCATCGCTGGTTGTCCAAATATTGAAACTTTTTTTGCACACCTTGCTGACCTCGTCGCCGCCAACAGGTCCCTCTGGACCAGTGAAGCTTGCTGCACCTGCTGCTAAGGCTGCTAAGGCCGCTGCTGCACCAAAGACCGCCGCCGCGAAGACAACGAAGGCTGCTGCCCCAAAGAAGGCTGCTGCGCCAAAGAAGGCTGCTGCCACAGCAAAGAAGGCTGCTGCCCCAAAGAAGGCTCCTGCAGCCAAAAAGACTACAACGAAGGCGAAGACTCCAGCCAAGGCACCAGCGAAGAAGACGGCTGCCGTAACAAAGGCCAACACCGGTACGAAGCGCAAGACTTCATCATCAACAACAACAACCACTGCTGTATGTTGATGTCACGTCGTCGCCAGAACCGACTACTCTAACATCGTCACAGGCCCCAGCTGTTGAGGACAAGGCACCAGTCGTCCTTGGCAAGACCAAGTCGGGACGTGTGACCAAGTCGACTGCCCCACAGGTCGCGAAGAAAGCCTCCGCAAAGAAGTCCACCCCGAAGAAGAGCGTAACGCCCAAGAAGGCATAGGCTTCCCCGTTCTCCAACTTCTTCGATGGAAACGACGATGTTCTGGTAACGCCTGATCCCCCACGCGTGAGGGTCACCGGGCGTGCTGTCGTTCGTGCGCGACGATGAAGGCTCTTGCTAGCGGTGACGGGCGTACGGCGTCAGATAAGGGTCTTATAGGGGTGTGTGTGTGTGTGTGTGTGTGTGATACCAGCTTACCGTTTGAGAAGAGGCTTTTCGTATTCCGATAAGTCAATGGCCTCTAGATTTCTGCTTTACGGGGTGTTTATGGACGGCGTTTGAGCACGGGTGCTATACTGCTCTGCTACGAGGAATGTCACAATGCTATGCAGCGCGAACAGAGTACATAGTCTGACATGCATTTTACTTGAAACTATGCCTACTTGATCATTTCCTTTCGTGATGCATCATCGTCAGTCATGATCTGCTCTGTCGAAGCATCCTACTACATGTACCTCCTATATGCACATGCACCGGTGCTTTCGTTGGGTACGCGTCGGGGATTGTTTCAGGTATACATGTACGTAGGTAGGTAGGTAGCGTTTGTCAACAGGAGTGCTCTCAGGGAACTCATTTCGAAGACGTTGACGAGGTGAGCTACATGTATCTATACCATCTGCACACACAGATGGACGGGAGTGGTTGAATGTATTCCCGGTTCATGATATCGCGTCGCGTCCAGAAGATTTGGAAAATGTCAACAATGATATGTCATCGCTCTTAGCTCCGGTCGGCGAACAATATTCGCCAAGCCCGTCGGACAAGCTAGGAGGTAGAACTAGTAACTTTCATGGTAGTGTACGTTGACTGGCCGCCCTGACCTGACCTGGCCTGAACCATCCAAACGACGACAGAGACAGCGGACAGGAAGACCAGCAGCACCCATCTGAGCCGCACATACTATTGCTCACCAGCATTACGCATTCCATACACCCGGCACCCACACACCCACACTCACACAGCACCGCCAGGGAGGCACGGACGCTATAGGACGACGTCCGTCTTCTCCAACCATCTCGGTGGTCCAAGAAGCGGACCTCTTCGCGCTGGCGTGCATACAGGCCTACAAGCCCCAAGGGGACGATGCGCGGGCTCCAAGTCCACCACAACCCACGTCGGCGCCGCTGAGCAGGAAGTCCACCGAGCTCTCCTACGCGCATGCCTTCATGGTCCACGAGCAGAACACCAATGGAGCGCCGCGTCGCAGCACCAGCGTAAAGGAAGGCCTGGGAGGACAGGACGGCAGTGCACTTATTGTTCCCAATGGCGCCGGCAGCGACAGAGCCCCCAGTGCGAAGAGCATGGCGCTCAGCATGAAGAGTCGTCGCAGCATCAACAACCTCAGCGCGACCAACTTATCGGTATCAGACAGCGGCGAGCGGAGGTCGGGAGAAGCTGTCAAGGAGGCTACCACACGACTCGGGGCCGCTGAAGAAGGCTACTTCACCGCTATGCCACATCAGAATGGCAAGCCGGCAGGTCAGCCACCTAGGAGCCCCATGAGCAAGCCTGTCGGCGCGATGCCAAACGGAGAGCCAACCACCTCACAAGCGATACGCAGTGTCAGCCATGGACAGGTTCCTATGACACCTAGCTCAGCACTTCCACCAGTGGAAGAGAGCTCACCACGAGCGACCGCAGATGGGCTGCTCAAGCCACCCGCGACGACCAAACCACGCCGACACCGCGCCTCCTCACCTCCAGCCTTTGACCCCCCTCAAAGCATAAGTCTCGTCACGTCACGACCGGACCGGCTCACCCACCGACACACCCTAGAAGTTCCAAGCGCTGGTCCGCGAAACTCGAAAGATGGTGGAGATCCATCTTCCCAACTAGACGGTGCAGTCTTGTCGACTGGTCGCTTCTCGCCAAACACCCCAACGAGACGTAGAGCCTCTCTGCAGCTAGTTCGGCGGAATACGAGGTCGGTACACTCTGACATGCATCTGGAAGAAATCCCTCAAGACGACGATGCTGCTCGGATTGCAGAGCATATAAGAAATAAGCGCGCTTCTAAGAGACAGCGTCATGACACCGACGACGATAGGGTGGTCGTGGGCACCAAGGTGGACCAAAATCACGTCAACTTCGCCACGGCCTACAACATGCTCACTGGCATCCGTTGCTGCGTTAGTCGGACCAATGCAAAGCTCGATAGGGATTTGACGGATGCCGACTTTGAGACGAAGCACAAGTTCAGCTTTGACATTAGTGGCAGCGAGCTGACACCAAGCTCCAAGTACGATTTCAAGTTCAAGGACTATGCACCATTTGTCTTCAGAAAGCTTCGGGCTAATTTCCAGCTGGATCCGGCAGACTACCTGATGTCGTTGACATCGAAATATATCCTCTCGGAACTGGGATCGCCAGGAAAGAGTGGATCCTTTTTTTATTTCTCACGAGACTACAAATATATCATCAAAACGATACATCACGGAGAACACAAGTTCTTGCGGATGATATTGAAGGATTACTATACCCACGTTGTCAACAATCCAAACACATTGTTGTCACAATTCTACGGACTGCATCGGGTGAAGATCCCTTATGGGCGGAAGATACACTTTGTGGTCATGAATAACCTGTTCCCGCCACATCGTGACATACATCGCACATTCGATCTGAAAGGCAGCACGATAGGCCGTGATTTCCGGGAAGAGGATCTAGAGAAGAACCCTCGCGCCACACTCAAGGATCTGAACTGGTTGCGGCGCAATTTACATCTCGAGTTTGGGCCAACAAAGAAGGAAGCATTCGTAACGCAGATGCAGAAGGATGTTGCATTACTGCAGCGCCTGAAGATCATGGATTATTCTATGCTGGTCGGCATTCACGACTTGGAACGCGGGAATGAGGAGAACCTGCGTGATAAGACACTGCGAGTGTTCCAGCCTGCCGGAGAACCGACAGAGGATGGGGGTAGTCAACAGCACTTGGCTAGGTCACCAAGTGTGATGGAGAATGCCAAGAGGATCAAAGAAATGAGAGAGGCCGTCAAGAGACAGAAGCCGGTGCCGATCTCGCAAACACTGGATAAGATGCCACACGAGGCACATCGGAGTCCATTCTTCTTCTACGCGGACGATGGTGGCTTTCGCGCTACTCATGAAGACGATGCTCCTGGCGAGGAGATTTACTATCTGGGCATCATTGATTGCCTGACACGAGTTCGTATACACTGCAACCTCGAGGATTGTTCCCGGCTAACTTCGTTCGCAGTACAATCTACTCAAAAGAATTGAGCACGCGTGGAAAGGCATGGGCGGTCACGAGTCGCAGATTTCACCAATTCCGCCTGAACGGTACGGCGACCGCTTTATCAAGTTCATTAGTGGTATCACCAAGTCACGCGAACGTGCCGAACAAGAACGACTGTCCTCGACTTTGGAGGTCAACGCAGGCATCACGATTCCTGCGGGTATCGAAGGTACCGTCCGCGATGACCGTCTTGGAGGCGTCAATGTACCATCCCCCGACCACAGCAATCCTCCCGGGACCGACAAGGTTATGCAAAAGGCCGAGAAGCAAGCTGAGAAGTCACGGCGGAGCGAGGATGAAGTGACCGACCGGACTATGCTGGCGGTCAGGAGCCCAGGGGACCCACAGGCTGAGCAACTCACGCTGCCTGTTATTGGCGAGGCAGCCGAGAACTCCAGCAATGTTTCTCGATCTCCCTCGCAAGTTAGCCCGCAACGCAGCTATGAGGAGTTTTGGAGAAATGGCAACATCAAAGCGGGCACTGCCAACGTGCCATCAGATACCATCGGCGAAGTGCCTCCCCCCACACCACCGAAGCAGGATGGTAGCACCGATCGTCGAAGTGAAGAGGAGAGGCGGAGCTGGCAAAGCGGCGGACTACCACCACCAACGCCACCCAAAGAGACACGAAGGGTGGTGAATGTGACGGATGACAGCTATGAAGATTCTGGCTGTTTCGGACCCCGGACAACCAAGGTCTTTGGCACTCAAGACAAGGAGCTACCGCTGCCGCCGTCCATGGTGCCCGAGACGAGAGCGATGAGCGCCAGTCCACTCGGTTCTGGGCTCGAGATGAGTGAGGGTAAGCGGTCTGGTGTGCTCCGAAGGCAGAACTAGGAGAGTCTATACGAGCATGGCGTGAGTGCGAAGAAGAGTTTGTCATGGTGGAGCGGGACGAAGAAGAGCGTTTCCGGGTTGCAGTCCAGCAAGAGTGCCGGAATGGTGGGCATGACGAAGAAGAGTGTGCAGACTCTGAAGAGCATGCGAGTGTTGAGAAGAAGCCAGAGTGAATCGGCGTTGACGATGAAGCGAAGCTGGCAGTCTCTCTGCCAGAAAGCACTGCGAATGAGCGGCAACAGCGGTCCCGCATGAAATCTCATTGTGTTTGGGAGCGAAAGGGAGCGATGATTTGTGTTTTTTTTTTCTTCTTTTTCTGTTTGGTCTTGCTATTTTTGTTTTGTTTTGTTCGGTGGTGGTGCTTCATTTCAGGTTGGTACTTTGAAGGTTCTTTCCATTGCTTGTTTTTGCGTTTTATATGCACCCTCCCTGCATGAGGGTCGCACTTGCATGCTCGACTATACCTTGGAGTTATACCTTCCATGTTTCCATTGACTACGACTGGGGAAGGAAGTTACGCGAACGGGAGAAGGGAGGAAGTGGCAGTGAAGGGGAGGGACGAAGGGTGGAAGCGTGGAAGGAAGGGAGGAGATGGAAGGAGATGGAGCCAGGTGAGGAGAAAGCGAAGAGAATGCAGACACATATATCCTGGAAGGACTGTAAGGTACCTCGCGACAGGACCGCTGTTTTTGGCAGCAGCGGGAATTTACTTCAGTGCAAACTATTTTTTTCTATTAGCCTCAGGCTTCCTTTTCTTTTTCGGAGCAAGGGTCAGGGTAGAGTGAGCAGAAGCAGAAGCAGGAGCAGGAGCAGGAGCAGGAGAAGGAGCAAGAGCTCCAAACGTTGGTGCTACCTTGTCCAAAGCTACCCAAGGTAAGAACGCCCCGGTGCACGGTGCCTCCGTGTGTGGGAAGGTGGCACGAAGTAGGAGCCCTCCAGGTAGCAGGACCGGAATTCATTTTCCACGTGGACGGGATGGATGCATTAATAATTTGACCCGGCCTCTCTCTCTCTGTATGTGTCTGTGTCTGTGTCTGTGTCCATCTCTCTCTGACTCAGCTCTCTCTGGCTCCCTCTCTCTCTCCCTCCGGTGGCGAATGAGACGTGCATGTGAGCAGGGAGCAGGGTACTACATACTATACATACTATACATGTAGGTTGGTCAGTATGCATGCTTCGAACATGCTACAACGGGAGGGTTTGGTACCGCTCTTTTCTTCTCCACACAGGACATTCCGACATGAGGTGGCAACAGGTGTCGACGATGGATAATGGTACGACACATCACTCCTCGCTCTCTTCGTCGAGGACTACCTACCACCCTACCTTACCTCTTCGCTCGCTGTGCACCTCCCCGAAAATATAAGAAATAAGAAAAAAAAAGTGTCTCGAGACTTTTGTGCTGTCGACTAGCAGACAGGCGAGGAGAAGCTCTCACCAAAAACTGCATCCTAGCGCTGACACGAGAAAACATGGAGGAGGAATGGTAGCAAAACTTGCTCTCGACGACTTACCAAAGTCGGTACGCCACTTGGTAAATGCACTGCATACTTCTACTTCGAGAAGGCGGCGTGGTCCTCCTGGCCAAGCGGAGCTTCCGGAATCTGGTGCCTACCTTAATCCCAAGGGAATGTAGCAGCAGGCACTACTTGTCCTGCAGTACACGACAACCATACATAAGAAGGATGCACATGTGAAGACGCGCGACTGGTTCTCCTGCTCTGCTGAGAGAGTGAGAGAGAGAAGAGAGAGCGCGCGCGCTTGGGAAGTTCGAGGAAGGACATGCAGGTGATCCACTCACTCAGCGAACACCGCATACCGAACTCCTCAGCTGCTTCGCTTCGCTGGAGCTCACAACCTTGCACCTCCCCACCGCACTCGTCACTTTTATTCGTTATTTAAATTTTTGTTCGATCAGGAGTCGCACTACTGTCGATGCAGCCAACCCTCAATTGGTGATGCCGCCAAGTGGCCGGTGAAGGAAGTCACGCTCCCCAAGTCCCGTCGCCAGAGACTTGGGGCTCGTGCGAGACAGTGGCGGTCCGGCTACTGCTCTGTGCTCTCTGCATTCTCTGCACAAGTGTGCAAAGAGAATGAGAGGGAGAGAGTGTGTGTGCACACCCTCGATCCCAAACGAGGCGACTGGTAGTATTGAAGAAAGTCGGAAGGTGTCCTCAATTCGCTGCCTCGCATCCATCACAAACTTTTATGGGTATGTAATAATCTGTCACTGGTTTTACTTATCGCGAGGTCCGATCGTGCATGATCGTCACCAGGAAGCCAGTCTGGAATAGATCTAGGAGGTACCTCCTAAGAGGGAGAGGTACTACAAGCATTGCGGAAATGCTAAGGAGAGCCTTTTCCCGAGCTGGAACATACTCGAGCCTAGCAACAGGACGATGATGATTCTCAGCGCTGCGATAGGTCGACTTCAGCTGCCAATACAAACACAGGAACGAAGGCCTTGGGCCCACTGGAATTTGGTGGTTGCGCATGACGAGCATGGTTCATGCTTGGGCTCCTCGCGCGCAGTCGACCAGGACCGGGTCACTGCAGCTTCGAAGCTCATACTACATCCATAGTTTTGTCGCGGGTGTGACAGTATACCGGAAACGGGGCAGGTATTGCCAGTGCCAGAGTATCGGAAGAGTGTGCTCGGCTGCCTGGACTTCTCGTCTACCAAGTGCCTCCTACTAGGTTCCTGATGCACTAAAAGGGCAACGTGCGACAGTGCGACGCAAATGCAATTCTCGCCAGTCCAGTCCGTCCATTCTACCTGAAATCTGGAGACTATGGATACCCACATGCTCGTCCGCTTATGGTTCGTGAATTGCCCCGGACCAGGATCCTGGGCACCAAGAACAGGACCGGTCCACAGCCACATTGCTACAACCATGAACCATCCCCCGTTGGTGGCGAATGGCATGGGCGCGTTGGACCCGACGCCGTGGTTGTGGTACTGACACCAAATTGGAGCTCAGCCTTCTCGCGCCGGAATTCCCATCAATGCAAGACGGGCGTTGTGCGTGCTACCTTACAAGTACTCCTGCCCCACTGCCAGCCATCTCGAGACTCTGAACATGGCATTGCACCGCACCATTATTGCTCAACATCACGACATTGATGATGTTCTACGCAGCCTTCGAACAGACCATACCTGCTGCCGACCACCACCACCAGCACCAACACCACCATCTCCCTTCAACCAGCCTGGGCCGGGCTGATGACTACTGGTACAACAACACCAACCCCGTGCCTTCTTACACATGTCCATACGACACCACGCAACGTCTCTGCTTGGCGAAGCTTACCGATGAAGATGCGTTTCAACAATGGCAATTACTTCAAGACGACGCTCCCGCACCAACACTAGAAGAAGTAGAAGGAAAAGAAGAAGTAGCACTAGAACAAGACGAAGACGTCCCATCGTCGTCATCATCATCATCATCAGCCTTGAGCAATCACTGTTGTCGGTTGAGACTGGGCCCACTCGTCCCTCTCCACGAAGATGACACCAACGACATTGATCCTGCCACTACTACTACCGCTCCCTCAACATCATCGTCGTCGTCATTCTCCCCTTCATCATTACAACCACCACCAAAGAAGCGTGCCCGTTTCCTGGTCGTATACGAACAACCACTCTCCGACACTTCCAAACCACAACTCTATCAGGACATTCCCGTCCTCCTTGGTCCAGCCGAAGATGCCGTTGCTGCTCCTGCTCCTGGCGATGATGATGATGATGGCAATGACGATGACAATGATGATGACAATGATAACGATCACTCATCATCGTCATCGTCGTCTTCATCTTCATGTCTCCACGTTCTCAAATGTCTCATCGACTCCGCCGTCTACCAAAATGATCGCAGTCTCCTCTGGTTATCTGCCTGGCCGACCCGAGAAGCTGCAGTGAGATATGTCCAGTCTATCGATCGGACTGTCGAAGATCGAGTGGATTTGGTAAGGATTTCGAGGGATTATGAATCTTCTTCTTCTTTTTCCTCTTCTTCTTCTTCTGGTGGTGGAAGTGGTATTGGTAATGGCGTTGTCGGTGTTGCCATGTCCGGCTGTGATGGATCCCACACTTGTTCCACAGAAACTTCTTTGAAGTAACTTAAAGTACCTGCCTACCTACCTACCTATTAGGTCGGTCATATTTGATGGGAATTGTGGATGGATGGATGGATGAAGAAGATGAAACTTATTTATTTCTTTTTATGTGGATGGGTTAGTGGGTGGCAGTATTCTAGCGTTGATTTGTGTTTGCTTACTAGGTACCTACTACCTATGTGTTTTTGTTTTCTCTTTTGGTCTTTTTGGGAGAGGATTGTTGTACCTTATTGATTTGATAGAGCGATTAGCCCGCCCAATTTTTTCCGTAATTGATGAAGCCATTTCAAAATCCATTTCTCACTCCAGCATGGAATTGTCTACAGTTTATCCTTTTAAGTGTGTTTTTCGAGTTGAGGAAAAAGACTTTGGGGGCAGTTTTTCTTTTGAGCGTAAAACTACAGGTACTAGGTAGGTACTACCTACTTTACTTGGGTAGCTTACTTAGTTGTAGTGTTTTTATATATATATATATATATCCTTTTCCGTGAATACAACAATCGATATCCATGGTGCATGTATGTATGTGTGTATGTATAAGGTAGCAGTGCTCATAATAAGAATTGAGTGAAACCTAGTGGAGTTACATGTATTTCTTTTTCTTTGAATGGGTAGGGAGGTAGGAGGTAACTAACCTCCTAGGTACATAGGGAGAAAGGACGGGAGGAGATACACGTAGAATTGAAGCTCCAACAAACCCACACAAATCAAATATGATCAGGTATGTACCTTCTTTAATGATTTACGAAAGAAGACAAGAATAAAAAAAAACACATCATCATCCATCATACTTTTCTTACCAATTTGCTCCATCTGCCTACCTACATTTTTCCTTCTTATATAATCTGAGCATTCCTCTTATTCGTATGCACCCTTTGTAAATTCGCCGTCAAATAATCACCCGCCACGCCCGTCATCGTCGGCGATCGGATTATACTCCTTCTTCGTGCCTGATTCGCCCCGGGACTGCGCGCATTCGCCTGGTCGTCATCTTCATGGGATTCGGTAGGCTCCATTTCATTCGGTGGGCCCTGAGGTTTGGTTTCGCTGTTTTGTCCCGACTGTGCTCCCTTGGAATTCTTCTTGGACTTCTTCGATGTCTTGGTCTTTTTGCTGCTGGTTCGGACGCGGAAGAACCAGTACACTAATACGGCGACCGCAATGTTGAACACGATGTATGCGAACAGGAAACCGAAGTTTCTCCAGCGTTGGCTCCAATAGATGTTGGATCCTGCGAGGAAAGTGTCTGCGACGCTGGTTTGGCAGTAGGCGCAATCGGCAGTGGCATCAGGGTTCGTGAGAGTCCCCGGTGCTGTGGTGAGGTATGATTCCATCCATTGGCCGCAAGTCTGTCCCGCAGGTGGTTGGAAGACACTCAATTCCACGTCAGAACAGGTCACTTGTCTGGAGTGCAGCATTGCAGCTGCCATACCCGCAACCCAATACGTGAAGAAAGAGACACGGTACATGAAGATCCAGAACCCGGGGAGCGCCTGGGGAGGCTGCATGACACCGTTGAAAATGAGTGACATGGCGAAGAGGAATGTGACGATGGCTCCGGCAGTTTGTGCGTCCGGTAGAGCGGCAATACACATGTGTGCGAATGTGCCCGCGTAGACGAAGAGGACGACGCAGAGCAAGAGAACCAGGCCTTGCCGTTCGGAGGCTTGAACGCCCACGATGGGGTAGTAGAAACATGCGTACACGACGAGGCCAGAGAGGATTTGGTATGGAACCTCGACAACAATATTGGCAATGAGGAAGGCCACCCAGGAGTAGGATTTGCTGGGCCGTTCGCGAACCTCGTAAAGAGATCGCTGGGTGACGAATAGAGGCATGATCTGCTGCACCAGGGTCGAGAAGATGGTGGTGACCATGAATAGACCGTAGATGACGTTCTGCATGCCTTGAAGTGTACCATCGGCTTGATAAAATGAAAACCCAATGAAGAGACCAGAAGCAGCACTGAGCATGAACTTGGCTGCGATGTAAGCGGGCATCCTCCAGTACTGCTGGAAGACACGGTACGTGACCTCGTAGAGCTGAGTCGTAAACGGCATAGCGAACTCCTTGTGAGCAGATGCATCTTCGTCCGGATCTTGGGCTCCTTTGCGCTCTTGGTGCATCTGCTCAATTTCCTCTTGTACTCCTTTGGCCTCATTGCTGTCTTTCCAGATCTGGAACCAGTCGGTGCTGAAGTCTCCAACAATTTCAAGCATGTACTCGGCTGGATTCTCGTCATCACCACACTTGCGTGCACCATTGCGTTCGAAGTAGTCCAGGAGTGTTCTCGAGTTCTTGCCGATGTTCCCAAAGTAGACTGTCTTACCACCTTTGCGTAGGAACAAGAGCCGGTCAAACTCTTGGAAGAGAATGGCAGAAGGTTGATGTATTGTGCAGAGTACCGCCTGACCGCTGTCTGCAAGCTTACGCAAGAATGCGCAAATAGCCCAAGAAGACTGCGAGTCGAGACCAGAGGTAGGCTCGTCCAAGAATAACAGGAGCTTTGGTTTCGCAGCAAGCTCAGTTCCGATAGTGAGAAGCTTTCGTTGTTCCACGTTCAGTCCTTCACCGGGCACACCAACAACGGCCTCTGCGAAGTCCTCCATGTTAAGCATCTTGATCACATCTTCCACATATTCATACTTCTCCTGTTTACTAACACTCTTTGGTTGACGAAGCATAGCAGAGAACCGAAGCGATTCACGAACAGTAGCGGTATCGAGATGGAGATCTTGCTGCTGGACGTACCCAGTCTTCCGTTGAAAGGACGAATCGAGAGGTGCCCCGTTGACAAACATATCACCTGTGATGACGCCCATTGTAGTGCGTTGGGCGAGCACCTAATTATCATATTAGCCTTTCGAAATCATACAGAGGCAATGAATTATTCCACTCACATCAAGCAAAGTAGTCTTTCCGGCTCCAGAAGTACCCATGAGCGCCGTCAATGTTCCAGGCTTCACGAAACCAGAAACGTCGTCCAGAAGTCGTCGTGTTTCGTCCTTGATTTCAACGTCATAAGAAACATTTTTCCACGTGAAAATATCCGTCTGAGGCGGGATCACGTTGACGTCGCCAGCACCCTCTTCGTTCTGGCTGGCAACCTTTTCAGGCGCCTGCTGCTCTTCATCATTGGCCTTGCCCTTTGCCATGCCCTCCATGTAGTCGGGGACATGTCCGCGTCTGAAGACCAGAACTTCAGCAGTCGAAGTCGTCTCGGAGTTGAGTTCGACCGTAATGAAGTACAGCAGCATCAATGCGATGAGGAACCCAAGCAGAATGCCGAAGTTTCTCCAGACGTGCGAATATGAGTATCTGTACGTCTCATTGATGTAAGCATCTCCGTTGACGAAGGCCTGGCCTTCCACGGCGCCGGTCGTGGCACAGATGAATGTATTGCCACTCAGATTAGGGTACATAGGGACCCATGCGGAGCATGCAAAGTTTCGTCCATGAAACTCGTTTGCGATGAGGATCTCGAACGCGTAGAAGACCGGATTGATCCATCGTATCCAGCCGAACCAGTCGTGCATATAAGGAATGGGGACGACGAAACCCGTGTACACGACGATGGCGAGAATGAGGACACCAGAGAAAGCCATAGCCTGAGAGACCGTCTTTGTAAGAGCCGCCATGGTTCGGAAAGCAGCCGCCATGGTGAACATTGTGATGAAGTTGATGAGGAAGAAAAGGAAGAATGGTCCGGGTTCGCGTCGAAGTCCTGCGAGGAAGTACAAGGTGACATTGAAACATACCGCGAAGATGAACTTCAGCCTGTGATTGGGTCAGTGCTCGGACAAGCTCGTTTGCGGTCTCTCATTAATGTATCTAGGGAGTGAGCTCACGGTATATCAAGAACTATACCTGCTATCGCTTCGGTTGCAGGATGATAGAAGGCATAGGACTTGTGTTTCTCAACCATGGGTCGTTGCTCGTAAAGGCTGTTGATTTCCGAAATGGCAGTGAGACTGTGCTTCGTCAGTCGTAATCCATCATATGGGTGATGGTATGGGTTGTGCCATGTAGACTTACGCATTGAGAAGGACAGCAAAGAAGAGCGTAGCACCTTTCGCGGTGAAGCCCACAGTAGCATTTGGCGTGCCGTAGTAGACGGACCCAATGATCAGAGCCATGATGATGTTCGAGATAATAGGAGTAAATGTGGAGGACTTGTCGTTCCAGATTCGCTGGGCTTGTCGTCTGGCATTGAGCTTGATTTGCATGAAGACACTGACGACGTATGGCGACTTGGGACGTGTGTGTTTTGCTTGTGATTGATTCTTGTAGTCGCGGAATTCTTGAAGCTCTCCATCTGAGCTGGCCAGACTAGACGCGTGCTCCTCAATCTCTTGATGCAGTTCCTTGTATTCTGGACTGTTTTCCCAGTACTTCACGAAGTCGTCGGGGGTGCGTGGGATCTTGCCATCAAAGCCATCCCGCGATTTTCTCTCGGCAGGATTGGTAATCGAGGTGAGGAAGTCGCCCGTTGTCTGTCGAGACGGACAATACCAGCCCATACGCTCGAAGTACTCCTTGGCTTTGGACGCCTTGCCGAAGAAGATCTCACGGCCTTCGTACAGCACGATAGCCTTATCGAACAAGTCATAGATCGCTTGACTGGCTTGATAGATGGCAACTGCATGAGCAGAGCCTTCCATATCAGCAGCAAGTCTCATTGACTTGACGAACGTCAACGCCGTAGCTGAGTCAAGACCACGTGTCGAGTTATCCCAGGCCGCGAAGGCTGCGCGTGCGAGAGCCATTTCTGCAATGGACACACGCTTGCGCTCTCCTCCTGATACACCTCGCACGTAATCGTTCCTGAATATACGTTAGTACACAAGTCATGGCCACGTTTTCATGATTGATCACAGCTGTCGACTCACCCGACCTTGGTATTGTAGGTATGGGAAAGACCGAACACCGCCATGATGACTTGCGTCAGGTGCTTAACAGCGTCCTTTCGTGATTGCCCGAGCGGTCGAGCTTGGGGCATACGGAGCGCCGCGGCGTGCTCCAAGGTCTCCCCGACTGTGAGATGTGGGAAGTGCTTGTCAACCTCCTGGTTGTAGATGAGTTCTCCCTTGAACTCCTTGATCATCTGCTTTTGAGGAATGCCGTTGTATGTAATATCCGATCCATCATCGAGATGCAGGCCATGTAATTGTCCTGTCATAGATTTGAGCAGGGTACTGCAACCAGAGCCCGGTCGTCCAAGCACGATAAGAAGCTCTCCGCTCTTCATAATGCCATCGAAATTGTGCAAAATGTGGCGTGGCGTCTTCTTGAGGCTGTAGGTCTCGGGTCTCAGAGGCGCCATAAACATGCTGCCCACATTTTTCTGCAAGTTGAGCGCCGCCCCAGAGCCGCTCACGTTGAGGTTCTTGAAGACAATGCCTGCACGCTTGAGCTTGAGATCTTCTGCATTCATGAGTTGCAGAACCTTCTTTGTCCATTTGTAGAGATCAAATTTTTCGCTTTTCGGGTCAAATACTTCGTTATCGAAATCAAGACCATCAATAGTTCCCTTCTTTTCCAAGTCCCCGCCATCTGCTGCGCTGTGACTTTGACTACGTTGTGTCACAAATGATTGCCTTGTCTGTGTAGCGATTCTGCGAAGTGTCTCTTCTTGTCTGGGGTCGAATGCCCCTACGCGCTCATTACTGATTTCTGAGCTGCTGTATTTACGGTCGATCTCGTAGCCTGCGGGCTCCTCGGCAGCCTCTTTTCCCTCTTCTGTGATAAAAGCATTATGCCGATGATCCACATATGGTGTGTTCTGTTGGAGTGTCATGGATGTGGCGGTCGAGTCCGAATGACGGTTCAGGGCGCCACCATGGGGCTCCATTTTCATCACTTCTGTTGGGTCTGTGGCCCTAACAGTCTCCGCGGGGAACGTCTCGCACCGATCCGGGAACTGCTCTCCTTGGTGTCCAGTAGGCAATGCGAGAATGTCGTCAAGCCTGGTTGGGTCATAGTCTGCAACAGTGGGGGCAGCATCATTTATGTGATCTGGCCTGCCTGTTGACGCCATTGCGTTATGTACAATGCTGAAGGCTCTGCGACTTGCACAACACAACGTTCTGTCAGCAGCAGAGAGGGCTGCTTCGTCAGAGAATTCAGGAACACGCAGTCTCCGTTTTCGAGCACACACAAACACTGCCCTCAACGCGGCTGAGGGGTGATCAACAGAAGCAGAAGCAGAAGTCGGTCGTGGAGACGCCGAGCACCGTCGGTCAACCGATTGATCCCAGGTCTACCGGAACGCACGCAGCAGTCCTGGAGCCGCAGCAGTCCTGGAGCCGCAGCCGGGGCGGATGTCAACGTGGCAGGCGTGGAAGAATGTGGTGTGGGTGGGCGGGTGGACAAACCGGGAATGAAGAACAACGGCGTCCGACCTCTGTTTTCAACGTTTCATCCTCTAGGAGGTAGCGGATGTGTGCGGCCGTGGAGCAAAACATGGCGCTTTCATTCTTCTGGTCCATAGCATCATCATCATCATCAATCAATCACCACAGGCGTCCAGCTCATCTTTACCACCAAAACAGCGGAGCTTGGTGTTAGAGTTTGTCCCAACCTTTGCAGCTACCTCCTAGAGCACGCCTTGGCAACTTCTCTCGCGCTTAAGTGGATGTGTAAGTTCCAATTTGCAGTCTCATACGATGGCGGCGCAACAAGCATCGACTACCTCCACAGGAATGTGATTATTGCCATTGTTGGGGCCTTCTTCCGCGGCCGAGCACTGCAGACTCACGTGGCCCACGATTTCCATTGCTTGGCAAGCAGTAGGAGGTAGCATATATTTATTCATTTTTTCTGTGGCGCACGCGTGCCAACAGGTGAGTGTGATGGAGTGGTGCAGGAAGCGGCACGCTTGCACAATTCGATTGTTTGGTTTCTTTTTCTCGTCGCCTACTGTTTGCGGTCGCATTTCATGAAGCCGAGTCTGTCCGTCCGTGCGTGCTGAAGGACGGGAGCAAGGAGTGACTGCGACTCAGAAATGCACAGTCATCCCCCAGCGGCTGATAGACTCATCAGATCATTTGGGGTACAGACATGTGTAGACTGTAGTATATACTTACCTCTACGTTGGTCGACCATACAGGTGCATGTAGTAAGCAGCAATGGGAAGGTCCCGGCATGCGATACCGTCGCCACCTGCCGGACTGTGGTTGATAGGTAGCACCTACATGTACCTGTAAGGTAGTTCGTACCCATTGAGATTGATGACGAGGGCAATGACGAGGCCGAGCAATAATGTACTGTAGTTGAGCAAAGTCAAAAATGCAAAGCCAAGGTACCTCCTAAGGTGAGCACATGGTGAGAGAGCGAGAGAGAGAGTGAGAGAGACGGGCAGCTCTAGAGAACCAGATGTGTCCCCGCGGCACGGCACTTTCCTGTTCGGCACGGAAGACGCACCTTTCGCACTTCATTTATACCTGATAAACTATAATAGTGCAGCATATACAACATGTGCAAAATGGGCGAGAACTGTACCTTTATTCTGCCCTTGTCCCGTATGCGGTACATGTAAACAAGGATCAAAGCAACATGAGGTGCACACAAGACTCTGGATACCTTAGCGACAGGTTCGCTCGGTGATAGCCGGGTTTCTCAATCAGGAGGTACCTAGCTACCTCCGTGCCTTACCTACCTACCTCCGTAGGTAGTTAGTATCACTACAGAAAGTCTGCCACATTTGTTTTGACGACTCAGATTGGGGGCGGCCGCCCGCAGACTTGGCCCTCCGCGGAAGACTGCTGCCAAGAGATGTTTCAAACTAGGTACCTTACATGTATGTAGGCTATGCCTCGTCAAAGAAGAACCTCATCGAACAGAAGCAAAGGCCGGTAGAGTAAGGTTGTAGTAAGGAGATACATCAGGTACCCTAGCATCGGCTGAGTAGCTCCTTCTACCTGTTGTGTCTTAGATGGTTTCAACAACCTGCTATTCAGTGTTACTACCTCCTACTGCAGCCTACCTTATTCTTGCATCTAGGGGGTATTGCCACCTTCGTTCGTGGGGTGGTCTGGTTGCCTTCTCTGGCTTCCCTCGCCCAGGTCTCGTGCACAACTAATGCATGCGCGCCTTGCGATGGTAATCTGAGTCCAGTACACAAGCTTCTTGGCATACCTTTTCTTCGCAACGATAGACTGACCTCCGCGCCCCTCCATGCTTTGACATGGTCGGTGACCAGTCAACGATTCCTCTCGAACATGCTCTCGCAAGCTCTGCAGGCCCATCTGCGAACGATTTTAGTCAATACGCTTTCTGATGAAGCGTTCATGAGAGCCAGATCGAGAGCCGGATAATGCTCTTAGCAGACCGATGGCACAACGCTATCTCTCGACGTAAGACTCTTTTTTTTGCAGGAGCTTGCCACTTCGAGTACGCGGACAACGTCATCTTGTTTGTGCCTGCCCCGGAAGAGAGCGATTGAGGATCCCGTCTCTGGCTGTTGACGAGCTCTCAGCGTTAAGCTTGCCATTACACTTGCCCTTCACACATCTCATGGCGTTGATAGAGGGTAGCGAGTAAGCCGCGGTCAGATTGGCACGATGATTGGCACGGCGCCGGCTGATCTTGGTGGCCTCTCGATAACCTCTCAGCTTGCACTCTGCACTCTCGACTCCATCTCCTTCGCAACTTCAGCCAATCCCCGCAGCATCTGCTTCTGCTGTCTAATCCTGTCCTCCAACTCTTCAATCTCCTCTTCCTGCTCCTCGACTGTCCTGTCCACGTCGGGCAGTCTCTCTACACTTCTCAGCGCATCCCGCATGTCGTCCTTGATGCCTTTGATGAATACGCCTTTCTCATTCTTCTTAGGCGATTGATCTGTTTGTCCGACGAGCGCATTCGGCAGATCTTTGGGGTTCAAGGGTTTAAAGGCGTCGCCGCGATCGTAGGCGGTTGCGATACTGGATGTGTTCTCGATGTCATGAAGATGTAGGTCATCGCCATGGAGAGGTTTTGCGTTAGGGTCGGCATCCACCCGCGCGAGCAGTTCGTGCAGCTTGGGAAGGATGTCGAATGTGCTAGGCTCAGGAAGCTTCAGAGCGGTCAGCGGGGCATTGGTCGTGGTCTTGATGGGGTGCTTGAGAGCCATGTTCGACATCAACCTCCGTCTGCTATGGGTGCCCTCCGGAGATGCTCGCTACACAATGCGAGCGAACGCGGCAAGAAACACAAAGTGAACGTGAATGGAACGGGGAGCGTGGAGTCGTGAATGGAGAAAGCTCTCGGACCCCTGCGGCGATCATCTTGGCGCGGCGACCGATGTCATTGCAAAACGAAGGTGGGATGTGACGGATCTTTAGTTTTGGTGGGATAACTTAAGTCAACAGTTTCGGCGCATTTAGGGAAAGAAACCGAGAACACTCTTCCACCTGACGTGATAACAAGGTGAAGTGCTCCGTCTTCTTCACAGCGTTCACCCCGACATCGCCTCTACCGAGATCTCACAAAGACCTTGAGTCAAACCGCAAATCCGATCCAGGATAGACGAAGCAAGCAGCGGGGTTCATTACAGTGCTGCATCATGGTTCAGGTTAAGCAAAAGGTTGCTCTGATATGCATTGACGGCTGGGGTATTCCCGTCGAGTCCTCTGATCCACAAGGCAATGCTATTCTCAAGGCCGAGACACCATGGATGGACGAATTTGCCAAAGAGGGCAGCGACAAGGCTCAAGGGTACACGGAGCTTGAAGCGTCCTCTCTCGCAGTCGGTTTGCCAGAGGGCTTGATGGGCAACAGTGAGGTGGGGCACTTGAACATTGGTGCTGGCAGAGTCGTCTGGCAAGATGTCGTCCGTATCGACCAGACCATCAAGAATGGCGAATTGAACAAGGTTGAGAACATTGTAAAGAGCTTCACACGCGCAAAGGAGGGCAACGGTCGTCTACACTTTGCTGGTCTTGTCAGTGATGGTGGTGTTCACTCACACATCAACCACTTGAAGGCATTGCTGAAGGTCGCAAAGGAGATGGGTGTGCCAGAAGTGTACATCCACTTCTTCGGCGATGGACGCGACACAGACCCCAAGAGTGGCAAGGGACACTTGGAGGACCTGCTGGCGTACACCAAGGAGTTGGGAGTGGGTAAACTGGCTACCATCGTTGGTCGTTACTACATTATGGATCGCGACAAGCGCTGGGAGCGTGTCGAGACCGGTCTCAAGGGTCTGGTGACAGGAGAAGGTGAGGAAACCGATGACCCAGTAGCAACCTTCCAGAAACGCTATGACGCTGGTGAGAACGATGAGTTCCTGAAGCCAATCATTATCAATGGCAAGGAAGCACGCATCAAGGACCACGACACCGTGTTCGTCTTCAACTACCGTTCCGATCGTGTCCGCGAGTTCACTCAACTGCTCGGCGACCAAGACCGCTCACCAAGACCGGACTTCCCATACCCATCCGACATACAGGTTACTACCATGACTCGCTACAAGACCGACTTCAACCTGCCCATTGCGTTTGCTCCCCAAGTCATGGACAATGTCCTCGCAGACTGGTTGAGCCAACAAGGATGCAAGCAGACCCACATTGCAGAGACGGAGAAGTTTGCGCATGTTACATTTTTCTTCAACGGTGGACAGGAAGTTCAGTACGACAACGAGGACCGTGAGCTGATTGACTCACCCAAGAGTGTTGCCACGTACGACCAAGCGCCGAAGATGAGCGCCATGGGTGTTGCTGAACGCATGGCGGAAAAGATTGGCGATGGCAAGTACGAGTTTGTGATGAACAACTTCGCGCCTCCGGATATGGTCGGACACACTGGTGTCCTCGATGCTGCGATCATTGGCTGTGCAGAGACTGACAAAGCAATTGGTGTTGTGTATGAGGCATGCAAGAAGCACGGCTACACGCTCTTCATCACATCTGATCACGGGTGAGCGAGCTTATAGTATCGACTTCAATGCGATGGCATATGCTAACTCCAATATAGAAACGCCGAGGAGATGCTTACGGAGGAGAAGACACCCAAGACATCTCATACCACGAACAAAGTGCCTTTCGTGATGGCGAATGCTCCTGCGGGCTTCTCTCTCAAGAAGCAAGATGGTGTGCTCGGTGACGTGGCACCTACTCTGCTTGATTTGATGGGCCTCGAGCAGCCCAAGGAAATGACTGGGCACTCACTTCTCCAGCGCAAAGCTTAGAACGACGACCAGCTGCCGGGATTAGAGGCATGCGATAGATGACCAGTACAGAGTTTGAAGTTCACCAGTGAGGTGGCGATCCTTTGGGATGAAGCAGACAGAGACAGACGAGAGTACTAGAAGGATGCTGCTGTTGTTTGTGTCGGTCTGTATCTGACACACCCAGGCACCTGAGGTGATCAAAGAAATCAAGACGATCGACCAGTACATTTGGCACATATCGTCCCTCGACTTTGCACACCTGTGATCACGTCTCACCCACGACAGAGGCACGGGACCCGTGGGACCCGACATATCCGACTGGGGACTCTCACATATGGATTTTGTTCGCCTTCCACGCGTCCCTTCTTCTGTCCTGTTTATTGCGACATGCTTCACTCATCCGCAATCTGGCGCCGTTGCTGACATGACCACTGCAGCGACGCACTCCACAGCTCGACGAACACATGGTAAGACGATACATGTACCTTAGGTACCTGATGTAGGCATGTCCCGTCGTGTCAAGATGGGAGACAGGTGCGAGCGATCGATCGCGCGCCTTCTGCCACATATGCAGCTTCCCGCTATTGGCGCTCCTGCCTGCGGTTTGTGCGGTTCGACAACGTAAGTTCCTTCCTTTGTGCACGACACCCTCTTGCCTCTGAGGTCTCGTCTGATCGACCCGAGGCCACACGTGGAGGACTATCTTCTCTTAGTGCCTGACTAAGGTACATTACCTACATTTACTGCCACCTCATGTACCGACGGGACTGGCACGAGCTGGGATCACGCTCCCTCGAGCCAAGAACGCCCACCATCACCACCTTGTGAACCACATACAAGGTTGTAGGTAGTAGTCACTAACAAAGCATGGAACTCTCGAGAGCACCTCCTACCTGTAGCTGGGCCTCTCCCTTTCACCACCTGAACCTCTGTCCCAGACACTCTCTGTCTTGCTGCCCCCACGAGCCAGACATCACGCGACAAGAATGGCTTTTCTCGTCAAAGATGTCCTGGACGTCGGCCGCCGCGCTGCTGTTGATTTCTTCGAGGGCCATAGCATCAATCAGGACGCGCCTCATTCACCAGACGTACCAGAAGATTTGCGAGCCGTAATGCCTGACCTTTTCGACCGTTTCCCAATAGTCCTTCCATGGAGCAGGCCGGAGCCTGTAGATCCTGCTCTTCACAGCGTTTGGATCTTGGATAATACGGCCTTTCGCTCTCCTCAACCCGGCGATAAGCGACCTGATCTGGGAAAGCTCAGGAGTGTCAAGGATACGAAGCCAACGAGGATCAGTCAGGATGGTGGCAGTCCGGAATCTGTGCGTGGTGGAAGTGGCTGGGAGGCGGAGTTCGTGGCGTGTTATTTCATCAGGAATTCGGGGCGTGATATATCGCGAGTCGTAGCTGGTATTGCGCGCGAGCTTCATGTCAACGATGAAGACATTGCAACGAAGAAGCGTATCGCAGATCGTGTGCAGCCGTTCGTCGATACTGTACTACCGAAGCGAACACTGCGCATCTCGATTGATAATACCGAGCAGCAGACCCTGGGTCCCTCTGGATATAGTGGGATATCTGCTGGTCTCCACCAGCTGCACTTTGCACCCGATGCTCTCCTTTCTCCATTTGCTTGCACGCCTGTCAACGTTCCCCCGCCCTTTGGCCTGCCAGCAGTGACTGTTCCTGCAGAAGAGCGAGGCTGGGCAGTCATCTCTGACATTGACGACACGATCAAGGTCACACAGACTCCCTCTCCGCTTGGGATACTGCACACCACCTTTGTCGTCGAAGATCCTGAGCCTGTCGCTGGTATGCCATCTCTTTACGCTCACATCCAGGACATCTTGCAGAACCCTCCATTTTTCTATCTCTCGGCCTCTCCCTACAACCTATATCCATTCCTTCGCAGATTCCGTGAAGCACATTACCCACTGGGGACTATCATTCTTCGCGATGCTTCCTGGTAAGAGCTAGTTGATCATTACTATTCATTGCGTCTGACAAATGTCGCTGATCGTGTCTAACACATTGTAGGCAGAACCTTGGAGGACTGATCGCTTCGCTCAGTCAGAATACGCAAGAATACAAGGTCGATCGCATGGTGAAGATTCACTCCTGGTTCCCTCACCGTCGCATGGTCTGCATTGGAGACAGCACTCAGAAGGATCCAGAAGCCTATGGCGATGTTGCGAGGAAATTTCCTGGTTGGATCCGCGCCATTTACATTCGTCGTGTGTCTGGAATCGCAGAGATGGACGAGAAAAGCAAGAACAGCAACGAGCGGTTCCAAAAAGCCTTTGAAGGACTCGATCATAACCTGTGGCATGTCTTCGATGACCCTAGTGAACTGGCAGAACGCGTGAATGTCCTTCAACACCGAGAAGGGCGCCAGTGAGTATCTGTTTGTTCTTGGGGGTTTCTGATTGCTGTATTGTAATTACCGCATGTCGTTATACTGCAGTCTACTTTTCTACGTTGTTTTTCGCTCGTGCTTTTGTGGTGCCATCACGCTTCGCATGTATTGGTGGTCGTCTGCCGGAACGCTAATCACCAAGTCAACAGTGTTTATGACGGACCAGAGCTGAATGTGCTGAAGACGTGGTCCTGGTAGATTGTGCAGCGAGTGGGTGCTGTTGTCCATACGGATATTTCAATGTTACGCGGATATTTTATTCTCCCTTTTCGTCTCTTTTCTTCGCCTGCATTCCTTCTGTGTTGGTGCTCCCTGTGATAGTCGTTCGTCCTGCGTACCAAACGGCAGTATTTCTTGATGTACGGTTGTTCAAGCGCAAAATGTGACCCCGTACCTTATGATTGGCCCCATACATTTACAGTATGCCCAAGTTTCACGAAAATCGATAAATCAGAAAACGGTGAGTCGCACCGATAATATCAAAGAAGGCTATTCTAGTCTACTAGCATACAACAACCAACGATGAAGGGGATCTCCCCGTACTTTGAGCATCAAGCAAGCAGGCTACATGTGCAGGTATGGGTAATGTCATTGACGTCCCATGACTTTTAGGTAACCCTAAGCATGGGACCTGTCGACGGAGGAATAACGACCACTCTCCTTCATCTCGAGCTTGAGAAATCTCAACTATATATGCTAATAACACCAGTGAATTCACGGTGACGATGCTCTACCAGGCATCACTACAGTATAGGGAGGGTTCCATCTCAGACTCCCTTCTCCCGAGACGATGATCAATGATCAAGCCTATATATTCAATAATACCGACTCGATCACATGATGTAATGCTGTGCGTACTCTGCATGCGAAACCTGGCAGCAATGGTGTAGTGGTAGCACATGAGATTGCAAGATTGCAGTTATCTTAGGGTCCGCAGTTCGAACCTGCGTTGTTGCTGACTTTTTGTTTCTCTGTGCATTTTTTGGCCTGCTTGAATTTGATTTTGCGACGTGGTTTTGTCTTTTGACGAATCTAGGCAACGGGCCCGCTATGTGATCGTCTTCAGGTACACAGTTGACCCTCGTGGGGAAGTTGCTTCTGTTAGGAGGTACCTCGACAGGGTGTTCGGTACGTACTGACTCGGGACCGCTTTCGGCGGACCATGAGCTCAGCATTTCTTGGTTGCGCTGTCTCATCCGCCCAGAACGAGAAACGTACATCTGACTCTATACCTTGCTCTACTGATCTCCCACGCTGTCACCAATGAGAACAATATGATCACCTTGTATATGTGATGGCTGCGGACGCCAGACGCCACTGCACCACACAACGGGTGGCAGGTACAGTACCTTAGCTTTCAGCTGAGGTGTGGGGTCACAGAAGTACCTCCTAGTTCTAGCTGAAGCGCACTGCGTGAATGCGACCAACACTTCTGTAATCTCAACAACACATTCACAGCACAGCATCGCGCAGAACTCGTGCACACACTCGGTCGCTCGGCCGCTCGCTCTGATTCTCATTTATTGCATGCAAGGTGTATAGAGTCGACCGACTGCGACGCAATTGAGCATCTCTCGACCGATCACCGCGGGATGGCGCAAGCGCAAGTCCAGCCTTGCAGGTACAAGACTGGGAAGACACTCGGCGCTGGCTCGTACAGTGTCGTCAAGGAGTGCGTACATATTGACACGGGCCGATACTATGCTGCCAAAGTCATCAACAAACGCCTGATGGCGGGTCGCGAGCACATGGTCAGGAATGAGATTGCAGTGTTGAAGAGGGTGTCGATGGGCCACCAGAACATTTTGACGCTCGTGGATTACTTTGAGACCATGAACAACTGTATGCCGAAGGTCAGAGAAGGGCAGAGTAGCTTCAGACTGACCTGGTGATAGTATACCTTGTTACAGATCTCGCGCTCGGCGGCGAGTTGTTCGATCGCATTTGTCGAAAAGGCTCATACTACGAATCCGATGCCGCCGACCTGATCCGAGCCACACTCTCTGCTGTCGCCTATCTTCACGATCATGGCATTGTCCATCGCGATCTGAAACCCGAGAACTTGCTGTTCAGAACGCCCGAGGACAACGCTGATCTGCTTATCGCGGATTTTGGACTTTCGAGAATTATGGATGAGGAACAGTTCCACGTCCTGACCACCACCTGTGGGACGCCTGGATACATGGCGCCCGAGATATTCAAGAAGAGCGGGCATGGAAAGCCAGTCGATGTCTGGGCAATTGGCGTCATCACGTACTTCTTGCTCTGTGGATACACACCCTTCGATCGCGACAGTAATCTGGAAGAGATGCAGGCCATTTTGGTCGCAGACTACAGTTTTACTCCACTCGAATACTGGCGCGGCGTGAGCTTGACTGCGAGGCAGTTCATCAAGCGCTGTCTGACCATCGATCCGACGAAGCGCATGACGGCGCACGAAGCGCTCTCGCATGAATGGATTGCTGGACCAGACAGCGGACGTGGAGGGGAGGATCTATTGCCTATAGTCAAGAAGAACTTCAACGCTAGGCGCACGCTGCACAAAGCTATTGATACTGTCAGGGCTATCAACCAGCTACGTGCTGGCGGAATGGGCATGATGGACGGTGCGCTTGCCACGAATCCCGATCGTGTGAAACCGAAAGATGAAGATGTCGACATGCAGGATGTGCCTGGTCCCGAAGTCGTCGTTGATCCACGAGGCAATGCCAAAGGGCAGACAATGGCGCAAATTGAAGAGCAACAACGAAGGACGCAGCAGACCATAGCAGGTCTATGGCAAAAGAAGGGCCAAGGCCAGGCTACGTAGGACGATCGTCCTGGCTGTTAACTGACACCCGAGGCGCCTTGTCGCGGAGTCCAAATCGGCTCGTCCGGAACGTGAATTCCACCTCAGGAAAATTTGTCTGTGGTCACTGGTCGCGTGTCGAGGGAGGCTGAGGGTTGGATCGAGAAGGCATACTATTCTGTATCGGGCAAAATCGATGGAGTACCCATGATGATCAGCTCATCCATGCGACCGATTGATTCACGGCTGGTGAGACATGAGAAGAAATCTTCGAAGTCCTTTTACATTCTTCTCTTTGACTAATTCGCTTCATGGGTCCTCTCTAGCACGAACATTCGGCGAGTTCTCGTCAAAGTCATAAAAGCGGCCGCTCTTGCTTGCCTTGGCGTTCCGCTTCAATCTATGGATGGCTTGCATTCATCACTCGTGTTCTCTGCGGAGTCTGCGCTACGCATGCTTGGAAGCACAATACTGCACTACTAGCTTCTATAGAAGCCTCTGTTGGCAGCGGGAAGCATCGGGAATCCATCAAGACTCCGGTAAGCGTGCAGCTACAGCTGTAGGCACTCCTCGATCTATGTTTTTTTTTTCTCAAACCCATGGGATTGGCGTCAGAAACTTAGTCCATGAAACTCTGTATGTGTAAGCCTTCCAATGCCGACAGATTCTGGCCTCCGACATGACGCCGCGTATACGTACCAATAAGAATGTGCGGTGACATGTATCTGTGCGATGAAGCCATATTTTGCCATAGATCTGGAGGCGGGGCGAGCACACCTCATTCCCGACCCGAATAGTCCCAAGAGTCTTGTGGTGCTTGGAGAGTGTGCAATGGCAGTAATCGGTCCGAGGAGCCAGTCACCCCGCCAATGACCGGTCTCCTGGACCCCTGCACTCCGAGTGGGAAGTGGAGAAGTTGGGGCTTAGCGCTGGCATTTCGCGGCTGACATCACGTTTTTCTGCTCGTCGGCGTCGTCGTGACATCTCATTAGTCTTCTCACGCTTCTTGCCTGCAACACACCGTACCCGACCTGAGGGACCGGGCTCGACCCCAAAAATTGGTTAGTGCTCATCGCGCTAGATGCCATCATGCGCGTGTTCCAGAGGCCCGCGGTCCCTCATGAGGACGAGCAGGAACCCCGGTATATGATGTCGCCGTCCCAGCCGCTGCCGTGCTCGCCGTCTCCGTCAAAAATCACTTCCATCGACCATCATGCGGCCTACCACTTCTGCGGTGGCCTTCTTGGCTGCTCTGCCGTTATGTTGTGCCTGGAGCGTACCTGCTTTAGAGAAACGCCATTACCCAACAACACCGCAGAATGAATCCTGCTCGTCAATCACCGCGGCAGAAATCAGGTCCATGGGCAACAACACCCTGTTCACTCGATGGAGACCGACAAGCCACTTCCTGGCTCCAGCAGGATGGATGAACGATCCATGCGCCTTCATGTACGATCCTGTGCGCGATGAGTACCACGGGTACTACCAATCACACCCAGAGCACATCAGCTGGGGCAATATCAGCTGGGGAGGCGCAAAGAGCAAAGACTTGATTCACTGGGAGGACATAGGTGGTTGGCAGGGCAGAGAGCCACTGTCTCTTTCACCCGGTGCCAATGGGTCCTACGACCAGCTCGGCATCTTTTCTGGTACTGCCCAGCCAGTCAACCTTCAAGGTGAGCAGGACGGCACGCTGCTCATATTCTATACTGCAGTGAGCTACCTCCCAACGAATTGGAGATCGCATTACGAGCCAGGCACGGAGACTCAGGCTCTCGCTCTGAGCCACGATGGTGGTGAGACTTGGGAGAAGTACGATGGGAATCCAATCATCAACGCCACAACGGAAACAGCACCAATGAACTGGAATCTCACTGGTTTCCGGGACCCATTCTTTGAGCCCGTTCCAGAGCTGGACGAGCTTCTTCAGGTGGATGAGCCACATTACTATGCTGTGTATGGATCTGGAATCAAGGGCGTTGGACCACGTATACCTCTGTGGGCAGCTCCTGCTCGTGACCTGACCAGCTGGACCTTTCTGGGAGCCCTGTGGGAGCCAGTCGCCAACACTTCCGTTGGTCCTGTATTAAGCACTGGTAGTTATGGCTTCAACTTTGAGGTGTCCGGATTCTTCCCACTCAAAGACCGTGCTGGAAAGGATCACTGGTACGTCAACATGGGTACCGAGGGAGGCAACGTTTCTTTCCACTCCTCTCCACAGTGGTCGCTCTGGAACGAAGGTCATGTTGTGCGCCGTGAGAACGGCAGTGCTGAGTTCGTGCCGTTGACTGGAGGTGCTGGTGATTGGGGTCTCGGCTATGCTCTGACCAGCTTCAACGATACCAAGAACAACAGACGTGTGCAGTACGCGTGGTTGAAAGAGGACAATGTCGGCGACGGTGGCCTCTTCTCGGCCAACCAGCAAGGTTTCCAAGGCGCTCTCTCGATTCCTCGTGAGCTCTTTGTTCATGAAGTGGACCACGTAGTCAACACAACTGAGCTCACAGAATCCAAGACTGCCATTGTCGAGAACGGCACAGCTCGTACGCTCGGGGTTCGCCCACTCGACGATGTTGTAGCAGGTCTCCGTAACGGCTCAACGTATGCTGCCTACTCGGCAAAGACCTACAACGAGTCCACCATTCTCAGCCAATGTGCAACTTCGCACATGGAGATTAAGACCACGGTGAAGAACGCCACTGGCCCTGTTGGTCTCCGGATTGCCGCCTCAAGCGATATGGAAGAGTATACGACGATCATGTACGAGCCTTCGAACCACACCATCCTCGTGGAGCGCCTCCACAGCTCCAACGTAGTGGAGTTTAACAATGAGACCATTACGGGCTACTTCCAGCCTTACACTCTTCTGACCACCAACCAGACGGAAAGTCTCACGTTCGACGTCTTCATCGACGGCTCGATTGTGGAAATATATGTCAATGAGCGTTTCGCTTTGACAGCGAGAATCTACCCCAGTAAGAGCTGCTCCACTGGATATGGTGTGTATGTTGGCAAGGGTTCGACTGCCGAGTTTGATATTGTTCATGCATGGGTTGGCACGGACAATGCTTGGCCGCAGAGACCGGTCAATAGCTCTAGTCAGTTGGTATGGGATACTGTGGAGGAGACCAACAACCGCACGTGGTGGGCCGGAAACTAGATTCCTTCGCAAGGCGTGTGCTGTAACACGCATACCTGGTGTGAGGGAACTGTCAAGGCAAACGTAGCGGAGGAATGAAGCCATGCGCTATGAGTTACATATAGCCTAAATGTATGGCCCTGTACTACCTACTATCAATGGACGACTGTTGGCTGAATAAAGTTCCACCCTCGGACGGACATTTCTCGCTGCTGGTCGTCAGCACTGACCAGGTGCTGATAAGTTTCCGAATCATCTAATCAAAACATACCGCCGTTAGTGAGACAACTGCTAAACTCCTCGAGCGAGAGGGCACATGTCACATGTCAGAGAACCCCAGAACACCACCACCACCACCACCACCACCACTAGGTACTACCTTACTCCTCATCCTTCTACTATTACAAGCCGCCATTACCACTCATCTACCAATGACCAACCACCAACCACTTCCAAAAAAATCTCCCACACATAAACACAATCACACAAAAGTCTATAACCCCACCATTCCCCCCGCGACAACTCCCCCCAACACAACTGCAACCAAAACCCTCTCCCAAACCATCATCGCCGAAGAAACTCCCTGCTGCCTCTGCGCACCACTTCCCTGTTGTTGTCCGCTATTACCCCCCTCCGTCGCAGAAGCTTTAGATCCACTCTCCTTGGTCCTCGTCGCCGTCCCTGTAAGAGTAGTAGTATTTGTACCGGGCATCATTGTTGTAATAGCAGCAGCAGTAGTGGTAAAGCGCGTCTCACTCGCAGTCAAAATTCCAGTGAAAATTTCGTTGCTGGGCAGGCTCGAGAAACTTGTTAGAGCGGCGTATGTGGAGCATAGAGAGTTGTTGAGGAGGGTTGGTTGGGGGATGTCGTTGTCGCTTTGGTTTTCTTGTGCTTGTTCTTGGTTTTCTAGAGGGGCGCAGACGACGATTTGGTCTGGGTTCGGGTTGGGGGTTTCGATGGGAATGGGAGGGAGGGTGGTTTGTGCGTATTCTTGTTGTTGTTGTTGTTCTTGTTGTTGTTGGGCGAGAACGCTTGCGGTGAGGAGATGTAGTCCGAGGGAGGTGGCGAGGAGTTGTGGTATTATGGGTGTCATTGTATTTTCTTCTTTCTTGATCTAGTGGTTGTGGTTGGAGAAATGCTGTTTCTGTTTGCGGGTGCTGGCTGGTGGTGGTGGTAGTTGGTAGTCGTTGTGGTATTCAAGTTCCGTCTATTTTACAAACATGTACCTGTAGTTCTTACCTCGTGATCTGTTTATATGATTTGAAGGGACGACGGATGAGATCACAGGAGATCTCTCGAACCTCGCACCTGCGTCATAAATACTCAGGCATACCATGCTGTTAATGAGGTTGAAACCTTGTTGTCGATGCTACCGGGTTCAATAGGGCTTGATGGACAACCATGACATGGAAGGCAATCGTGAAACTACGAGGCTTGGTCACATCCACGGGGACGAGGGTTTTCGCTCGTATAGATTACTGATCAGGTGCGCGGAGAGTCGGAGACTGTATAGCATTAGTGTGCGCACTGGTTTAATAGCGGCGCAGGCTTCTCCTAGAAGGAAGGGTCAACGGTAAGGTACATGTAAGGTAGGAGGTAAGCCTGGTAAGGTACAAGACTACAAGTACCTGTAGCGTTCAAGGTGAGTGAGCACTGTCTCTTTTGGGAATTGCTTTGGCTTTGTAAGTTTGTAGCACAGGCCCTTTCGTATTCAGACTGAACTCGAAAGCGCTACCAGAGCATATACATATAAGTGCTGACTAGATAATGTCTGGAGATGCGTCTCGGTCATGTGGGATGAGGTGAGGTTGTTGCACGCCGAGCTCTGCGAGTCAACCATCGTGTACTACTCACGCTCATCGACCTGGTTTCCTCCATACCTACTCCAGTTCTTGGCAGGGCTCGAATTGGCGCGGGAACGGCCGTCCGGAGCGAAGAGTCGGCACTTCTCCTCCAGTGAGATTGACTTTCGACCCTCTGACCGCCATTGCTCAGTCTCATGCGCTTTTGCTATCAGCAGTGCCTCTACAGGCGCATCATTGACAGGCATGA